ATAGCCCTAAGGTCTTCCTGCATTTTCTCGTGAAAAGTTAACGTAGATTTTAAGTCTTTTTGTAATTTAGCATAATTTACGAATGATCCAACTTTCCCTGCCAAACTGAACCTCGGGAACTTAGTTTCAAACGTAATGGGAAGGTGGTCGCTGTTTGTAGCACAATCTAATATATTCCACGAGGATATGCTTAAAGTGGAGCTGGAAAATGTTAAATCAAAAGTCGATTTAGAGTTACCTCTTACAAATGTAGCAACGTGTGAGTTCAAGCAGGAAACGTCATTATCAAGCGTCTATTCTCACAAACGTCTTCCGCATACATCAGATTTGAAGCCCCAAGACACATGGTGTGAAGTGAAATCACCCCACAGTACTATTTCTTTTCTGCATGAAGCTACCATAATATCGAGGCATCTTGTGTCTTGAACTCCTGCAGGAAAGTATACATTTGCAAAAGAGAAAGGCGAGCAGTCTGGTAGTGTTACGTCTAACACCAGAATTTCGTAATTCGTATCCATACACTGATACGATATCTTGGCTCTGTAACTAAATTTAGTTGATATTAAGAAAGCCAGACCGCCACCTCTACTCGGCCAATCCAGCCGGATTAATCGATAATTTTTCATGTAAAATTTTTTACCGTTAGCAAGCCAGGTTTCCTGAATGGCAATTATGTCGGGAGAAATTAGCGAAGAAATATATTGTAAATCTGTAGTTGCCGACCAAATAGACCGCACTTCCACTGCAGAATTCTAGGGAACCTATTTTGATGTTATACTGGCAGAAGAAACTGCCTGATCCAGAATATCTTTTTTCAAGAAATCATTTTTTGAAAGGTTCTCACAGAAGTCTTTCTCTGACAAGTATTTCTTGGATTTTGGGTCCTGAGAAGACTTTTTAGAAGAGGGAGATCTGTTACGTTTCAATGTTCTTAGAGATTCTCTGTCCATATCTGTAATGTCTCCTGAATCATCTGTCACAGGTTCTGGCTCAGCCTGAACTCTATTTTCCGAAGGTCCTGCTTTCGGAGAGATAGATCTATGATTGACTGTCTGATTTTCCTCCTCTGTACTCCTTGAAATAAACAGAGCCTGCGAGTCCCGATTTTGCACAGAAACTGTACCAATTATCTGTGTCAGCTGTTGTGTTAACATATCAGCCAAGGCTCCCACGGAGATCTCGAGTCAAATGGGCCACTCGCCGACGGTGGTGATGATGGCGGTGACCACAGGCGTGCGCAAAATTGAGGAGGACGCCAAATTTCACTCCTGTTTTTGAGGCTGAGCTCATGGCTCTTATTTTGGCGCTTCGAATACTGCCTTTAAACAAAATCATGTGCAATCATCGCAACAGATTCTCTTTCGGAGTGCGCACGGCTCTTACAGCTTCAGAATTATCGCGAGCCCAATTGATCTTGCGCGATTTGGCACTGCCGCAACTGAAACTCCTGAATTTTTTTATGGGTCCTGGGTGACAGTGGGACACAGTTATATGAACTGGCCGATTTTATAGCCCTAGCTTCGATTGATGAACCAAACATTTCGGTGTACTCCCGGATATCGAATACATAGCATCGGTCAGATATAAAAAATGAGCGATTTATACGGATATTATGGAAATAATTACTAAACGGAAAAACCATCAGCACCTAAAATTTCCATGAAAACCTCAATGGAGTGAATCTAAAAAGTTTGAACTTATCACGACCGAATTCCGATACCAAGAACAAGGTGGCAGCACAGAGTGAGGAACTCTGTGTGTGGCAGGATGTTTAAGATAAAGACCTATCAGTCTAAAAAAACACTTCGGACGAAATAAAACATCGAATAAACGGAAAGCAGAAAAGGTCGTACTATCAAATGTGATTTAGATAAATTTATTGACGCATTTGCAACCAAGACAACGATGAAATAAAAATTAACTATCGAGATAATCCTTGTGTTTTAGTTTTGTATTCTGACACAGCGGAGCAGACATGCTTGTGGAAAAAGCCACAATACACAAAGGAACACAGGACTGTGTCCTGTGTATCTTTCTTTGTGCGCTTAAATAATAGCTATACCATGCATCTCAGCCAACTGGCCCATGTGTCAATTATCTTGCTAAAATAAGGTAAACTGCCATCAGGAACTTAAATGTGAGAACATTAAGACAAGCTGACATCGGCAGCGGAGGCCAGATAAATGCAAAGACAAAAAAAAAATGAACGCGCAATAATTAAATCCACGTGAAGTATCAAGTAGAAAAAAAAACACTGACCGATCTAGCAGTTAGACTGGGAAAACGAAAGTATATGCCAGAGTTAAGCATTACAATGTCGCACCAGCTTACAATTTGTACTGCATTGCTCGTTATTTTTCTATGAACACAAAATATCACATTAATTACTGCCGGTTTCCGCTTCGGTGTACGATGGCAGCTAAATGTTCACATGCGATTTTCATTTCAATTAACACATGTTTAGCTTGTTTCGTGTCACCTTAATGCGCTTCAATTTTCCCAGAAGGTTAAGTTCAACCTAGGGTCTCATCTTTCTGCGACCATGTTTAGTTTCTTAAATGACTGCAGTGGCTATGAGACAAGATTGAGACCCTTCGAGAGACTTTTGGCATATTGCACCACTAGTAGTCTTTCAAACACTTCTTGGTTGTGTTCGCTGCTGCCTGTACGCGTGTTTCCGCATCATATCCCAGGAGATGTATGGGGAAAATGCGGCGCCGCTATTGGCTGAAGACAATCACGTAATCTAAACGTACTTCCGGTCTTTTTTGTTTATATGCAAGATGGCGGCACGCATACACGTAAGCACAACGCTAGTTTTGCAATACGCCGGTGAAGCTTGTTGTTGCAATACGCCATAGAAATTACCCAGAAACGTGTGCGCTTTTCGCTAACAGTGTCACTGAAACGAGTTGTGTTCTTACGCAGTTGGTGTGCTCCGATTTTTTATTTATTACGCGTTCGTTCGCGCTGCCGGCCGGCGAAGAAGACGTGCCACTCGAACTACTCCGGATGTCAGCTGTTTTAAGGCATGTGGGTTGTATCCAAGGAAGATTAAAGAAAAATAGCTGGAGTGGAAGTTCCAGCAATGCCTTGCCAGCAGAAGTGAAGCCATCTTATGCCACTGCCAAGACGGCGGAAACATGCTCTTTTCTGATGGTGCCCACTTAAAGATCAAGTGGCTTTGATATGTTATGTAAATGCAACGTTAGTTCTATGTTAAAAATAGTTGTTCCCGACGAAATAACACACAGAAACGAGTATAGATGACTGAATCTTCAAATAACTTTGCCTCCAATTAGAGGCTCACTAAGGACAACTAGTTACTGTAAGACGCACTTGGAGCACTATGTGAGCAGAAAAAGTTCCCACATTAAACTTGTTGGGATGCGAGGGAAACGCTTCGTTTTTATTCGCTGAGCGGTGATTATTTATCATGCCCCTAGTAAGATGGCCACCACAGCCGCCATCTTGCCAGTGGAACGGCTTCACTCCTGGGCAGTCATTTCTACTCCAGCAATTTTTAAAATCCTCCTTGGTTGTATCACATGTATAATTTACACTGTGGTTTGCTGTGCTCCGCGCGTAAACTAAGACGAGACGAACTTCTGTACATGGGCATCGGCGGGCGGGGGGGGGGGGGGGGGTGCGCAAATGGACTACTTGTTTTCCTCCAAGTCTGACCAGCACTTGCCCCCCTCCTTCACCCAAGATACATCAGTGCCCCCCCCCCCTCCCGCCGAAGGAAATATCCTACCGACGACCATACTATAGTATCGTTCGTCCGAGGGACGTAGCCAGGGGGTGGCACACCAAGCCCTTGCACCCCCCTGAAATTTTTTTCGCCATGGCATAAAGAACGAAAAATTACTCAATTGAGGTGGTGCCCTCCCTGCAAATCAAAAAGGTGTGCCCCCCCCCCCCCCCCCCACGAGAAAAAAGTTTCTGACTACGCGCCCGGTTTGTCCATATTTACCTGTTCATGGGGGCGAAGCTCTTAAGGGCATAGCCTTGTCGGCATCCGCCAGACTACACAAACCGAAATCGAACACCTGCACAACGAAAAACGAGAACATCAGTGTAAAAACCGACCTTACGTGTACGCCAATCAAGATATATGACAGCAAAATGCATTCTCGCCTGCATTGTCCGTCTGTACGTCCGTGCATCTGTCCCCGTCCTTTATACTAGTCGGTGACATAAACGTGGAAATTAAGGACCTTGCTTCGCACACTCGTCATTATGCACTTAATGAAGATGCGTGGATATTTTATAGACGTTCTACTTCCGCGTTATTTTGGCATGCTTCATACAGTTCAGCTAGAATAACGTTACGTAAATTTCATTTTGGTGCTTTCATTCCATTTTTTATACAGGTAGAATCACGATCTTTCATAGATATCCTTAGTGACCTCTTTCATTGTGTCCCTACTACCACTGCAGTAACAAGGACCATGCAACCGCTACAACTCTGTCTTGTTTTAAGCTCACATTGCCTTTACTGTTGCCTGTATATTCGCCGCAAAGTATTCTAATTATCTTATTCCTCTTGAAATCATCAGCGTACCAGTGGAAGTGCCTCAAATTAGCGCAAATAAGACAAATACAAAAGCCCGAATGGCGAGCGCAGGTTTAAGTCTCCCGCGCTAAACTAAGCGGCATATCGGAAGACGCATTGCAGTATTCGCTCTCTACGGTTGTTGAAAGAAAACTTCTATGTTTCGGCAATAAACTTGTATTAACTTGTTGACTTTGTCGAGCAGCATTTACATTAAAGATACACTCTGTTTAGCCTCTGGTTCAAACATAGCCTCAAATGGCTCGGCCGAATCAATTACAACTCGGCTTGTTTACGTTTTTCATGGCATTCATGGCGTGCTTTTCCGCCTCGAGTGACAGCCCTTCATCTAGGTAATTTCGGTAAGCTATCAAAGATTTCAATGTAGCCACAACTGTCGCATTCGCGTTCCGAACGCTCTGCGAAAAGTCGCAATAACACAATGTCCGTGTACGAAGAGGCCTCGCAGCTGTTTCGGCGCCAGTTTACCTTCAAAGCCTCCTCTGCATGGCGACCGCCGGACCCGAACCGCATCTGCTCCGACGCCGACTGGTGCCTGCCGGCGCTCCAGCAGATGAAGACGGAGCTGAACGCCACCAAGAGCCTGCTGAACGACAGGCGCGCCCTCTGTGTTTCTGGCGTGGAAGACCTCCCGGCAGACTTTGTGAGCCAGGTAGAAGAGTGCGCGCAGTACTTCAAGGAACTTCAGGAGCGAACCATCAGGGAGAACATCCAGTGGTTCCAAAACGACATGGATCAACCAAGCTGTCTGAGATTGCAGAGTGTGAAGGACACGGTGGCATCGCTCTACATCAAGCGTTACGAGTGTAGGCACGTCGGGCAGCCGCCCCTGCCACTGATGCAGGGCCCGAGCACGTTCCTGCTGCGCTGCCGGGGCTGGAATGTGGCCAGCTTCAGCGAGCGCAATGGCTGCAGCAACTGGTGGAAGAAGCACGCTGAAGAACTGCGGAAGATGCTGGATGGTGTGCCGCTCGCAAACATCTCCCACAAGCCAACCTTCCACAGAGCGCTGTCAGACAGGGTTGCTCCGTGTGCGTCTTGGATCCGCACAGGCCGCAAGTACGGGAAAGTTCCAGGCCTATCAAAGTTCTGCTCGTCAGCCTTGCTGGACATGGCCCTCATGCTCGGCCTGTCGGACGCCATCGACTCCACTAACGATCTAGCCGCGATGGTGGACACCTCAAACACCTCCCTCGTGGAATGCGGTAGGGACAACATGAGGTCGGCTACAGACATTGCAAATGCAGTCTCCCAGCTAGAGTTCGGGACGCATCTCGCAGTCAGACTTCGAGAGACTTTGAGCCGATTCTCGGCTGGTGTCCTCTATCTCCTCGCTGGTCTTTTCAAGACCGTGACGGTGACTTTTTCGGACGTTCCCGGAACGTGGCCTCTATGGAAGTTTTCAGACGTTGACGTTGACTGCGCAGATGCACTGCTCGAGTACTTTGCAATGATCACAGCCGTGGAAGTCGGAGACACTTCGACTGTACTGGAGGTCGTGCCCTTGACCATGCTGTGTGACACCAAATTCAGCAGGTTTCTGATGTCCGTGAATGATAACATATTGCATGAGTTCGTGACGGACGTTCTCGACTCTGCAGACAGTTGCCAAACATCGTGTGACTGATTAGTTATGTGTATGGAGTTTCATGTGCGCACCTGTGAACTAAATGCAACATATGCTTGTTAAATTTGTGCGAATGGGAACAGTGTTGTGTGTGTGTCCCTGTAGTAATTAACAGGCAGCTCATTTTACGAATGACATATACACAACACATAGTAACGTGCCAATGTCTGATAACTATAATGCCTGATAACTATAAACCCAGGTTTTAATTATAGGTCGTCACTTGGATTGTACAATGAAAAAGACATTGGTGTGTGTCCCGATGTTGTATGTGTCGGTAATAAAGCAGTGTACAGAATCGTCTTTGAACATCTCTGAGTACTTCACTGCAAAGCCTATAAAATTATATTTTATTTATAGCAGTTATGTAGCAGCTACACAGCACTTCTTGCATTCCCATGAGCAGTTGTCACATGTCGCCATTATTCCGCAAAAGTTACTGCGCTCAGTGCCAACCAGAAATTTTAGTACCAGCTATATCTTCCGAGCAGAATGCCCACTCTTCATTCCTGTAAGAGGACTGTTTTCATCAATGCCCTTTATAGAATTTGCACTGTGCACACACTTCACGCATAAAACATCAATTAGCACCTCAAGCCATGAACACTGCCAAGTTACATTCCTGTAAGAGAGCCTTCCTAGCTGGAGTTAACTTGGAGCTCAAGCTTACTTGCTTAATTGGTTGGTGTAAAATGCAGGCTTAGTGTAAAATTAAATAGTTCCATTATTTTAATTTGAAATGCTATATTTGAATGAGCATGTTGATACCACAATCTTTCGTGCTATTCCCCTGAATGTTCATGTTTTCAAAACAAAACCAGCAGAACAAAGGTACACCTATGTGGTGAAATTGGCAGGGTTAAGCACTCACAAAGCCTTCATGTCGTAAAGATGGATGAATGTAATGTGTCCACAGGAATCCTTAACCATGTGAAAAGTGGCACCCATGCCACTATACAGCATACTTCAAGGGTACCCTCAGTGTTTCGCAATTCCATGCCTTTGTTACCCGGCATACCGAGACCTACGCATAACAGTCTTTGAGAACTGATACAGTATTATAGACAATTTGTCAGCACTGAAATTACCTGCTCATATTGACACTGTTAGCCCTAAAACATGGCAGAGCTGCAGAAGTGTTTAAATTGCTTGCTACAAGATGGCCCCACAGCAGTGGTAGCAATATAAATATTTTTAAATTGACGATGACTGTATATTTAAGTAATATACATTTTGAATGGTTTTACTTCATAGTACACTTGATATTTGGGAGGCCCAGGACGTTCTCCAGAAGTATTCAACATAGTTCCTTTTTTGATCTGCGTGGTACATCCATATGTCGACACGATAATGTCTCTGCATCAAATTGCTTGAGCGTTTGTTTCATGGTTGCATCTGTAATGCTGCAGCTAACGCAATAAAAAAATGTTAACGGTTAAACTACATGAAAATTTCTTACGCACGGTTGACTATGGCACAAAATACATTTTGTGAGTAAAGGGTTACGAAATAGGAGAGTGTGAAGTGTCAACAGTTCCCTTTCTTCAATTTTACCGAGTTTCGCTTTATTCTTTCTATGCCACAAAATTAATTTTGCGCCACAATCAAACATACTTAAGAAACCTTAAGCACTATCTTTTCCAAGTTCCTTCAGAATGCGCTTAAAAGCTATAACAACATTGGCAGTTAGTTCCAGCATTGTCTATTTGAGATGACAAAACAGTGGCAGCTTTTGGTCACTGAGGATTAAATCTCGCACTAAAAACTCAGAAAACCTCGATGGTATGGTCAATGAAGACTTTGCCCATATATCAGTGCTTTGAGTACACGAAAAATTGCTATTGTACGAGCAGTTTATTTAATCCTGTCCTTCAGTGCACTTATATCTACACCGCAGCAACTATCCTCGTATGACAAAACAAAAACACACTGGTAAAAACATTTGGGCAATAATTGTGGCTATATAAACAGCAAGACACCATATTTACAAACACACACTGTTGAGGCACTTTTGCTTGGCCCCATAGTGTTCCACCGACAGTTTCACATGGTGGCGACCAAGGGCACTCATATCTCTACGACACGTGGCTTAGTGAGAAACGAACGGCTTTTTGCGATCGATGAAGCCGGCTTCGGCATGGCGAGTGCACCAAACCCGCTCAACGAGCCTCCGAAAGACGAACTCGCAGCCGACCTCCCTCCCGTCTTGGCATTCGACTTTCCAGCAGCCTTCTTTCCAGCCGTCTTTCGCTTCAGGCCAACCTTGTTCTGCGACTTGGCACCGAACCCAGCCTTTTTCTTGTAGAAGGTGCGACGGCGCTTTCCTGGCGAACCGCCACTAGACCACGTTTTGCGCTTGCGCGTTTTGCCGGGCGAGGCACTGGTCGTGGCAAAGTCCGGCGGTGGCTGTGGATTCTGGAAGTCGTCCTGGGCTTCGTTAGCAGCGGCGTCGGCCATCTCCGCCTCGATGACCATCTTCTCGGCTGCATAGCGCTCAGTGACCTCAAGCAGCTGGGCACCGTACTGGAACACAAAAGGAGTGTACATCGTGAAAGCAATCAGGGCACTATGCCATTGCAGCAATTGCCCTTAAATCATACTAGTTGTAAAGCTCAAATCTAAAACCACCGGCATACTCATGGTCAAACATGTGGAGGTCTCCAGGGTACCTGAACGCTCCTCCCATTCCATTGTCAAGGCAGCCTTGAGGACTGCCTCGATGATGCAAACCGATATGCCACCTGGTGGTGATGACTGAAAACGCACAGTATCACCACAGTCGTTACAATCCTCGTTGTTATTGCGCAATTTGTTGTTGCAATAAGCGCTTTCAATCAAATTTGATGAGCTTATAGACACAGTATCATCTGGAAAATGTAAGCCATAAGCATAAAAACACTGCTCGTTTCAATGCAGCATGCTTTGTGGACTTGAGTACCAGAACAGACAAAAATGTCATTTGTTAGCATTTTTTTTTGCCTAAAAATGACACAATTGATAGACCTCTGCGATTTTGGCCAATGTAGTCTTCTAATTTTGACGGGTGGAGCCTGTGGCGAGTTTCGCAACTCATGCAATGAAAGAACTCTGGTCGCGAACAAACTGTTCTGCCGAAATCACCAGCTTGTTACGGGCGAAATGATCGTGAAGTTTCTCAAGTAGACATTGCGAAATCTCGTCCTAAATTAAAGAGGCCACGACGCTCAATTTTCGACTATAATCTGTGTTACGCCTGTTCATCCAAGTGCATTCACAAAGCCGACAGAATTTCAGCATACTTCGTAGCGTGCTTAATTTATAAGTGAATGCTTCTATAAGCATGCAAGCAGCCCAAGAGTTGGGCAGCACTGCTGCACTCGCGAGCAACGACGCTACAAGCTACTCGCTGTGCGAGCGCCTAGTACATTACGGTGAACAATTTTGTTCAGTGGTTGGCTGCACGTGAAGTCTAGCTGTTTCAGTGTTTTTTCCAGCTTGGCATTGAAAATAGACAATACGCAATGGCTCAAACTTTGGTAGACAAGACTAAGCAGGCGGCGCATGATGTCACATGCGCAATGGCAAAATGGTGTACGCCGGCAGTGGGCGGGGTTAATAACTGGTGACTTCTAGGGCTTATTTCACACTGAAACACTCTTGTACAGTGCTTTTTCCATATAGGCACAATAGACCCTATACTTCCATTTTTGGGTCAAAACTGCTAACTAGGCTTGTGGGAATAGTGAATTTTAGGGTCAAAGTGAACTTCAAGCGAATAGCGATTTTGGTTGAACGATTTCGAATTGCATGTATTGCATATTATGTACATAAAAACTGGCATGTTTGCCACGACATAACTAACCTGCTAAATGTTTCTAAAATTGAAATAAAGCTTGTGCTAATGCCTGTTTTTTGTTCAAAGAAAGTAAAAACAACTTTGAACAGTAGCAGGATATGACTTTTGGCAAAGTGCAAGTGGTAACCTGTGAAAAACATGTAAAATATGTTACATTTTAAAATTTACTGTAATTCGAGCTAATAAGCTGTTATAACAAGCTTTTAAACTTTAAAAAAATGTGAATCGATCTAAGGGTAATATGTTCATTTGACCTTAAAGAAACCCTGACAGCGAAAGTATTATTTGTGACTTTTTACTGTAATTTGTAGCTTTGAGTCTCGTAATGCTGATATTGAATCGTAAATGCTCTAAGGATCTAAGGAATCATATAGTTAGTGCTAGCACTGTTGATTCAGAACAATGTCGCATCAGTTCGAAACAGCCACCTAAATGCCATAAGGAATTGGCGCCCCACAGCGGGGAAGCTCCCGAGACTACATGCACTCAAGCTTCGGTGATATAGAACATGCATTTTCCAAATAGGGGGATCTGTGGGCGGCGGAAAACGAAACGACGTCGGTGCTTCGAGCGTGTCCCCCTCAGAAAAAAGGAAAGCATTCCTTGGCATCTAAAGCCACCTTGGGAGAAGCAGCCTGGTGAAAGAACGAGAGGGGTGACGAACAATAGTCCTCACCGGGTGCCAGACGGGGTTATTCTGCGTGCCCCGCCGAAGTGTTCCTTAATGTTGACAATTCTTTCTTGACCTCTGCGACGTTCAGTCCCAGGGGGACCCCCTGTCTAGATCAAACTTCAGAAAATGCAAATTTGACCAGAATACTTGGATGAGCACTCAACCTCACTTTAAAATCAAATTACCTAAAATATCCTACAAGCAACGCTTGTCACTAATAATCGGTCAGAAGTGCCTCCGCACACAGGACTCTCAAACAATGCAAGCATCTTGAGTTTCCGAAACCGGTGCCAGGAGTCCTTTAAAGTAAAGCTTTGCAGCAGTGCGAATTTACTCTGAAAAGATGTTTTTACATCTTGGCACCCCTTTACTGCACTCAAACCACTTTTATGGGCACAAGTGATTACAAGCCGACCAATAGGGATACACCTACAAAGGTGCTTTCACGGCTTAGCACCCATCAATTGCAGTGAAACCACCTTCAAAGGGTGGTTAAATGTGAATTAATGTACACCTATTCGTTCATTTCGCGTACTTTGAAATTTTCAATAACTTGAATTCGAATCGAAATGAGTTCGAATGTTTGAAGCATTCGAATATTCACACGAGTCTACTGCAAATAGTTGGGTTACTGTGTCAAATGCATTGTCTAAACCAATGCAATGTCTAAAGAGTTTCTGGAGTCCTATGGCCCTTTTCACAATCTAATGTATGTGAATGAAGGGCCAACAACAGCCCTGAACTGTCAATACATATTGTAAAGAAGAGGAAGTACTTCGGCGCAGAGCCAGCGGCTCGAGCTCGTGAATTGCGGCTGGTGCATCGCCTTCCAAGCCTTCCAACCATCAACCTTTCTGCTCAATAAATCTCCTTTATAATTGGTGGAGCCGTGCTGGGTACTGTGCCCTATACCTTCCCGCTACCATCCTGGAACTCCGTTCTCGACGCCTACCTTCTGCTATGCCGGATGCCGATCAGCAGACGCTTCCATCTCCTCCGGCCACCTGTCCAGGCAGTGTTCCTCAGCGGGAACCTCCAATCTTCAGGGGAACAGATGACAACGACGTTGAAGACTGGCTCTCGACTTTCGAACGGGTGAGCACTTTAAACAGATGGACGGACGCAGACAAGTTGACACGCGTGTCGTTCTATCTCGCGGGTGTAGCCAGCCTTTGGCTTAGAAACCATGAGGCAGACGTCCGAACGTGGCCGCAATTTAAAGCGTCGATTGTAGCAGTCTTCCATTGACCTGCCGTCCGAAAACTTCGCGCCGAGCAGCGTTTACGTACACGCCCACAAGAAACGGGTGAAACCTTGACTAGTTACATAGAAGACGTCGATTTGTGCAGACGCGTGAACGCCGCAATGACGGAAGGAGAAAAATGTAAGCACATCCTCAAAGGGATTGACGACGACGCTTTTCAAATGCTCTTGGCGAAAAGCCCGACCACTGTTAACGACGTAATTAGCCTCTGCCAAAGCTACGATGAATTGCGGAAGCAGCAAGCTCTGACAAGACGTCCTCCAGTGCATGATTTGGCATCACTGTCTAGTGTGACCAATGGTCATGACCAAACGTCACTAAGAGCCGAAATAAAAGCATTTGTCTGCAAAGAAGTCGCATGACAGCTTTCCTTGGTGCCCTTCACACCCGAACCTACCACAACTTTACCGTCGTCTCTTTGAGGCGTAATTCAAGGAGAGGTCGCCGAGACCTTACCAGCTGCTCGCGAGCATAATGTTGTGGCTGCTCCTTTCACCTACGCCGCAGCTGCAGCCATGCCAACTCGCAAGGCGCCTGCGCCTACATTCCAGCCTCGCGCGAGCTATCCGCCACCTCCAGTTCACCGGACCAGCACAAACACCGCCAACCCGTGGCGCACCCTTGACAATCGCCCGATATGTTACGCTTGTCGATACCCCGGACACGGCGCAAGGTATTGCCGCCGCCGGACGCATATCATCGATGAAAACCGCCGTGAGCCTTTCTTCCCGCTTGATTCCAACGCGCAATACGCTTCCTCCACTCCAATGCCAGCCCGCTACCAGGACGACCACCGCCCTCGGCCGGGACGTAGTCGCTCGCCCTCTCCACGCTGCCGCTCGCCTTCTCCTATGCGTCGACGGCCCGCGTCTAACGAGGAGGAAAACTAAACGACGCAGTTCCCGAGGCAAGAACTGCACAAGTTTCGGTTTTCCCGAGTCCTCATTTGTCACCTACCAATGTTATTGATGTGTTCGTTGAAAATATCCCTACTGTCGCTCTTGTAGATACCGGTGCAGCTGTTTCTGTTATCGATGCTGGATTTTGCCGCTCAATTCGTAAGGTTACGACGCCTTTCTTTAGATTATCGCTTCGCACAGCCAGTGCTCTACTTGTTCAACCGACCGCAGTATGTACAGCCCGCGTGACAATTCAGGACGTTTTATATACCGTAGAGTTCATGGTTCTTTTATCGTGCTCCCATACTATTATCTTGGGATGGGACTTTTTGTCGCGTCATAACGCCGTAATCGACTGTGCTAGGGCTGAGGTAGAATTTTGCTCACTGGATGACCGAGCGTCCGTCGACACCCAGTCTGCCGCTAAACTTGTCGTTAACGATGACACCTACATCCCTTCATGCTCTTTTGCGTTCGTACCAGTTTCATGCAGCGCCATATCCGACAGCACGGTCTTCTTCACACCATCTTTAATATTCGTCGCCCGAAGAGCCCTCCCCCTGCCTTTTGCTGCTCTCGACCTTGTAAAAGGCTCAACCACAATGCCAATTTATAATCATGAGTCGTCGTCTTTATCCCTACTTTGTCACAAGTGCCTTGGCCACTTCGAGACATTCAGTTCTACCAGAATTATATCCGTTCCGATGAGGTGCCTTCTACCTCCGTCTGTGAACTGGCTGTCGTCTCAGCGGCTGACTCAACGTCAGCAAACATATTTCAACCATTCATCGCTGAAGATTTGACCTCTTCGCAGCGTTCACAACTCCTCACGATCCTCGAGTGCTACCGCCATTCTTTCAACGTTGCACAAACATCTCTCGGCCGTGCCTTAGCAGTAGAACACCACATCGACACTGGGTCCCACTCACCGCTGCGACAACGACTATATCGCGTGTCCGCTACAGAACGCTGCGTCATTGCTGACCAAGTAAACGACATGCTTCGCAGAGGCGCCATTCACAGAGCCCATGGGCGTCTCCGGTGGTCCTCGTCAAAAAGAAAGACGGTTCTATTCGTTTCTGTGTTGATTTCCGGCGATTGAACAAGATCACGCTGAAGGACGTCTAACCACTACCGCGCATTGACGATGCTTTGGATAGTTTAAAGGGTGCAGAGTTCTTTTCCTCGTTAGACTTGCGGTCAGGCTACTGGCAGGTGCCGATGGCGGAGGCCGATCGCCCCGAAACCGCTTTTGTCACGCCAGACGGTTTATATGAATTCACCGTCATGCCCTTCGGACTTTGCAATGCACCTGCAACGTTCGAAAGAATGATGGACAACATCATGCGTGGACTAAAATGGAAGATATGCTTGTGTTTCCTCAATGATATCGTGGTCTTCGCCCCTAACTTCGACACCCACTTACGCCGCCTTCAGGACGTCCTTACTTGCTTGACTAACATCGGTTTGCAGTTAAACCTTAAAAAATGTCGATTTGCCATGCGTCAACTGAACATTTTGGGCCACGTTGTTTTCAAAGAAGGCATCCTCCCAGATCCCAAGACATTGCGAGCTGTTACGGCGTTTCCTAAACCTGCCACCATCAAAGAACTTCGAAGTTTCATCGGCTTGTGTTCGTACTTCCGGCGATTCGTCCGAAACTTCGCGTCTATTATATCACCTCTCACGCAACTCCTCAGCAACTGTAAAGACCTCTTATCGTGGTCCCCTGACTGCGACGAGGCTTTCACCACCTTGCGGCAGCTTCTCACGACGCCACCTATTCTACGCCATTTCGATCCTGAAGCTCCAACTGAAATCCACACCGACGCCAGTGGTGTAGGTCTGGGTGCTGTGCTCGCACAGCGTAAACCGGAGCATCAGGAATACGTTGTGGCATACGCTAGTCGCACACTTACCAAGGCTGACAGCAATTACAGCGTCACAGAAAAGGAGTGCTTGCCCATTGTGTGGGCCTTTGGAAAGTTTCACCCATATCTATATGGTCGTTCTTTTGACGTCGTGACCGACCACCACGCGCTGTGCTGGCTTTCAACGTTAAAAGACCCATCTGGCCGCCTCGCTCGCTGGGCGTTGAAAATTCAAGATTATGACATACGTGTGGTTTATAGGTCAAGACGGAAGCATGCTGACGCCAATGCCCTCTCCCATTCCCCCCTGTCTCAGAATGCCACAGTTGACTCCGCCTGCGATTCCACATTGTCATCTCTTGACTTTGACACCATTGCTATCGAACAACGCAATGACCCGTGGACTGCGTCTCTTCTTAATCATCTCTCCGACACTTCTGAACTCCCAAAGACGCGAACGCACCGGCGCCGAGTTCCACACTTCTCGATACGTGACATGCTTCTCTATCGACGCAACTACGCACCAGAGGGATGCAAGTGGCTGTTCGTCGTTCCACGAACCCTGAGGTCACAGATTTCTTCCTCTTGCCACGCTGATCCACAATGTGGCTGCGCAGGAGTCTTCAAGACCTACGAAAGGCTTCGACATGGTTACTACTGGCGTGGTATGTATACCTTCGTCCGCTCTTGTGCCGAATGTCAGCGCCGAAAATCTCCACCACACGCCTCCTCCGGTGAACTGCAGCCTTTATTTACCATGCCCTTCCCGACCCTTCGAACGGGTCGGAATAGATATGTATGGGCCCCTTCCATTGACTCCGACTGGCAACAGGTGGATAATAGTTGCTATCGACCACCTAACGCGCTATTCTGAGACCGCTGCTCTTCAAACGGCTATAGCACAGGAGGTTGCCACTTTCCTACTGCGTCATTTTGAGTTGCGTCATGGAGGCCCTCAAGAACTCCTCAGTGACCGTGGCCGCGCCTTCTTGTCCGAGGTCATTGAAAAATTGCTCGCTGAGTGTGCTATTGTACATCGCACATGTACCGCTTACCACCCTCAAACCAATGGGGCTACCGAGCGCTTTAATTGTACTCTCGGTGACAAGCTATCTATGTATGTGACGCCTGATCACTCTAACTGGGACTTAGTTCTCCCATTCATTACATACGCCTACAATACGGCAACGCAAGCGACAACAGGCTTCTCCTCTTTTTACCTCCTATACGGCCGTCACCCCTCCCACACCATTGACACCATTCTGCCCTATCGACCAGACGCGTCCGAGTGCCTACCTATCTTGGATGCCGCCAGACACGCAGAAGAATGTCGCCAGTAACCTCGTCGCTTTACCTGCGATGACCAAAACCGGCAAAAAGCAATTCATGATGCCCAGACCTCAACTCCCGTTTTTCTTCCGGGTGCCCTTGTGTGGCTGTCAGTGCCGCATCGCACACCTGGGCTCTCTTCCAAACTTCTGCCAAAGTACGATGGGCCATATCGTATTCTCGTACAAACTTCGCCAGTAAATTACCTCATTGAGCTTCTTACGCCACCGTCAGACTTGCGACGTCGCAACCGCGAGGTTTTACACGTCCAGAGGCTCAAGCAGTACCACGGTACAACATCGCCTGCACAGGACTAAGTCGCCAGGATGGCTCCTTCTTTTCCGCGGGGCCATTGTAAAGAAGAGGAAGTTCTCCGGATCAGAGGCAGCAGCATCGAGAGTGCAGCAGCAGCTCGAGCTCATGAATTGCGGCTGGTGCATCGCCTTCCAAGCCTTCCAAGCATCAACCTTTCTGCTCAATAAATCTCCATTTATTTCCTTTTGAAGAAGGCAAGTGCCTGTTTTATTTTGTCAATGAATCAAACTTGCCTGATGAGTTTTCACTGAACCTTGGACTAACTGCAACAAAGAGCTTATATAAATGCGCACTGGACAAAGTGTCATGCTAGCAGCTTTCGTAGGCAGCTCTATGGGCAGGATAAACACCCGACACAAGATACCCTACAACGCTCATCTTACTACACAGTGTATTCAAAGGCACAAAAATTTGACATAGCACGGGCGCGGAACACACACAAGCATTGTGCGAGTTCCCTCTTTAAAAGAATATACAGAATACTTCACAAAATTTTCTAGCAACAAAGATTTTTGGGAGGCTTACTTTGTCAACCAGAGCCTTGGTCATGTGCGGAACCTGCAACATGGCCTCCGCCGTCGTCGGCAGGTTTTCGGCAATTCCGCGCAGCGCGTCGATGTGAATCACGTTGCTGTAGTGAGTGTTCTTGGCCAGCGCCAGTGCCTTCACGATGGACACCAGCTCCAGGTGGCACGCCTCGGTGAGCTTCGTGATCTCCGGGTTGGCGCGGCTCGGCTCCGCCGCGGATTCCTCGACACGCACGGCCGACTCCGAGGGCCGCGACTTCTTCTCGATGGAGAGAGTTATGCGCGCCGGGCCGGACAGAAGTTGGGAAAGCTTGCCACCGGGTCTCAGGTAGGACATGGCCATCTCGAGGTAGTTCATGGTGATCTCCTAGAGTGTAAATTGACTCCCATTAGAGAATGGCATCATACTGTGCTTGCATCACCAGTTCATTCACTTGTCAATGTTGTTGTCGCACTGTTCAAGGACGCAACCAAGTGCCGCAGTTAATCAAATAATCTTCTGACTGACTAAGCCTTTAGTCGTGTTTCGCTTATCCGGCATGTTTTGCGATTGTCGCGTTACTTATAAAGGCAAACTTGACACCCTGGAGATTTCGCGAAATTCGTGAATACCTTCCATGCTGTAGTATGACAAAAGTCATGTACAGCATTTGCCAGCGAGTTTCTTCTTAAGCTTTTTCGTGTAAAAAATACACGTTGGAATACATGCAATCGTGCCCATCAGCCCATTCTATGTTCAGTGCAAGGCAAGGGCCTCTCTCAGCGGTCTCCAATTGGCCTGTCCTGTGCAAGTGGATTTCATTCTAGGCCGTAAAATATCTTAAATTCATTCCCCCGCCTATTGACCTGCCGTACTCGGCAGTGTTTACCATCTATTGGCATTCACTGCATCTCTCGAACTGAACACTGCTTACCTGTGCTGCACATTTAGGCAGCCATACCACGTCCATTTGTTTAGCTTAATGTAAACAGAGCATCCGATGCACAGTTTGTTTTGAGACTCATTCTTCTGTCTTAGACTCGCTTAGTTTTTACCTAACATCTTCCATTTGACTTCATGCTGTGAGATCCATAATTTCTTTTCATGCTTCTTTGCTATCCTTTAAGGCCTGACTTCTAGGTCAGTTATTCTAGTATTTCTTTTATCCTGTTTCAAGTTACCTTTCTAAATATTTTGTATATTGAAGGACCATTATTTAATTGTTAATATCTGCTTTCTTGTCAATGTAATGCTGGCACTTTTTCAGTTTACTGGCACTCTCAATGTTTCGAGGCATTGAGCGAAAAGTGCTGCAAGTTCCTGCAATATAAAATATTCTCATAGATTAAACTGACCATCATACTCTTTTGAATGCGCACTTTTCCACAGGACTTACTGCGTACGGCCTTTCTAATCTTGTGCGTAATTACATGTAGAACTTTAGTGTCTTGTTTGACTTAACTTTTGCTCAAGGATGGGTGACTTATACGCAAACAATACAGTTCAAAGCACAAGCCCGCTGAAAAGATGTCATTGAAATTGCTAATGTTGCTCTGCTTATCCTTCTGTGCATGCATTTTGGCCCTGCCTAAAACATCTTTGTCTCAGAGTTCTGCATTTCCGGCTTATCATGGCTGCAACACCACGGCACAGTTTACTTAATGCCGTGTCTCTTCACCGTGTTAGTGACGTTACGTCTCTTTTCTGATGCCATTCGATTTCACTGAAAACGGCTTCCTTTCAAACTTTGCCTTTCCTTTTTTCCCCCTTGAGATATCACTCCGAGCAAATGGAATAGGCCAGCTTTGGCAGTTACTCACCACCTGTGTTGCCAAGCAAGTTATGTATGAAATGCAGGCAGTGTTTATCCTTCTCTTCAGGAAATGAAGTTGTGCAAAGTGCTAGTAAATATTCAACAGATCTTCCATAAGCGTATCATGTAGACAATCTGGCAGTCAGGACATTCGTAATGCAACACTTTGCCATTCGGTAATGGCAATGAAAGACAGTGCGATAAGTCATCATACAGTGATTCGTCTTGCAATAATGCTTCTTGAGATTATGCGTCGTGCGATTATGCATCATGTGATTATGCATTGTATGATAATGCATCGTGCAATTGTGTGTAGTGTGATAATGCAAATAATGCATCGTGCAATAATGTGTTGAACGATAATGCGTCATGCAATAATGTGATGTACAACAATGTATCATGCGATAACATGCCATGTAATAACGCAGCTTGTGATGATGGGTCCTGTGATAATGTGTCGTGCAATAATGTGTCATATGATAACGCCACTTACGAAAGTGATCGTGTGGACAATTCATCACGTGTTAATGTATTGTATCGATAATGCCTTGCGTGGACAATACGTCGAGCAATAACGCGCCATGTCATGATGCACCGTGTGATGATGTGTCGTGCAGCTGAGGGCAGAGCAAGGCAATGTGACAGGCAATGTGACAGGCAACAACCTCCTTGAGGTAGCCGTCGAGGACCAGTCGTCGAACCAACCGGTTGGCATCGTTACGCTGGTAGGCCTTTCCACGGCCGTGGAGTGGCAGAGCGTCCAACTTCTGCTCTTTCATCTTCTTGTTCATCGCCCCTTTGAAGATGTCCACGAGCTGCACGAGAATTGCGAAGAGGGGGTGTACAGTCTCCATGAGCACTTGCAAGCAGGCCACAATGTGTTTGTACAAAAACAGCCAAGCATCATTATGCACTAACAAAGTCACATGCGATGCAAAGCCAGATTTGTTTAATTTGTTACAAAACACATACTATACATTATACTCTAACAGTGGTGAGGTTGTCTCTCATTCGTTATGCTTACATCTGCTGTATTACAGCTCAACTGCATCGTCCTCAAAATGCTAGATTAGCACACCTTCATTTGAAGAACTTTGCCAGTATCTATGCCTAATATTATACAAATGAAAACTTCTACAAGGTTAAAGATCTGTGAACCTTTTCAGAGAGAAACATGAATGGGAGATCAAGCATACTGAATGCGCCTTATTAACCGATAGGTACAAGCCACAACACGAAAGACACGAAAGACACGAGCGCTATAGCGCTCGTGTCTTTCGTGTCCTTTTGTCTCAGTGTCGTCGTTTTGTTCTCGCGCTATAACTATCGTCGAACCAGTTGCGGCATGATATATAGCATCTCTTTGGTTATCACTTATATTACAGGGCCACAGAAAATAAAATTAAACTTTCACTAGATTGAATATCCATGGACCTGTGCACTGACGTCTTCAATGTACTTTAAACGCAGGATTGCATCATACTCTACTCATAAACTGTTATTCTGTCCTAAATTAATGAAATAATTACAGTGAAAGAAATTAATGAAGTGTAGAAACCCTTTTTAGGACGCATACCTGATTCACTGTGATGTTGACACGTTTGGCATTCAGGTCCTGCACGCATCGGGCCACTTCTCGCGCATCATCAGTGACATCCATCATGACCCAGCGCGTCTCTGCCAGGCAGTTGTCACAAGCAAAGCGTCGGTTCTGTTTGCAGAACTGGCGGTCGAAATTCTCGCCGAAATAATGCAAAACCTGAAAGAACAGATAAAACTTCGATGGAACTTTTCTCAACAAGAGTGTCACAACGAAGTTCGGTACTGAAGTGTTAAAGTGATGAGAAAAAGGAAGTGTTCACAAGTTTAGCAAGGTGAGAGAAAAACTAACGTGGCAGTTTCACAGGAAGGTCAAAGCAATGAATATGAAAGCAATAAAATCGAATGTTATATGAAGCAAGGCTGGCAGCTCACTCCTTTAGCCTTGAACATGGCACAACGTAACAAAATCCGGCGTAAGGAAACACGACCTCCACGGTATCTATGGTTTCCAAACAAACACAACGCCTACAAAGGTATGAGGTGTCTACTACCCCCTGTAATGACACAGCATGTGTGACCACACCGAGCAGGTCAAAGTACGAGTTCGTGTCTGAAATATGCAGCCCCCCTCCAAGAACATAGATTAACTCAACAAACGCCAATGCAAGGAAACAACACGACTGCCGCAGCGAGTCAAACGACCTTCGGGCTGTCCATGTCTTCAATGCAAAAGCAACATCTACAAAGGTATAAGGTTTGCTCATTCTTGTAACGTAGGGGTGAGCGAATATGCGAGATTTTGAATATTCTTTTCAGATTATGTTTGCCATTTGAGTCGATTAGCACAGGAATTTTACTATTCGAGCTTCCTGAAGACAAACACAGTGAACGTCCTATTGACAGTGGCCCCTTCAAGTTTTTAGTATGCTTCACTCCATCACACACTCATATTGTTGCAAAGCTGCCTTCGAGGCTCTACTAGGGTTGCAAATGTACAGTCTCGAGAAAATTCTCGAGAAACGCTAAAGCAATGAGCAAGTACGATTGGACGGAACGTCTATGAAAATTTTCTTTAAGCAGGAAAGTGATGTGGTGGGTGGAGCTTGTGTTCGCCCTAAGGTTGTAACAAACTACACTCTAACTTTAATATAACAAAATTGCATCTTACACGAAAATAAGTTCGTTATATCCGAAAATTTGTTATAAAGGTATATTCCAAATGCTTTATTTATTGCAAGACTATTCTTCATCTACTTCACTATAACCGATATTTCAATATATCTGGGTGCATTATATAGAGGTTCGATTGTATAAGTACGCACAATCGATCGATATGCACGGTGTGAAAGACAGGGAAATTTCGTCACACCTGCGCCCTGCGGCAGTCAGTTCGGTTCTCGCAGAAGTTGACCATGTGCCACAAGTTGGCGATGTGCGTCTGCTTGGCCGCCGCGTTGGCCATGGAGTCCTTGTCGATCATGGAGCGGATACGGTGCATGTCATGGTAGTTGTAGAAGAGGATGCAGGAGGCACGCTGGCCGTCACGCCCCGCACGGCCTGACTCCTGGTAGTAGCCCTCAATAGACTTGGGCAGCGTGTGGTGAATGACAAAGCGGACGTCCGGTTTGTCCACTCCCATACCGAAGGCGATGGTCGCACACACCACCTGCAACGCGGGTATTTCAGACATCATCAACACTAGCGCAGCAGAGGACAAATTATCTGTAGTCCATGTGTAGAACCGAAAGAGGAATGATTTCGAGGTGTTTCAATTAGACACATGCACAAGGAAAATACGAGTATAAAACAGAATGTATGTAGAGAATGCCAAGCATGTTGGTGAGATTTGCGATCTGTTTATGTGAAACAGAACACACAAAATCAAGGAGAAAAGAGGAATCTGAAGGGCTCATTTTCCTTTGTTAGACACAATGTTAATGAGAACAGACAAGGAAGGAAAACAGGAGGAAAAGAACGGCGGGGAGGTTAACCAGCCTATAGGCTGCCGGTTTGTTACCCTGTGCATGGGGGGGATGGGGGAGATGAAAGATAGAGAGGAGAGAGGGAAGAGAGATAAACACCGCACATTAGGCAGCACAGGCGCGCACAGAGAACAGACAATTCTGCTGAGGAAGGTATAGAGGTGTTATTTGTAGTATAATTATAATAGAAATGTGAAAAAAGTGAAGTGGACAAAAAGATAACTTGTCACCCGTGGGAACCAAGCCTACAACCTTGAAATTTAGATTTTAAGGTTGCAAATCCAGTTCATGCCAGCGGCAAGTTATCTTTCCATTCACTTTACTCTCGCTCCCATTCAGATCTTTCGTACATATGTTTCTCGAGAAGTGTTAACGCAGCGAACAAGAAAAACCGAAACTGGAACTGAAATCAGCCACAAGCTGCCATACTACTCTACTCGCAGACTAACCCAAATGTGTAGATAGCCCGCCTCTGCAGCTTTCGCTCTGCTGCCGAGACGAACTGTCCAACGCAATGTATTGGTGGGCTGGCTGATGTGAATCCATTGCGCTTTTTCAATGCAAAACGACACCTCAAAAAAAAAAAAAAAAACAGGACAGGACAAAAGAACTTTTTCTTGTTTTCTTTCTTTTGGTGTCATTTCACACTAAAAAAGCACGACGTGCTGTCCCTGAGTACAGAAAGCAGTCGTCGAAGTAGATTAAACTCAAGTATGCTGATGTAAGGATGCACCCACGAATTTTACATTAATCGAAGCACATTGTACACTTCACTCAACAATTCCTCTGTCATGACTGAATTTTTGCTTTTGTTGGAACATTGCACTTTTATAATAAGTCAAACAGGGAGTACACATTTTTCTTTGCACACTGTTATCGTTGCATTACCTTTTTGCATAGTTGTACTGCATTATGCTAGTTGCATATAAGTATCAGATTATCGTACTGCCTTCTATCGAATGTGACGGTCAATGCATGCTTTTAAGCCTATTTTGGAGGCCTTTCATCCTGGACGCTGTACTGGACACTGTACAGTACAGCATACAGTTACCTTGATGCTGATGTGAACCCCTGTTCAGAGCAAACTTACCTGGACCTTGTCATCGATCCACTGACGCTGGACAACACTCCGTCGACTGTCGGTGAGCCCTGCGTGATAAGACACGGATGCGATACCTTCCTTGCTGAGGTCGTCCGCGAGCTGGTCGCACTCCTTCCTCGAAAAGCAGTAGACGATGCCGCTCTGCCGCTTGAACTTTTTCTTGATGACCTCGACGATGTCGTGGACCACCGACTTGCCTGTCTTGAGGCTGACCTCGTAGCACAGGTTTGGCCGGTTGAAGCTTTGCAAGAACCACTTGGGGTCCCGCATCCCCAGCTGGTGAAGAATGTCCGTGCGCACCCGTGGTGTCGCTGTCGCAGTCAGTGCCACCATGGGGACGCCTGGAAACTTCTCGCGCAACACGCTCAGTCGCTTGTAGTCGGGCCGGAAGTCGTGGCCCCACTGGCTCACGCAGTGTGCCTCGTCGATGACGAAACGCGTGAGGTGCCCGTTGGTGTGCAATCGCTGCAACACTTCGAGTAGCCGGGTGCTGGCACTGACCTTCTCGGGCGTCACGTAAAGCAGCCGCAGCTGTGGCCGTGGTGACCTCAGGTCAGCGTACACGCTGGCGTTGTCGCTCTCGCCAGACAGGTGGTTAGCTGGCACGTCGAGTGATGTCAGTTTCTGGACCTGGAGGAGATTGATGAAGGGTATGTAACAACATTGACACTTGTTGTAGTTTTGCATGGTAAAGCAACATGATTACCCTCCAGCTGACCCAGATGAGGAGTGCATACGGCAGCGGGCATACCAGCCCGAATCAAGCATATACACTTGCACTTTGTTTGAAGTCTTGCAAGGAACAGTTTTAAGAACAATAGCACAAAAAGAGTACATCACCAAACGGGTACTACTACACTAGTGTATTATTTATGAGAGGAATTACTACTGAAGTATTACTCCATTTGTAAAAAAGTATGTGCACAGGAATACTATTTTTGCGACATCACAACTGCTGCATCTATACTCCTACAGTTAAGAAAAATGCACACACCTTCACAAAGTGAATCATGACGAGAGGGCGAAGCACTGGAGAATTAAATAACCCACCCACTCGTGCATGTAAATGAGTGACAATGCCATGTTCTTTCAACGACGATAGTCTTTCTTGGGGACCTTCGACGAAAAAAATTTTGTTTTGTCTGTCTGTACATAAAGTCTGTTTGTCCACCATAACAATACCTCAAACGGCATTAAACGGCCAACCCCATCCGCAGCGCCCACCAATATTGCTCAAGGTTTAGCGTTCATAGCTGTGCGATTGTCAATTGAAAAACAATTATTGCGCATATCTGAGGCACCACAACAACGCTTCGATGTTTTTTATGTCTGCCTTTATACTAAAAGAAGCACACACAAGTAACTCTAAGGAATGCAGCGTTTATCGTGTTGTGCTGACAATGCAACGCAATGCTCCAACACTTCGCTACAATGTCACGATGGTGGCACCTGCCCGTCGCTTTGCGTTCTACACCTTATCACCTCCGAGACTGGCACGCATCTTTCTCTGAAGGCTGCACGCCTTCGTTTTCGAAGATAACTGCCAGATGACGCTTGTGTCTAGCGTGCCTCGACGCGCTCGTTCGCCTCCGCTACACGCTCGAGGCACTCTAACGCAGCGCCTCCAGAAAACCATTTACCGATTTTTTTGCGCAGAACATCAAATAAACGTTTTGTTCACTCTCTCCAGACGCAAGACTATCGTCTTTCGACGACATTTGCGGTGTAACATGCAGATTTGGAACAAATTTTTTTTGGCAGCTTCATTTGAGTGACAAACAATTCTTCAAATGAGTGACAAACAATTGTTTTTTTGGTCAGTTTCACTTGATTACAGAGTTGTCTTTTTCCAACCCCACTTCTCTACGAATTGAGCACATTTTGAATGAGCAATGTGCATATGACATCGTGCAGGAAACATGGAAGGTTTCCCTATGCATGGTTTGTTTCATATACAAAAGTGCCACATTTCCCTTGACAGGAAATTTACACAATATCCAAAGCTGGAAATGTCTGCCAGATATTAAAACTAAAACTACTCATTAATGAATGTAGGCAACTGATAGGTTGCTATTATTAATGGACGATGTCACACGAACTACGGAGTGCGCCGACACTGGAAGTGGCTGTGTGCAAGGCCATTGAAGGACACCCCCCCCCTCCCCCCGGACAACGAAAGTTTTGTTTGGGACATTTTTATGGTGGTTTGTAGCTTTGCGTATGGAATTGTTGAAATTGAATCGTAAATGCTTTAATGCATCGTATAATCTATGCTTGAATAATTAATTCAGACCGATTTTGCGGCAGTTCAGAATACCTGCCTAAATACCGTAGGAAACTAGTGCCCCGCAGTGGGGCAGCACCTAAGGCTTCGATCGCTCAAGCTTCGGTGATGCTGAATGCGCTGTTTTCAATAGGGAGACCCACGTGTGGGCAAGAATAAAACAATGTGGACATTTCGAGCATGTTATGTTTCTTTTTTTTTAACTCATACTGGTGGAAGTCTTCGTCTCTTTTTTTTTTTTCATTCCTCATCTTCTTTCCTCTTTTTTCCCTCTAATCTTTGTATGCTCTGTTTCTTCCCTCCTCCTGAAAGAGAGAGGAGGCATTGTGCCCCTCCAGGTGGCAGTTGCCAGGTTGCTCTCTCCCTCTTTCTTCGGTGTCCTTGTGTATATGTGTATGCAAATCAAATGAATAAATACCCCCTCAAAAAAAGAAAGAAAAAAGAAAGCATTACTGGCATAAGCAGCTGAAACCACCTTAAGAGCAGCCCGACAACCAAGCCAGAGGGGTGACAAATAATATGTGGTGCCAGTGAGGGTATTATTCGCCTCCAAATGTTGTCCTATACCAGCAATACTTGCTTGACTCTTGCAAAGTCACGTCACGAGGAGGCCCCCGGTCCACGTCAAACCATGGAAAATGTCGATTGCACCTGAATACACGGACGAGCACGCACCCTTACTTTAAAACCAAATTAAAATATCTTATAGGCAACGCTCGTCACTAATAATTCGTCAGAAAAGCCCCCTCATGCAGGACTCTCAAACAACACAAGCATACTTTGTTTTGTAATGATTTCAACTGCGCTTAAACATTGAAAACAGAACAAGAGAAGATGGCATGTGCACACGTGCAGTGTTCTATTCTGCTGTCTTTGTCAGAGTGCAGTTATAACTACTGCAGGATAAACACTAACCAACTAGCCCAACTTCATGATCTGCTATCACTACTTTGCCATTGGCAATGGTTCACCCCTGTCTCTGGAGGGCCAGTAACCTACACCATGCCACTTCACAGTCCTCATTCTCACTAGCATCACCGCCGCCAGGTCCAGAAAGCTTTTGTGTTTCTCTACCATTGGGCAGAGCCTTCCTAGAACCTTATGTACAGCGACTTCCCTTGCTCCTGTGCAAAGTATGCAGAACATCGTTTCTTTGTATTGCCAAAAAAAAAAACAATGCTTGAACACAGCACAACAACCAACCGACCTGATCTTGAATGAGAGACTTCAGCGGGGATATGACGATGGTCACGCCATCACTCATGACAGCGGGCAGCTGATAGCAGAGAGATTTTCCACCACCCGTCGGCATCAACACGAAGCAGTCCTCTCCCAACAGAGCTGCGTTGATGGCTTCCAGCTGGTTCAGGCGGAACTGCTTCAAGCCAAACACTGAGGCAAACTTCGCCCTCAGCTCGGCAGAGTGCGGAAACCCGAAGCCCTTAAACTTGGTCGATGCGCCGTCATTGCGATACTGGCCAATAAACCGTCCTGTCGACCCAGAGTTGTTACCACAATCCTTCTGGGCCTGCGTTTCGGCTTCAACGATACTGAAGTCTGCATTAATGTCCTCCGTGTCAACGTCCTGAATAAACTCGGTGTCACTGATTGCAGTCGGCTTGCTCGCTGAGGGTTTTGAGCCGAAGTAGGGAGAGTGCGACGCACTACCGATCAAGGAATTAGTCGAACGCACATTATTGAGGTCCGGACTGATGCAGGAAGTCGGCGGCGGTTTGTTGAGGGTCTCGTCGCCAAGCCGTTTCAGTCTGTGAGACAGCGAAACCTCGCAAGACGGGCTGTCCGAAAACGCGCTGCCGAAGGAGTTTGAGGGCCTCGAGGAGGGTTCGCTGAAGTTTCCGAAGCCCGCGGAGGTAGTCGGGAACGACACCTCGCCACCAGGCGTAGTCCTCTCCAGACGACTCCCTAGAGAACCTCTGCTAGAGAACGAAGTCGCCCCTGCTGCGGACGAGTTTCTTTTGGCCTTTGAGGGTGAAGGGCCACCGCTAGATGCGGAAGCCCTTCGGAACTGGCGGAACACCTTACGGCGCAAATCTAGGAGCGACAGGACGTCGCCCGAAAGCTGTCGCTTCTCGTCGAGCAGCGAGCAGATGTGCGACGACAGTCTGTGGTCGTAGTCCCGCAAAAGCGCCGCCGCGGCCCGGGAGTCGGCCGAACCCCTCACGAAGTTGCGCTCGCTCGACAACAGGGCGCTTCCTTCGATCTCCTGCACCTCGGCGGCATCGAGCCTGCCGCTGGGCGAAAGAAGGCACGTCGCGGCAGAACTCGAGGGTCGCGCTTTTCTCGGGGACGGTTTCTTCAGGGAAGACGAGGAACGTCGCGACTCTGGGGCAATGAACACGTCATCGTCCTCGGCCCAGGCGCCGCCGTTCCAGAAGCCGCCGTTCTCCGACTGCTGCTTTTTGGGGGGTGTCGACTGGGACGGAATGTGAATGTACTCAGGCTCGTCGACGTCGGGCCAGTCAAACTCGGGACTGTTCGGCGGGAACTGCGTCTCCGAAACCTGCTGTACCTCAGACTGCGGCGCGCCGCCGGACACTTTTCTCGGAGACTTGAAGGCGCCGTTAACTCGCTGCCGACGGGGCGACTGTACCGTAGCGGTCTTCCTAGCGGCAGCAGCGCGTAGCGGAGGCTTGAATTCGTGCGGTAACCCAGCATCGCCACCGAGGTCTTCGTCTCGTCGAACCTCATCGTGGTTCGCGCCACTCGAAGCCTGCGGTCGTTCGCGCGGAGCACTCGCCTTGACGGCACCGGTACGCGACGACGGGTTCTCGTACGGCGTCACGCACTCGCCCACGAGTTCTACTAACTTTCGGAGATCGTAGAACTCGAATCCAGAACTTTTTACGGCGGTCGTCGAAGACTTTCCGTCGGCGGCGACTGAGTACGACTTGGCGGGGTGCTCTAGAAAGCGTCGCTTGCACTCTTCTAGGTTATTCACCGGCAGGCTCGTAGACATTTCCGCGAAGCTATCGCGAGCATTATGTTGTTGAAGTCACACTTTTTCTCTACTCTAACGACGTGTCGACAATTTAGTTCACGGTCATTCACAGCTGACATGCTTTAGACCCGCCAGAGTTTAGTCGCTAGGCTTGTCCTATAGAACAACGTTGTAAAACTTAGGGTAAAAGCAATGTTTTATGAGGGCGCTGCATTCTGCCGCAAACATACGCTTTGTAGTGACAACATAGGGCAAAGTGAGAAATGTATATTCACAAACTTACTTCATAAATTATATTTAAATACTAACTTTATTATTTGATACTTACAATTAAGTTTATTCTTGGGAAATGTGTAAAGCTTCAGGAAACTCCAGCACCGAGCGAACGTGACATCCTTCAGACATAACGGTAAAAGCCAGCGAGGACCGAGACAATCATCGCACAATTTGTTTCCGAAAGCGACTGCGAGGAATGGGAGCGAATTAACGCCGCAGCACACGTGAGTCGCACCTGCGCGCTCTTGCCTTAATGCGCGCTTACGCAAACATTTGCGCATGCACGCAAAAAGCAACGCGACAGCTGCGCGGTCAAAGAAAGACGACGAGCGCATTATTGGGCTCGTGCAGCACATTCCGAGGAGCCAGCTGCTTTGAGGCTCACTCGAGAGCGCGTCCCGTGATATCGTTGGTTCCATTTTTACGCCGCGTCAACGTCGCCAGCTCAAAGAGACACGTGAGTTCGAGTTGCAGATTATAATCGCGCACAGTCGCAGAACATCGCCCCCCCCCCCCCCCCCTTGAAAGATTGCTTCTCCGCAAGCACGGAAGCTTAACAGCAAAGGCGGATTTCCCGTTTGCGAAACGGACCCCGTTGTCAAAGGATTCCGGTTTGTATCTAGAGACTTTCTCGAGCACTTTTTGGTTGTTGATTTTTTTCTTGTCTTTTTCACTACGTAGGTTAGATGAAAACTATGGGGTAACACGTCAATTAAGCGGTGTGTGTTTGCGCTTTCTGCGTGAGGGGGGGGGGGGGGGGGAGTATATTGACAAGATATATATTACTGATCACACACGCAAACGTCACAACTTGGAAGTGTGCCAGCTTGGGCTAGTTGGTATGGCATGACGATAGTTATAGCGCGAGAACGAAACGACGACACAGAGACAAGAAGGACACGAAAGACACGAGCGCTCGTGTCTTTCGTGTCCTTCTTGTCTCTGTGTCGTCGTTTTTTTTCTCGCGCTATAACTATCGTCACGTCACAACTTGGGCGGTGTTTTTAAACGTATCGTTCAAAGTTTCATTCTTTGTACTGTCGTTTATTGTAGAGGCTCAGTTTGTATGTATTGTATGTCGTGTTGTGTATGTTAACTGTACAATTGAAGGTTATTGCGCATCTATCGGGAATAGCGAACACCGGCCCAAATATGGTTATTCCCAAGTTTCATTGAATATACGATTCTAAATAAAGCAAAAAATAAAAAAATCGTTTTGTGACAAATTCACCACATGCCTTAATAGAAATCTTCTCACCAGAACAGCGGCACAGAAGATTTAAGAGTATTAAAGAATAAGCAAAAGATCTGTACCTTGAATTTTATCCTCTTCATTCACCATCTGCTAAGCAGTATTTTTAATGGTTTCTAATTTTTTAATTGACACCAGTAACAAAAAATAAACTGCTGGCTGCTCTTATAACCTAAAATAATTGTAAATACTAGTCTGTTATTTAGTACTAATTAATATAGAAAATTGATTTTATTGATATGTGTGGTTTAACGTCCCAAAACCACCATATGATTATGAGAGACGCCATACTGGAGGGCTCCGGAAATTTCGACCTCTCGGGGCTTCTTTAACGTGCACCCAAATCTGAGCACACGGGCCTACAACATTTCCGCCTCCATCGGAAATGCAGCCGCCGCAGCCGGGATTCGATCCCGCGACTTGCGGGTCAGCATCCGAGTACCTTAGCAACTAGACCACCGCGGCGGGGTGGTTAATATAGAAAACACAGCCGAGGATGGTTGAAAATTAAGCAAAACAATGAAGGTAATAGATTTTCAGGCATAAATAAGAATCAGATAATACAGGACGGAGAAACTCTGAGATCACTGGGAGAGGCCATGCAGCAGTTGACACAAATTATGGGCTGATAATGATAATGAAATGCAAGTTGTTTTGACTATTTGATGACACTTCGGACCTCTGCACTGAAATTGTGTGCCATAAATACAAAAAAATAGTGCTTTTTAGTCTCAGCCTTACCTAGTTATAGTCAACATTTTGTGATGTTGCACATGTTGCAACTTTATGCATGCAATAAAATGACAAAGATTGCATTTCTAAGGCCTTATGTTTTCTTTGCTATGTGAGCGTACTTTCCTTTCTTGTAGTTTAACTATAGAAGGACTTGTTAAATTGCATGCAGTAATGCACCTTATCCATGCTTTTGTAAACTCATACTAGCTGGCCTCATGGTGTCATTTAACTCTATTCATACAGTGGAGCTATTAGATATGCGCATAGCGGGACATTTAAAACTCACCGTATTGCAGGGAATGCAGCAGGAAAGTAGAATTTATGCAAGAAAGAAATGGGCAGACCGGTGCGATTATTGTTTCGTTAAACTAATACATTGCAGGCTGCTGCACAACTCTGATATCTTTTTCAACTGCAGCAATGCTCCTAGTCCAATCATTGAGCCTTGAGCCTGTACAAGTGTAGTGCATGTTTTTAATGTCTAGCCTCTGCAAACATGCGCTGCGACTTATCTCACCTGTTCCATTCAAGTTAAAAGACTGAGCACGCTAACACAGACGCGAGCGGGAAGTCAAGACGGCACAGATGCCGGCAAACAGCATAAGAAGTGGACAGCTGTGGAAATGGAAGAAGGCACAAAAACATCTACGCATGCCTAGGCAAGAGGCGGTACCAATACTGCCTGTGTGGAGGTGTAAGTGAGAGATAACTGTTCAGGCATTTTATTTATTGTTTATTCAATTTAATCTACGTTTGGCTTGGGCATGCACCACCATTGTTATCGATGTGCCAGGCCTCAACTATTAGACGTGTTTCTTCGACCCTCTGCACGTATGAAACAATTTTAAAGGAGACGTCGCTCTAGCGAATTCTTTATTTTTTTGTCAATTTTGATTAAACCCCAGAGTTTATGCAACTGCGCACTCATTTCAAGTGTGCATATATTTTTCTAGTATGATGTGTAGCTTTTAAAATAGAAAACATTTCATGTGCCTTATGAGATGCAAAGTTTTTATAAACTAAGAAAGCTGCAAAACAAATGAGCATATTACAGTAGTCTGCAGTCAGAACTGTACTCTGTGCGATCTGAAATTGAATGTTCTGAATCCACCAGGATAAAAGTTATTTTATGCTGAACATTTGCCAGAGAGTCAGTTTAAAGCTGGGATTTCACTCGTGTATGCTCCACATGCTATAACTTTTGTTCTAATGGGTTTAGAATATTAATTTTTGTTGCACTGTGGACAGTTCCGATTGTAGATTTAATTTGCAATTACTTCTCTCAGCTAAAAAAAAAATTTTACTCCCCAAAAGGCACACGAAAAATATTGTTTGTCAGAAACCACACATTATACTTTAAAAAACAATTCCATATTCGAAATCAGAACAAAATTTTTAGTGCTATGTCTCCTCTTAACATGAATACCTAACACGTTAATCTCTTCCTAATAATTTGTTCCGCTTTCTTCTAGCAAGTTCCGTGGCACTGCAATTAACACCGCTTCTCGACCATGACCGTCGCTGTGATGGACATCGCCTACGTCGGCCTCCTCCTAGTCTCAATCGTGGCCGGTAACTTTGTGCACCGCATCAAGGAGGTCCGCCACCGCCGGGTGTACTGTACCGCCCTGGGAGCTTTCCTGGTGCTGATCGTGTCCGGTCGGCATGCCGTGCACCCATGCGTCGTCAGCGTCGTCAATGCCTTCATCGTCACCACGTTCTCCATGAAGTGAGTGATGGCACCGTGGTTCGGCCCAGTCAGTGTGACATAGTGCTAGTTCACACTTGTTAAAAAGTAACGGTACAAGCACAGAGAAACGGAGTAGATATGGACACATTACGCTATGGGCGCTTCATATTGTAGTGACAATGTGAAGCACCTCAACACAGTGCGAGTGCTGACATTCGAGCGGTTTATCTTAAACCTTAGGATGAATACATCGTATTATTACTTTCAAACCTTTTATAACAATGACACAACTGGCACAAGAATGGCTTCGTTATATTCAAACATTTGTTATAAGCCGAAATTCCTAACGCTGCTATAGTGGCTAGACTATGTTGTATTTAGTTTGTTATAACTGCTAATTTGTTATAACCGTGTCTGTTATATCGAGGTGTGGCTACTACAAACACAACTCTTTCTCAACAGAGCCTGACATATGCACAGATTAGTTATAGTCACTTTCTCACTTTTGTCCTCTTTTGCTTAAGTGCTTTACATCGTTACAAAGTGAAAGAGTGTTTGCATTTGTTCTTACAGACTTCATCTTTCCATATAACACTAAGTACTGTAATATTGAAGGGAATATTTTCAACACGATAGTTTTTGAAAGTTCTTTTTGCATAGAATCAAATGTCGCCATCTTTGGTCGTGAATGAAAGATTAGCGTTGACTGTGAGTGAAAAGTTCAAGGTTAATGCAAATAAAGGTATGAGACAGAGGGCGTTTGCACCTTGACTTTTCTTACGGTATGGCTTGATTCTCCACCGAGGATTGAAGGCAGGCTAGTGATTGGGAAGCCGGTACTCGCTCGTACTTTGGACACACAAAACACTGTGTTCATAAAAGTGCTGTAGAAGATGGCAGAAACGTTATTATAGGCATGTGTGTGTGTGCACATACACATGTATGCAGATATTGCTGTTGTGTTCAACTCTGAAAGGTGAAGCTTTAGGGTAACCGTATTTTTGCATCGCTTCTTGATTTGAGCCACAGTGCATGTACACAGCAGCTCTAAAGAGACGAGGGCCACGTATAATCCAACCCGGTACCTCAAACCTTGCTGCCGCTCTGCAGCATCGTGCTCTGAGCAACCTGCGCCGCTGCACATGGATGGTCTAGAGGACAGTGTGGCTGTACTCGCTACATGAACAACCAGCAGTAAGGCACGGGGCCAGACAAGAGTTTGTGAACAATTGACGTACTCAAGGTGAACTTCTTCTATTTCGTGATTTTGACGGTCGATTTAAAAATTATGCTTTGGCAGGTGGCACAGTTACACTCCTTGAGCATTATCGCATGGTGACTTCTTTAAGAAGCTTTAATTAATGCATCACTAATTAACCCAGTAATACTGATTCAGTCATAAGTGTAAAGTGGATGCACACTCTGTCAGATTCATTGACAATGCACAGCACGAACATGAAGGTGTGCTTGTTTGATGCGTCTTACATGCAAGGAAGTTCTCACAGGCTCATAATAAACTTATGTTTCTGCATTTCGCTCGCACTGGTACACAGTAGCTCTACTCAGAGAGGCCGATCCCCATTCACCGCAGGGGTCTGAATCACAAATACAAGACTCGTGAACTGCGCACTCATTCAAATGCCTCTGTCTCGCTGTAGATAACTGGTATACATGAGAACTAGAGACAATAATACCCTTAAACTTACACTTTCCTTCATTTGTGCATAGCTAGGATGGCCCTAATACCTTGATTCACTTTTTATTCATCGCAGATATCGGGCAAAGGCCAGCTTTGTGTTCTGCTTTGGGTACCTGGTGTTCTTCAAGTATCTGAAGTTGTGGAGCACCAATCCGCCGCCGGGCATCACCAACCTCGTCCAAATGATGCTCACGCTTCGGGTCAGTGCATACACACTCCTGAAACATGCATAGATGATAAAGCGAACCGCAAAAAAAATGAACGTGAAATGTGCAAAGGACAGATTACGCATCAGACTGCCTACTAAGGTTAATGCGAAGAAAACTTTGAAATAGTTTTAAATAACTTGTTTATATAACTGACTGCTTACAGGGACAGAAGCAAACAATAAGCGCACTGGGCACTATGCGAACAATGCTTTGATAACTAGAGACAGATAAGCAATGTTTACATGATTATGATCTGTGACTAAATAAATATTCATATTACCACCTCTTTTTAAGACAAACTAATAGATCACTCAAACAGTCATACGCACAGGTATGTTTTCATAGAACAGAGAGTAGGTCAAACCGGCAATGCATCGGTCTTGTTTGATAATGGAACTTTTGTCTCGTTGCATTGTTTGGAGGATGGCGCAATCGCACAGTTCTGACAAGTTGGTAGCTTGCTTTCTGCATAATCTAACCAAACTGACATTACCTAACCTTGACCAGCCAGAACCCATTAATACATTGCTAACTAACATGGCAGAAAATTGAGTGAGCGAGCAAGTGAATGAGTGACCGAGGGAGCGATAGAATGAGTGAGTAGCAGAGTATAAATGTAGAGTGTAGCAGTTATAGTAAGCAAGCGAATGAGCAATTGGGTGGTCGGGTAGAGGAGCTAGTGAGTGAGTGGAGTTAGTGAGTGAGTGTAGTTAGTGAGTGAGTGGAGTGAATGAGTGAAGTGAGTGAGTAATGCTTGTAATCTCTGCAGATGGCAGGATTGGCCATGGAGCAGCAGATCATCCATGAGCAGCACCAGGAGAAGGACACCGACCAGCAGGCGTACGAAGAGGGCAACATGAAGCCCGGCTTTTGGGATGTCATCGACTACGCCTTCTGCTACATTGGGGTCCTCGTAGGTGAGTTGGTCGTTTCCTTGGAGACACTGACCTACACCTCTGCTTCTATGGAAGGGGTGCAGACACTGAATTCTCTGGCGATAATCCTGAGGCAAACTTTTTGTTGCGTACGTCTGAATGTTTCACTGCCTGTAGCTGCTGCTGCTGCTCCCTCTCTGAGCAGGTTCCCGAACAATCCCTGACCATTCTGAAGAATATATCCTGAGAAGCTTGTGTCCTTGAACACAGCAGCTTGATACAATAGCCATTAGGCCACAGTCGCACTTGTTTGTTGCGTGAATGATATCTATATTTCCTCTACAATACAACTCTTGATCTAGGATGTGTTCAGTGAATGATTGCAATGGCATGCTTGAAAAAAACTTTGATTTCATATTTTAAAAGCGTTTTACTCAATTCTGAAAGTGGTTTCGAGGCTTGGCAATGTGATTAGTTCGTACGCACAAATGCAGGACCGTACTACCGGTACCGGACATATCGCGACTTCCTGAACGCACCTTACCTGGACACCGTCGACCGCAAGGGCATGTGCCTGAACCGTGTCAAGATGGTGCCGATCTACGCTCTGCTCTGGCTGCTGTTCGTCCAGATCTTCCCTCCCGACGTAAGTGGTAGCCGCTGTTGGATTTTAGTCTCACTGCTGGAACGATTAAGGTTAGGGCACTAGTACACAGCTGCCGAGCTATCGCCATGAGCTATGCAATGCCAGCTGGTAAAATAAAAGGGTGTCGCACACTTGCGGTTAAGACCACTGTAAATTACTGAGCAAGCACTCCCCTTCCCTTTTTCGGGATATTCGAAATACGCTCTAATGACCGGACAAGCGTCCCCCTCCTTGCCCATCACTTTTTTAACCTCTTCTCCACTACATTAGGGGTTGCATTCCGAATTGGGGGTTGCATTAGGGGCTGCTTAGGGTTGACACAACTTGTCGATGCACTAGAAAAAATTGCCTTCGCCCTTTGTCACAGTAGATGAAATTTCACATGAGGATCCCCTCCAGTGCTGTAAAAACATTAAATGAATGCGTATTTAATAAAGCATTTTATGTGAAGCACAGGTATGCATTCATTGTAGAGTTTTTTTTTTTCTTATTGCTGCCATCTTCAATTTTGGTCCACGACCAAGCAAGGGCCGGGTCCCCACTTCAAATCTTGTCCCATTATCTTTCACTGTAGGTGCTTGCTAGGAATTTGCAGCATGAGTCATCATCATCATCAGCTTGAATACGTTCATTGCAGAGCCAACAGCCTCTCCCATAAACCGCCAATCAACCGGTGTTGTGCTTTCTGCTGCCACGTTATACCTGCAAACTTCATAAAGGGAAACTAAAGTAAAATAACAACTTACGTCAGAGTGAAAGCTCAATGTATGACTACATCTAAAACGACAATACTATCAACAAAAGTGCCCTACTTACCGAGAAATTAAGGTAAATGCACAAGAACACATGTGCCGCAGTTGGACATTCTAAAAATAATCCCGATGACGTCAGGTGGACCGCCTACAATTAATCGCTGGTAATCAATCTAGCTACACTAAATAAAAAACCTTCTGTGCATCAAGAGAAGCAATAAAATGCTGCTTGTTCGTTTCTGTTTGATTCATGAAAAAAAGAACCGCCGGGCGTTACTATGGAGAATAACATGAGTGATTCAAAAATACAATTTTCGCGTAGTTACGCTAGACAGGTGGCACCATCTAGTGGGACGCAGTGTAATAAAAAAACATCTGCAATCTCGAAGCCAATGGTGGAAAATTGATCAATGGCCGTTGTTGCTTCTGTGGGTCCCGCTGCTTTCGGTTTGCTGCTACTAGCGCAGTAAAGCCGGGCAACATTGTGTGCGGCAACAGTGACGTGATTCGGTCCAGTCGGTCCGCTTCTTGAGGCGGGTAATTTGAAGTGCGCTAACCCTATGCGGAGCCCTAAAACGTGATTTTATTTCAAAATAGGCCCTTCCTAGGCACAAAAGTAACAGTACGAGGTTTCTGGACCGCTATTTCAAGTATCAACGTCTACGTAATAGTTGCTTTCAGTGTCCCTTTATCTCATCTGCCAACCTAGTTTTCTGTCTCCCTCTCGCGTGTTTGCCTTATGTTGGAATGCTTAAACAGCAGTAGTTATCCTGCCTACAAGCTATGTGCCCAGCCCATGTTCATTTCTTCTCGACTTCAACTGTGATATCCATAACCCCCGCTTGTTCCCTGACCCACTCTGCTCTCTTCTTTTTTCTCGATGTTATACCCATCACTTTTCTTTTCCAACGCTCGCTGCTTCATTTCGATTTGGGTGGAACCCTGTTTGTAAGCCTCCAGGTTTTTGCTTTATATGGTATGAGTGGCACTTGTTAGACACTCCCATGATCACATTCACGATTGATTGATATGTGTTCTTTAACGTCCCAAAACCACCATATGATTGTCATAGACGCCATAGTGGAGGGCTTAGAAAATTTCGACCACCTGGGTTTCTTTAATGTGCACCCAAATCTGAGCACGTGGGCCTACAGCATTTTCGCCTCCATTGAAGATGCAGCCGCCGCAGCCGGGATTCGATCTCGCGACTTGCAAGTCGGCAGCCGAGCACCTTAGCCACTAGACCACTGCAACAGAGCTCACATTCACGAAAATGTCCAAGAAAGTGGGCAAGAAAATAATTGCTGCCATAGCTGGTCCATTAATTGATGACGTAGCGAGCGATGGAAAGGAAAATGACAGGTGTAACTTATCATTTCCTTTCCATCGCTCAAAGGTTGTGTTACCTACAACCTTTGAATAATGCGTGGAATCCATAATTTGAAGGTTGTAGGTTTGGTCTCCACCAGTGGCAAAATTGTTTCTTCATTCATTTCTTCTTCATTCTTCATTCATTTCTTTTCATTTGTCACTATTGCTACACTAGAGTGAGAGCCCACAGATAATATCCCATATTCCTCGCCTGGCTTCTGCATCTGCTGGTTTCACGAGGTTGTGCCTAACAAAGTAATAGGGCCTTGATCTATTCTCCTTCTTTCTTTCAGCCACTGAGACACACGCAAAAATTTCCAAGAAAACACAAGCACACACAAGAAAACACATATTTTTCTTAGCATCTTTCACGTGTGCCTCTGTAGCATGCTGTAATCGGCAACAGATTCACATCGTAGTCACTAATTTCTCACACGACGTCACAGCATTGATGTATAGTGTTGGCCAATGCTATTTATCGCTGGTGTTTGATGTTTCAAGAGAAATAAACAATCGTGATGATGCTAACACAGAGACAATGACATTATTATCTCACGGCTGTGTGAATAGCACTTTGCGAGGCTGCTGAAGTTTAACATAAAGAAAATGCGCAGCTAAAAGCAGAGTGTAGACAAATTAAGTAATGATGCAGATACATGCTTGTGTGGGTCACTCATTACTCTGTTCATGTCCCTGTCTTGCTCTTTGTATTTATACGTGTATGTGCATTGCATGTGTGTAGGTAACACTTAGTGAAAACTGCAGACTAACTGAGATACAGCCGCCCCAATATGTATTGGTTGCCCAAAAATACAAAAGTTCAAGCAAAGCTTCATAGTTTTCACTATTTCATAGTGTGTTGTTTTTATCTCCATCTTAAATGCAATACACTCTAGCCTTGATATTATGAACTCAGATATAAAGAATTATTGATTACAATGAAGTAAATGAAGGCTAGCGTTGTTATAGGTACAGTGTTGCAAATATATGTCTATAACGAATTGTTGGATGTGACGAAATATTTTTGTGGCAAACTTGACTTTGTTGTAATGAGGCTGGAGTGTATGCAAGCTGGCACCATAGCATAATGAATACACTCAAACAAAAATTAGAATATAATGAATTATCCATTATAATGAAGTGACCAATGGCTTTGTCATAGACGCGGTGTTACGAATATTCATTTACAGCTAATTTTCAATGTATCAAGGCATTTTTGTTGTAGATGTGACTTTGTTATGAGGTTTAAATGTATGTTTTCCTTTTTCAGTACTTTGGTACCGCCGAATTCTACAAACATGGGCTGCTGTACAAGTTGCTGTACCTGACGCCCATGTTCATCATCTTTCGGTTACGGATTTACATCGGCTTCGTGCTTGGCGAGTGCGTCTGCATCATGGCCGGTCTCGGCATCTATCCGGCCGAATCCAAGGCTTTGCCCGGTGTCGGCCCCACCAACATCGACGCACTGTTGAATGTGTCCGTACCCCTTTCAACAGCTTAAGCTCGCAAAGCACTGCATGCAGTAAATTCTTTTTCAAGCGATAACTTTGCGCAGTTTGTAAGCTGCGGTCATGTGTGCATGAAAGTGAAAGATTTTGAATCTAGCTAATAGCAGCGTAGTATTTTTCGTGCTAGAAGTTTGGGGTGCAGTGAACATTTTTCCGAATAACATGGCTTGCATAATCCTCATTATATAAAAACTTTTCAGCTCTTGCAGTCATTCTAGTATAATTTCCTTCATTATTTTTAATTAGAGCTCCTTGCATAAGCTTTTATTTTATGAAGTTCTCTGGTATGTGTGATCATATGAAAATTTACGAGAATCATCTTCGACTTACATCACATAGTTCGTTCTAATACGATTTCCCAGACTAACGCATTATTTATTGGTTACAGTGTTCGTGATTTTTTAAATTCACAGCTTATATACTTTCTTAGGAAATCAGTGAAGCCTCCCAGTGCGAAATTATCAAGACTTGTAAGCAAAATTTAAGAGCAAGTGCCTCAATGTGAAGTAGCGGTGCTGATTCTTTACTTGGATGTCAACTGCTAGGGCTAGACAACGGTCATCCGTATTCAAACACAAACATTTTTCAGGCCAGAGTTTGCTGTAAAGCAACCAAGAATTTCTGTGAAGGTCTGCAGTACGAAGCGTCGAAGGTGTTACGTGGATGTGCCTTTCTCATTAAAGGAAGTCACGAACCACCCATCAGGCTTGGTCAAAAAACACATCCTGCACAAAGCAGGGACTGCTTTGAAGAGCTGAGCTAAATCTTGCAGTCATGTATCACAGGGAGTGCTATCCAGCAGAGTGCGAAGTTTCCATTTTCTGGGGTGCGCACTTTTCATACAGAGGCCTTAGCTCACTCTTCAAAACTGTTAGCACCTGCTGGTTGGCGTCAAATAGTGGACAGCACACTATTGCAATAGCTGAGCATAAATTAAGAGCAACATTTGGATCAGATGGCTTGTTGCCACGGGGTGCTGCCACATGATGGCGCCACGCTCCAGGTTTGCAAATATTGCACAGTAACCACAGTTCCGCGCACCGGAATCACAACGGGAAATAAAAATTGTATTTCATCATGCGCTCTCAACATCGTAATGTGCACCGATGTAACTCCTTTTTCCTGCATCATCTTTCCTTGTTTATCTTCGGGTGCACTTGTCAGCGTGTGAAAAATCCTGGTAACTCGGACGTTTTGGACGTATTGTTGACGTATTGGACAAATATTTATGGCAATCAATTGTTGAGGCAATGAACTCTACTGGTCATTCAACGATTGCTTGGAAAAGCACTTCAGGGCCCCTTATGGCTTTCCCAATGATTGAAGCCTGCGCGATTAAGACGAGAGCCTTGGTTTCACGCCTCCAGGTGGCAGGGTAAAAACAGCGACTGGGAGAAACAGGAGTTTGACTACGAGACGGTGCACAACATCGACGAGGCGCAGGCTGAGCTGAGCAGCACGATGCGCATGGGCATCCGCAGCTGGAACCGCACCGTCCAGTACTGGCTGGCCGTCTACTTCTACAAGCGGCTGCCACTGCCCAAGCCACTCCGGTGAGTCCTCATGCAGATCGTTTTGCAATGCTACTTGTGAACGCTACTATGGTTGTGAACGCTACTACTATAGTGCATGTCTGAATTAAATAGTTAGTTTCGCGCCAAAATCACAGAATAAAACGTTCTGCCCTGTTTAAGTGCCTTCTTCTTCTGTCTGGCCAAGATTTTCACGTAAAATTGACTATTTAATTCAGATTTTATGTCGTGTTATGTTATACAATTGGTACGCTATGGTTAAAGACAACTATTAATGTCCTCCTGTCGTCCTCGTCTGTTCGAACCATTGCAAAAGGCAATGCAAACTCAAAAGGCCAATGACCACGCAGGGCCATGTTGACAATGACGCTCAGCGCCGTCTGGCACGGCCTCGAGCCGGGCTACTTCCTGTGCCTGGTGACGTCGACCGCCTACATAGTGGGCGAGGAACAAGTCGAGGCCGTTGTGGAGCGCCAGCGCTCCCTGGTGGGGCGTCTCGGGGGCCGCCTGCTGCTCTGGTTCTGCAAAATGCAGTCTTTCACGTACATGCTGGCCGCTTTTCTCCTGCTGGACGCTGGACGCACGTGGGAGTACTACCGCTCCGTCTACTTCCTGGGCCACGTCTACGTCGCCGTGCTCCTGCTGTGGCGGTTTATAGTGCCACTGCACCGGATGCCGAGCGCCAAACTCAAACAGTAGGGGCGGACTGGATGGTAGGAGCAGTGGGACGGTCGTGCCAAGAAGTGGCGATAGATGATCAGTAATTTATATACAATTGTTTCTGTCCCGTCTCACTCGCAATGGAACCTTTCCAGTTTCGTCTTCTCCATTATCATGCCATCACGGTCACACACTGCAGTCACAAATGCCGCTGAAGTAAAAAGTGGGATTGGGCTAGTTGGTAATCCATTATTAAACTTCTCAGCGCAAAAACTTCCGTCAACTAACATGCGCTCGTCCTTCGTCCTCGTCTCTTGTGTTAGTTGTCGGAAGTTCTTGCGCTGAAAGGTTTAATAACAAATGTCACATTCCCCCCCCCCCCCCCTTCATTTTTGAGGTTGCCACACCATTGTGTTCGAATGAATGAAAGAAGGCGAATTTTTTTTCAAGGAGCTGTTTTTCTTGTTACACAAAATCGGATGAACTCAAACAGTTAGGCTAGGATAGGCATAGGGGCCATTCGCTGTTGTTTATTTTATATAATTTAGTAATAATGGCTTAAGTTAAAGTGAATTGATGTATACAAAGAAAACGAAACACCCTATCGGTCACTAGGATCTGAACTCACGACCTTAGTTTAGTGTGTTCGATGCTATACCAGTTGAGTTACTACATCTAGTTTGTTGACTATTTCTGCACTTGTAATTGCTGATATTTGTGGGCAACACCGCAAGCTTACTGCCTTAGGTTAGCACACAGAGTTTAAGAATGAAGCATGTAGTAAGTCACTGAGAGAAAAACTAGATTTTGATAGGCAGAGGATGTAAAATTGCACTCCACACTATTTCTAAAAAAGAAAACACAAGTGAAGAAAATGCAGCGAGTACACACAAGATTATCAGCATTGTCTTATGTGCATGATTGCATCCTCTTCCTCATTGCCTCGTTAGAATATAGCAATGCAGGAAATAACAACCCGACATGCAAGTGTTCATTGGACTTTGTTCGATGTAGTCGACTGCATTTAGGTGATGACGTTCCATATTTTCCATACTATGATCCTCACAAGGAGTGAAGTTGCAGAGCTCATTAGGGCTTGAAATAGACTAAATTCGTAGATGGTGCACACCTACTGAGTAGATCTCAAAGACTCCAAGACAGCCGAAACAGATTTTTTTTATTCAATCGTACATCACCGAATCATTTTTTTTGTGCAACCTATGTGCTGCCTCACAAACCAGCCTTTGGTGAATACTAAAAAAAAAGGAAATGTGACGTGTTTGAACGGCTTTTATGAGTAACAATGTAAGAGCTCAGTCTCACACTGTTTGTTATGTAGTAGCCTTTAGAGAGCTTGTTTGCCGACAAGTGTGCAAACCAAAATCATGCCGGCAAAGGCACAATAGCAAAAACAAATAGTAGAAAGAACGTATTTTTGTCAGTCATATTCGCATTCCAATCCTTCACTACTTTACAGCGTGCTCGGAGATTCAAGCGCGGTATTAACTCTTGCGTGGCGGCCAGCACTGCTTGCATAAATAGTAGACGCCGAGGACAACATGCTGGTGTCGTCAGCATCCACCATGCATTATGGTATACGATGAAGGCAAGTTCGCGTGAGTTGGGCCTTGCAGCAATCACCCAGAATGCATTGTAAAGTAGACCGATCAATGCATTTGAATCACCGCGTGCACCGTGGTGTGCGGTTTTCTCGTAAGAATACCTCGTCTATCATTAACCAGTTGAGACAGTCAACTGGTTTTGCAATGTAGTCGTTGAAACGAAAGGATTTCCCACCTTACTCAGTGTTGTATAAGCCGACTGATTTGGCAAGTAATCACTTCTCATAAAGTTCGATAGGTCACGTTTCATAAAAGTTGGTGCTACTGCCTACATGGAAAGAGTTCTGCATGCTCAAGTATAATGTCAGTTCGACTAAGTGAACTTAAGACATAACGATGGGTTAGTCAGTTCATTATAGCTTATGGCAGCATGCATCAATAACAAGGATGAGTAACCCAGTGCTTGCATAACTCGGAGCTTACGTCTAAATTTATCTTCGTATGACTCTTTCATTCTTGTTTTTGATGCGCACTGCCATACACTACCAAGTGAAGTTTTCTTTAGTGTGAATCTGTAGCTAATACCATATAGTAATATCACTGTTACTACATACACAAGAAAGTGCCAGCCCCAGCTATACAACGTACCTAATGCGTTTTTTTTTTCCCCTGTAAATAGACCTCGCACTTCTTTCTGGATAGCTCGGAGACTCTTTGGTTGAAGATTAAGAGGTATTGATGCTTGTAATACAATGTAAGATTCTCAGTGGAATGTTTCGGTATCTCACTGTTATCAGCTGATCTTGCGCCGGTACTAGTGTAGACTCATTTGCACATTGTACACACGACTTGAACCAAGAACACCACGAATATAACAAACATGCTCATTCCTAACATTGCCTTATCACGTGTTCTGTAGTGTTTCCGCATTTAGTTCGTACGAGGTCCCACCAGATCTTCTCAAAAATGTGTAAAATTTTGTATTCCTGAGCATCTTTACAACAAAATTTTTTTGCAAAGTGTAATGTTCCTGCGACGTTCTTGGCAATCAAGCGATACTTCCAATGCACTTTCAAGGTGCTTCATATTCAGTCTTCCCTGGCTTGCTCGAAGCTTTGTAGCTATGACGACAAAGCAATGAACTCAGTGCTGTGGCTGTCACAGCATGAATCTGATGCAATGTACTACAACCTTGGAGGCTTCCTGTGCAACCGCTTAACTCACGAAGGTCGTCCTGTTGGTCACCGATGCTTTTCTCTGCCACTACGTGGCACTGGCACCTCACTAAATTATCCTCGCTGCTGTTTTGACTAAGAAGACTGCTTGGTCGTGATGACTGAGGGAATCCAACGTGTGGTAGGCATGCTTTTCAGTGCATTGCGATTAGTGCAAACGCCGGCAGAAATTTTGAAAAGTTGGAGTGCACAATGCAGTCCTTTCAGCGATAATCATAGCTGCTCATATTGCAATGCTTGTATAAGATGATCAAAAGAGACCAGTCTAATGATTAGGCAGGCTCACTTATCACAGTCAAGCGTGCCTGTTCTGAAATCTTTGGCAGCAAAACCTGGTTCTGGCTAACTGTATATAATGAATTAGTGATATTTTTCTAGGTTACTCAACTTATATAGCTTTAGCTTAGTTATTTATCTGCAGCCAGCATGAATGAGACAGTCTTTGGAATGAGACACCGCGAACATTTTCGAGCTTTTATTATGCTCTCCTACCTATCCACACTGTGCTTTAAGCGACAGAGCCTTTATTTTGATAATGCACTGCCTACCGATACGTAGCGTAGAAACTGTGTGCTTTGTTCAATTATTTTGAGCAAGGCGTTTTACTAAAAAGCCGTGAAAAGCCCCCAGAGTGTCAGTTTTTATAGACGGAAAAGAATTGGTTATCAGAAGACGGCATTAAAGGGCATCAAGTCGTTTTATGGGAAGTTGCACATACAAACGGGCACAGGAAAAACCAAGTAGATGGAAAGATCACGAGCCATCTCACTGTAGCAACTTCCTGTGACAACAGTAGCAGCTTTTTCCAAAACTAGCAATAGCTATTGTTAACTATTCCAAAATGAAGACAAGCACAAAGCTGGCGTAAACATACAAACTTGGGCTGGTCGTGTATGAGCTCCTAGGGTGAGCCTTTCAAACAACTACATCGTATCCGAACATATTTCGTAGGACTTATGCGTATCTGCCTTAGGATATATTCAGGTGCACTGCTGTTATCCCTGACATTGCACATACAATGCACACTGCTCTCCTATAAATTATGGTAATGCTGATGCAACGTTTAGCGCACAATGAAAAACTTTACAGTTCATTACAGCAGTTATATGTGCCAAAAATGAGTGCATGAGTTCAGGAGTACCGACAATGAAATGTCATTCGATTTAGCATCTGTTTTTATGAGTTGACACCAGTGTTTGGGTTGTATTTATGCTTACAATGATACTCTGTATCAGTAACTTGAGTGGTAAGTTGAGAGTCAATAGGCTCTCAGAAAAACTGTTCAAAATCTTTTGCCACCGTTTTTATACACCAGAACACCTATTGCGAAAACAAGGTATGTTACAAAAACAAGGTATGTCTGGCTTGATCCTGCTTTTATTTGTGACCACTCCTTTGATCAAAAGCTTGCCAATGTGCTTGAAAAAAGACAGTGTGCTTAAAACATATGCAACAAATTGATACTAAAAAGTCAATTTAAAAATTGCAGTTTGTCATTAGTGTCACTCAATGTGCTGAAATTGGTCTGCGCAGTGTAAAAAATTAACCAAAGTTAAATTCGGTCATTTCACATGCCAAAACCACAATATTATCAAGGCATGCTGTCAGTGTGGGGTGCTCCAGATCATATGGAACACCTAAGGTTCCTTAATGTATACCAAATATGCAGATGTTGTTGAATTTCATCATTGAAATATGGTTGCTTTGGCCGGATATCGAATCCACATACTTCAGCTCATCTGAGCAACACCTTGGCTCACAGGCCATGTATGAAAAAAACTGGTCGAGGACACTGTTACACCAATACGTTTCCTTCTTTACACAAAGATATTTATTTCAAGGTTGTATGTATGGTTACGACATGCTGTCAATATTTATTACAGATTGATATGTCGCGAACAGTCAAACGAATCTACAATATTTTTTTTTTCAGAAGCTTGGTTTTTACGTACCAAAATGTGTCCCTGAATTATTGAAACAAATCTGAGATTGTGTCGCATTCAATATGTTTACTCAGCATTTTTATACGACGCTGGTCATTCCGTCTACGCAATACTCACATGTCGCGCAAACCAAAGCGACTCCGCCATTCCATGCCAGCACGTGAATTTGGCTTCAGCGACTAGTCACAATAATCGCCTTCACTGCCTCACCGCTTCCAACAGCTAGTCATTTTGTCTTGAAACAAAGCTGCGTACAACACCCGAAATACGTGCTTGTTCAGATGCTGGTACTAGTCCACAACTTACTCGTGTCGACTGACGCGTTATGACCTCCGCACTCAGTCTTCTCCGCTGTGCATGTCCCGACAGCCATTGCAGTCAACTTCAGCCATCACCCACTGTCATTGTGTCTTCGAATAAATTGTGCACGTCTCAAGTTTAAGAAATAAAAAGCACAGCCTGTTCTTTTTCTTCAACTAGCGTCTGTGACTTCCTTTGATTTACGGGTCCGCGATTCTTAACAATGGAAATCGTCATTGAAACGCTGATACTGTACAACGCAAAACACGTTCTTAGGCACTGCCGACATCGGGAGCCACATAATACACACAGGCAGCAGTTGCGTACAGCAATGACTGTACAACGCTTTTGCGGCGTGAAAGCTCTTGCAGCACAGTCATGTACAGAGTCTGTCAACTGCTTCATGAAGAAGGTCGTTTTGTTCAGCCTTCAGCAAAGGCCTACAAGGAAAAAAACAAAAAAGCAGTCACTAATGCTATAATAAAATCTTTCTCGCAATCTATTGCAAACTCATGTATAGATTTCGGATCTCTATACAGTGAACACGGATATAAAGAAAGATCAGTTATAACGAAGTAAGTGAAGAATGGTCTTGTGATGCTACAGTGTAACAAAACTATGTTTATAACAGAATTTCGGATATAACAAAGTTATTTTTGTGGCAGGTGTGACTGTTAGAATAGGGTATGAGTATATATACAAAGCAAACATGAACACCACTTGCAAATGCTTTTGGGATGCAAATGCACGTAGAAAGCAAAAATATTTCGTATAAAAAGCTAGGCTAACAACCTGTGCATCATATTGCAACACTCAGCAAAGCCAAAGAATGTATGTTCGTACTGTAAAGAAGAGGAAGTACTGCGGCGCAGAGGCAGCAGCATCGAGTGTGCAGCAGCGGCTCGAGCTCGGAAATTGCGGCTGGTGCATCGCCTTCCAAGCCTTCCAAGCACCAACCTTTCTGCTTAATAAATCTCCTTTATAATTGGTGGAGACGTGCCGGGTACCGTCCCTTACGCCTTCCCGCTACCATCCTGGAACTCCGTTCTCGACGGCTACCTTCTGCTATGCCGGACGCCGATCAGCAGACGCTTCCATCTCTTCCGGCCACCTGTCCAGGCAGTGTTCCTCAGCGGGAGCCTCCAATCTTCAGTGGAACAGATGACAACGACGTTGAAGAGTGGCTCTCGACTTTCGAACGGGTGAGCGCTTTAAACAGATGGGCGGACGCGGACAAGTTGACACGCGTTTCGTTCTATCTCACGGGTGTAGCCAGCCTTTGGCTTAGAAACCACCAGGCAGACGTCCGAACGTGGCCGCAATTTAAAACGTCGATTGTAGCAGTCTTCGGTCGACCTGCCGTCCGAAAACTTCGTGCCGAGCAACGTTTACGCACACGCGCACAAGAAACGGGTGAAACCTTTACAAGTTACATAGAGGACGTCGTCGATTTGTGCAGACGCGTGAACGCCGAAATGACGGAAGCTGAAAAATGTAAGCACATCCTCAAAGGGATTGACGACGACGCTTTTCAAATGCTCTTGGCGAAAAGCCCGACCACTGTTAACGACGTAATTAGCCTCTGCCAAAGCTACGATGAATTGCGGAAGCAGCGAGCGCTGACAAGACGTCCTCCAGCGCACGATTTGGCATCGCTGTCTAGTGCGATCAGTGGTCATGACCACGCGTCACTAATGGCCGAAATAAAAGCATTTGTCCGCGAAGAAGTTGCACGACAACTTTCCTTGGTGCCTTTCACACCAGAAGCTACCACAACTTTACCATCGTCTCTACGTGACGTCATTCAAGGAGAGGTCGCCGAGGCCTTACCAGCTGCTCGCGAGCCTAATCTTGTGGCTGCTCCTCTCACCTACGCCGCGGCTGCAGCCATGCCAACTCGCAAGGCGCCTGCGCCTCCGTTCCAGCCTCGCGCGAGCTATCCCCCAGCTCCAGTTCACTGGACCAGCACTAACACCGCCAACCCGTGGCGCACCCTCGATAATCGCCCGATATGTTACACTTGTCGATACCCCGGACACGTCGCAAGGTATTGCCGCCGCCGGACGCATATCACCAATGAAAACCGCCGTGAGCCTTTCTTCCCGCTTGACTTCAACGCGCGATACGGTTCCTCCACTCCAATGCCAGCCCGCTACCAGGACGACCACCGCCCTCGGCCGGGACGTCTTCGCTCACCCTCTCCACGCCGCCGCTCGCCTTCTCCTATGCGTCGACGGCCCGCACCTAACGAGGAGGAAAACTAGACGACGCAGTTCCTGAGGCAAGAACTGCGCAAGTTTCGGTTTGCCCAAGTCCTCATTTGTCACCTACCAATGTTATTGATGTGTTCGTCGAAAATATCCCTACTGTCGCTCTTGTAGATACCGGTGCAGCTGTTTCGGTAATAGATGCTGAATTTTGCCGCTCAATTCGTAAGGTTACGACGCCTTTCTCCGGATTATCGCTTCGCACAGCCAGTGCTCAACCTGTTCAACCGACCGCAGTATGTACAGCCCGCGTGACAATTCAGGACGTTCTGTATACGATAGAGTTCGTTGTTCTTTCATCATGCTCCCATAATATTATTTTGGGATGGGACTTTTTGTCGCGTCATAACGCCGTAATTGACTGTGCTAGGGCTGAGGTCGAATTTTGCTCACTGGATGACCAAGCGTCCGTCGACACCCAGTTTGCCGCTAAACTTGTCGTTAGCGATGACACCTACATCCCTCCATGCTCTTTTGCGTTCGTGCCAGTTTCATGCAGCGCCATATCCGACGGCACGGTCTTTTTCACGCCATCTCCAATATTCGTCGCCCGAAGAGCTCTCCCCCTGCCTTTTGCTGCTCTCGATCTTGTAGAAGGGTCAACCACAATGCCAATTTATAATCATGAGTCGTCGTCTTTATCTCTACTTTGTCGCGAGTGCCTTGGCCACGTCGAGACAATCAGTTCTTCCAGAATTATATCCGTCCCCGATGAGGTGCCTTCTACCTCCGTCTGTGAACTGGCTGTCGTCTCAGCGCCTGACTCAACGTCGGCAAACATATTTCAACCATTCATCTCTGCAGATTTGACATCTTCGCAGCGTTCACAACTCCTCACCATTCTTGAGAGCTACCGCCACTCTTTCGACGTTGAACAAACATCTCTCGGCCGTGCCTTAGCAGTAAAACACCACATCGACACTGGGTCCCACTCACCGCTGCGACAACGACCATATCGCGTGTCCGCTACAGAACGCCGCGTCATTGCTGACCAAGTAGACGACATGCTTCGCAGAGGCGTCATTCGACCTTCACAGAGCCCATGGGCGTCTCCGGTGGTTCTCGTCAAAAAGAAAGACGGTTCTATTCGTTTCTGTGTCGATTTCCGGCGATTGAACAAGATCACGCTGAAGGATGTCTATCCACTACCGCGCATTGACGATGCTTTGGACAGTTTGCAGGGTGCCGAGTTCTTTTCCTCGTTAGACTTGCGGTCAGGCTACTGGCAGGTGCCTATGGCGGAGGCCGATCGCCCCAAAACCGCTTTTGTCACGCCAGACGGCTTATATGAATTCACCGTCATGCCCTTCGGACTTTGCAATGCACCTGCAACGTTCGAACGAATGATGGACAACATCCTGCGTGGACTAAAATGGAAGATATGCTTGTGTTACCTCGATGATATCGTGGTCTTCGCCCCTAACTTTGACACACACTTACGTCGCCTTCAGCACGTCCTTACTTGCTTAACTAACGCCGGTTTGCAATTAAATCTCAAAAAATGTCGATTTGCCATGCGTCAACTGAACATTTTGGGCCACGTTGTTTCCAAGGAAGGCATCCTCCCGGATCCCGAGAAATTGCGAGCTGTTACGGCGTTTCCTAAACCTGCCACCATCAAAGAACTTCGAAGTTTCATCGGCTTGTGTTCGTATTTCCGGCGATTCGTCCGAAACTTCGCGTCTATTATATCACCTCTCACGCAACTTCTCAGCAGCTGTAAAGATCTCTTATCGTGGTCCCCTGCCTGCGACGAGGCTTTCAACACCCTGCGACGGCTTCTTACGACGCCACCAATTCTACGCCATTTCGATCCTGAAGCGCCAACTGAAATCCACACCGACGCCAGTGGTGTAGGCCTGGGTGCTGTGCTCGCACAGCGTAAACCGGAACATCAGGAATACGTCGTGGCATACGCTAGTCGCACACTTACCAAGGCTGAGAGCAAGTACAGCGTCACAGAAAAGGAGTGCTTGGCCATTGTGTGGGCCCTTGGAAAGTTTCGCCCATATCTATATGGTCGTTCTTTTGACGTCGTGACCGACCACCACGCGCTGTGCTGGCTTTCGACGTTAAAAGACCCATCTGGCCGCCTCGCTCGCTGGGCGTTGAAAATTCAAGATTACGACATACGCGTGGTTTATCGGTCAGGACGGAAGCATGCTGACGCCGACGCCCTTTCCCGTTCCCCCCTGTCCCAGAATGCCACAGCTGACTCCGCTTGCGATTCCACATTGTCATCGCTTGACTTTGACACCATTGCTATCGAACAACGCAATGACCCGTGGACTGTGTCTCTCCTCAATGATCTCTCCGACACTTCTGAACTCCCAAAGACGCGAACGCTTCGGCGCCAAGTTCCACACTTCTCGGTACGTGACACGCTTCTCTATCGACGTAACTACGCACCAGAGGGACGCAAGTGGCTGCTCGTCGTTCCACGAACCCTGAGGTCGCAGATTTGTTCCTCTTTTCACGCTGACCCACAATGTGGCCACGCAGGAGTCTTCAAGACCTACGAAAGGCTTCGACATCGCTACTACTGGCGTGGCATGTATACCTTCGTCCGCAACTTCGTCCGCTCTTGTGCCGAATGCCAGCGCCGAAAATCTCCACCACACGCCTCCGCCGGTGAACTGCAGCCTTTACCATGCCCTTCCCGACCCTTCGAACGGGTTGGAATAGATATTTATGGGCCACTTCCATTGACTCCGACTGGCAACAGGTGGATAATAGTTGCTATCGACCACCTAACGCGCTATGCTGAGACCGCTGCTCTTAAAACGGCTACAGCACAAGAGGTTGCCACTTTCCTACTACGTCATTTTGTGTTGCGTCATGGAGGCCCTCAAGAACTCCTCAGTGACCGCGGCCGCGCCTTCTTGTCCGAGGTCATTGAAAAATTGCTCGCTGAGTGTGCTATTGTACATCGCACATGTACCGCTTACCACCCACAAACCAATGGGGCTACCGAGCGCTTTAATCGTACTCTCGGTGACATGCTATCTATGTATGTGACGCCTGACCACTCTAACTGGGACTTAGTTCTCCCATTCATTACATACGCCTACAATACGGCAACGCAAGCGACAACAGGCTTCTCCCCTTTTTACCTCCTCTACGGCCGTCACCCCTCCCACACCATTGACACCATTTTGCCCTATCGACCAGACGCGTCCGAGTGCCTACCGATCTTGGACGCCGCCAGACACGCAGAAGAATGCCGCCAGTTAGCTCGTCGCTTTACCTGCGATGACCAAAACAGGCAAAAGGCAATTCGTGATGCCCAGACCTCAACTCCCGTTTTTCTTCCGGGTTCTCTTGTATGGCTGTCAGTGCCGCATCACACACCTGGGCTCTCTTCCAAACTTCTGCCAAAGTACGATGGGCCATATCGTATTGTCGAACAAACTTCGCCAGTAAACTACCTCATTGAGCCTCTTACGCCACCATCAGACTTGCGACGTCGCAACCGCGACGTTGTACACGTACAGAGGCTCAAGCAATACCACGGTTCAACGCCGCCTGCACAGGACTAAGTCGCCAGGATGGCTCCTTTTTTTCTCCGTGGGGCCATTGTAAAGAAGAGGAAGTACTCCGGCGCAGAGGCAGCAGCATCGAGTGTGCAGCAGCGGCTCGAGCTCGGAAATTGCGGCTGGTGCATCGCCTTCCAAGCCTTCCAAGCACCAACCTTTCTGCTTAATAAATCTCCTTTATAGTACTATTACATAGGAATTTGTGCTACTGGTATTCGACAGTATTAGAAAAAGGTGCCCAGATCTTTGAGTATTCAACTGCCTTCGGTTGTAACCAGAGCGCATGCAGTTTTAACCACTGCAGCACACGTTCGCACTAGTATCTTACCACAGGACGAACTAGAGCGGTAACTGGACATTTATAAAGATTAAAGCTAACATTTTTGAATTTCATAACTTTACAAATACTGTAGACTCTCAATAATTCAAGCTCAAGGGGGCCACAGGAGTTCGATCCAATTTATCAGACATTCTTAAAAATTTTCCTCAATGCAACTTAACGAACGGTGTTGTGGTGTTTATTTTTTCCCAGTGCTGCAGCATGATCATAGATCTGCATGATATCCAGTGATGTTCTTAGATGTCGGCAATCGTACTGGTACTCGTTAAGATACAATGCATGCACCCGAGTGTAAATAAGGAACAAAATGTGTTGTGCCCCGCAACAACTTCTAGCCCCTTCTCGCATTTAGAATGCTTTTCTGCATGACACGAATGCACTGCGGCAAAATTGACATTAGAAAGCGTCCGACAAGTGAGAGACTTCTAAGCATCACTTATCGACAGACTTTAAAAAAATTTTTTTTTGCTTAAATTATCTGAAACGTTGAATTATACGAACTTGAATTATCGAGAGTCTACCATATAATCCATTGCTTTTTTTCCAAATACAATTTCTCAGCACATTTCGTTAGTATACGTATACGTATGCTCGAGATAAATGTTCAAAGGCTAAAAATCAGAAAAAGTTCAAATTAGGCAGCTCACCACAGGTGGCCCTGAAGCAGCTTAACCGACTCTCGGTCCTTGCTTTCAAACGCCATCTACATTGCAAAAGTGGCAGCATGGTGACCAAAACATATGTCACATGATAATATATATATATATATATATATGAAAATGAAGCGGAAACCCTCACCACTAATGATTGCAGAAGCAGAAAGACGTCCTCGTTCATGTAGCTCGCTAAAAGAAAGAACAAAAGAAGGAGCAAACTTGCAATGAAACTGACAGTTTAAAGGTTACTAAAGTATTTCAGCATTTTAATTGTAATGTCCTTTTTTTGCTCTCTCCTGTAAGGAGCGATGGCATTCAAACTTTGCTAGCTCATATTCGTAAGCCTCCTTGTCGAAACACGAGCTCGAACTTGAATATTGCTTGTTCAGCTATCTTCTTTCAACTGTCAGTTCTTCTTTCTGCCTTTCCAGTAGACTTGAACTTCCCAGGAAAGTTACAGAAAAATAGTCTACTAGTTCTGCAAACGAGGCCTTAAGTTTCTTTTTGTCTCTCCCTTGGCTGAACTTAATTTACACAACTTGGCGACCTTGCAGATAAAGCTGTTAATGTGTTAGTGGGGTAGTATTTCCCAGAGCTCAAACTCTATTTTCGCGAAGACATGGTTGTTACTTGTATTTACTTATTTATTTATTCACAAGATACAAAATGAAATCTAATAATTGTTATAGCAACACGAGCCCCCTTTGGCTACCAGGACAAATTTTATGCACTAGTATTTAGATGCATTCCAGTTTTACCGATTAGAAATATTAATTAAGCTAGAGAAGACGCTGCGAAAATCCTGCAAAAATAGCACCATTGCTTTACCTGCAGTCTTTTGTTTTTGCATACCTCCTAGTTAACCATTCAATTTTCCTAGCACAAAACTACACGTGCTACACAAATGTTGATAAACATGTTTCAGTTTGGTCGGCATCTATCAATGTTGCCACCAACTACATATCTACCAAACAAAGAGACAGAGTCGGTCAACTATTGCGAGCATCTTATATGTGCCTTTTTCTCGCTCCGTCCAAAAAATACGTGGTTTCATGCAAAGCGAATCAACAACGTTTAACAGACCTGCCTAGTTACCCACGTTTGCTCTTACAGAGAGAGCAGTCTCTTATTGTTAACAGTGTGTGGTAATTTGCTGGTGACACTACAGTGTATAGTATATTCATCAACTGCGGTTCAGTGGCTCATGACGTTGACAAAAGTAATGACATCAGCAGCTCTCACGTTTGCTCGGTGTGGTCTCTTCCGGGCTGTCGTACAGGTAACGGTCGAGAAGGGCGGCGTGCTCTGCGGGCATCTTTTGCGCTGATGGCTACAGAAAGAAAAAAGTGATAGGAAAACGGTACAGTATCAGAACGTTTGTTTCCAAAGCAACACCAGGGCTATACACTTAAACCTGGATACTATAACGAAATTGATGAATTCCCGGAAAACTTCGTTATAAATAGGATTTCTTTACATGCAGGTTCGGTACAAAAATTTGAAAACATAAATGCTCAATTTAAACAAAAGAGAGACCAGAGGCAGAGCTAACCCAAAACACTTATTTTACAGTAAAATCTGCGTTATTGTTGCAATTATATGACACTCTCGGCGGGTTTTTGCCATCGCCGCCATGTTCCGTAGCAAGTCTAAATTGATAACATGCCCCCGCGCATCGTAAGTTTCACGAGCGGGTACAAGTGTGCGAGCGCTGCTGAAGCAGAGATCGAATAAGTCGGCCCGTCCCTATTGCCTGGAAAAGGGGGATCACTCAAATAGCAATAATGAACTTGAATTTTAAGGGCAATCACGACTGCTAGTGCGCTTGCTATCTCGGCGAGTATCGGTGCGGTTTCAACACGAAGGGACTGTGTGAAAAGAGCACTTCTCTCTGGAGCGGCGGTATTTGCTCACACCAGTGTTTTGTACGAGTTCCGGGATATTGGATCCAAAAGAGTTGGCTGCCAGCCTTACTTCATATAACATCACAATTTTTTGACATCACGTTGATTGCATTGCATTCAATGCTCCGTCGTTTTGCCAGAGCTAATCGGCTAATCCCGAAAGGTACCAGCCTGCGAACTTGTGGTGCGGTGCAAGACGGAAACGCGTGATGAGTCGATCTTCAAATATCCGTCATAACCGTGGTCTCAAAGAGTTTCAATCAGCGTCTAATCTGACATCCCCTCGATGGTGACGACACAGTTGTCCGAAAATAAGAAAAGGCACAGTTTCACCGCAAGGGCGAAGAAATGAATCCGATAGCAGCAACCTTGAATGTAACGCTGAGAACGGCAAGCAGATCGAAACGTGCAGCATGCGGCTCGGGCACAAATGATGCACGAAATCATACACAGGACGAGAGCGAACTAGCAACGTTTACCTCTCGACTGCTTAAAAAAAAAAACAACACACAAAACGTAATCACATGTACAGATGAGTGCGAATTAGCAAGTGCCCCAGTTGTTACTTCGCTGTGTTTGAAAAGCGCACTCTTTCTCACAAACAGTGCCTGTCCAGCGAGTGAAGTGACCTTTGTGTGCCAAACAGCTAAACGAAATCGTTCCAGTCAAAGTCGAAGGCACACCGCTCTCCCCACCGAAGGATAGGCGCGTGCGCACAATCATTTACATCCCCCCACACCATTCGCAGGGCAAAGTACGCGTGAGAGATAAGCATGCGTCTATACAGTGAATGATGGCTGCGGCGACGGCAAAAAACCAGCCGAGACTGTCCATTTAATTGATATCGCATTAGAAAAAAACCAAAGCTGAACGTCGTCGGGGGCCACACCATAGACGCATGCTCGGTGTCGAGAACGAACAGGTGCAAATGTAGTTTTTTATTTATTTATTTATTTTGGTTTGGAGTGGGGAGTTGTCCATGGGAAAAATTTGTTATATCAAGGTTGTCTCTTGCTGTTACTTTGTTACATAGAGGTCTCAAATATGTGGTCTCTCACTGTTACTTTGTTACAGAGAAGTCTCAAATACATGTGCTTCTATGTAGCAATGGCGGGGAATAAAAAAAGTCGGGGAATAAAAGAACCTTTATTATATCGAGGTTCGCTATAAGAAGGTTCAACTGTATAGGACGCCTCAGCAGGTAGTTTGGAATATTTTCAACAGGTGATTCTTCAACCAGAACAAGAATCAACGCACACAAGCATGCTCACACTTCACCCCTACCGAAACTGTACTGCAACGATTGAGAATCAAGCCCATCACTGCGCACTCAACAGCGCAACCCGACTACAGTGACACCTTGTTATACCAAAATAGCTTTGCTCGAAATAAGTGTTGCCTTATGCGAAATTTCTTCCGATCCCGACCCAAATGCATATACATTTAAGCCACATTACACGGAGTGCACGAACAGTTTGACCTGCTCCGGAGAAAGTGGGGAGCTGAGGCATCGTCAAGCGGTGGCGACGTTTCTGTGCATGCAGTGTCAAATTAATGCTGCCAGCGCACAAGTGTCACGCAGCAAAAGAACAGGCCACAAAAGTACCAAACTCATGACCGATGACCGCCTAGTAATGGGTACCTAGCAAGTGTAGCGAGTGCTCGCAGCTGTTTAATGTGAAGCGAACGGGAACCTTTAAATTTGATAGGACCGCCCCCGAATTGTTAATCTCAGTCGCAATCATATCGTTGATGTCCGCCACGATAAAATCTCCATGAAAATAAAGTCTTCCTGGCGCTTTGCGACTCTAGAAAACAGCGATCTTTTGAATGTCAAAAAGTTGCCAGGAGACTGCAGGCTCACTTGCGCTGTATCATATGTACTCAAAAAAGTTACAGCGCTCCTAAGAGCGCTTTTGAAGCTGAAATGCACCATCTGACTTTTGACGAACGGTCGAAATGTGTGCTAGGGCCACTGAATTTCGTTCCCAAACATTTGTTAATGGTGTGGACAGGAGGTGCGCAAACATGGATATCTGAATGGTACAACAAGTGCAGCGAACGGTGCATTTGATCGTCGACAACAAGGTGCAGATTAACTTTTTTTTTCACAAACTTCAGGGCTGCACAACCCGGGAAGAAATTGCCCGGCAACCATGCGAAGTACCTACTGTGGAACCAGTTACTTTTCACGATTGCACTGTGTAGCCACAATGAATTTTTTTTTTTTAACTCAACAAGCACAACCTCAAGCCATAGTATTTACGGCACTTTCCAGCACGGAACTCCCGCAGCGTTCCGTGACATCCACACTTCTCCTACGAAAGTGGCAACAGCTTTTCTCCTCCTCATTCGCTCTCCAGCCTGAAAGCCAAAGCTCACTATAACTCGTTTGCACTTAATAAAGTTTTGCTTCACTGAATAAATACATTGTGTTTTGACTTCCTCACAGTTGCAGCATAATCACAGGTCAATAGCTTTAGTAGTCGCTTGAATCAAAATACCGCTTATAACGAGGTACCCCTCATAACAAATCGTCACAATGACTTAGCTTCTACAAGAGAGTACTGCATGTTCATTTTTTGGGGGGGTGGGGTGGGTGACGAGGTAAAATTGTGTTTTTTTACTAAATGTTAGTATTATGAGTATGCTTTAGCAACACTCCAATCCCCTCAAGCACCGAGGGTATAACGCCTCAGGCCCTAAAATTAACATACATCAACGTTTTTGTCGAAAATGGGTTTCGGTGTAGTTATGCATCACACGAGTACAGCAATCCACATTAAAGAGATCTGCCTTTTGAAAGTGTTTTGTAGCTTGTGTGGTAGTGATCTGGCATTATGCAATCTGCAACCTGAAATCATCATTTTCTTTGGAGCATGAACACAGTCTCACCTGTAGTACTAGGAGCAACAGAAGCCGCATGATCTCCGCCGATGCCAGAGTCGTCGCCATGGCGCCCATCGGGCGGCCGCCGTGCATGCCTGCACCGAAAAGAGCAGGCGTAAGAGGAAGGCAGTATCAAACGGAACATTTATTTCACAGTTGCAATATCGTTAACTTGGTAACTTACTTTTTTCCTGAGATATCGTGTAAACTTCAGTGAATGACGACAGGGCACCGGAGTAGTCACCTACAGCAAGCAAAGAACACCAGTGTGAAGAGTGACTAGGAGTTGAGCAAGTCGGATCAAACTATCGATGAATTCTGCGCAAGAAAAACGAGGACACTGAGCACTCACAAGTTAATGAACGTTAGATTGCCCATTTCCTGCATCTTTAGAAATCAAAGGAAGCAAGGTTCTCAGGAGCTGATTAACGACCACGCGACTCAGACTGGTCGTGGACATTCTGAAGAGCACACCTCATAAAGATAAGGGTTACTTCGATTGCACTCTCTCTTGCAGTGTGGCCCCCACGAGAAGAAGGAATGGCGTCCTTTTCTACATTTAGGCTGTGTTTACACCATGAAGGAACTTCATAAATTCGGAACACAGTCACTAAATATCGACCTACACACTACACTTGTTTCTTTTTAATGCTTGAATTAGAGCCTGATCACTCCAATTACAACTTCAATTTTGATATGTATAGCGTGCACATAGGGCCCTAAATTTCTTTGCTGGCCGTATTAATGTACAGGCTCCACTCACGGGCAATACTGTAACCCTGAAGACAGTGTATTAGCAAAAAACGCAAGTGTGTAGTAGTCTCAACATCTAGTTTGAGTGGGCAGAAATCGGCGATGAGGAAGCAGCTGGCTCCCTCTGGAGGCAGTAGTGACAACTGTGATGACATCTGTCTATGATTGGGTAGCAGGCACCCATCGAGTAGTGGGCACTGAACAGTGAGCGTGTGTGTCTGTGTGTGCACGTGCACGTATGTGTGTGTACAAGAATATTCTCGTACAAAATAAGCCCTAGAAGTTGCTGGCTACGAACTCCGCTCGCTGCCGGTCACTGCGATATTGCATGATGTGTGTGACGAATGGAGTGGAGGTGTCGCATTTCATCACCGTTTCAGCCGCTCTGAAGTGTTCAATATGAAAGCCAAGTGGAAGAAAGTTTAAATAACTCAACTGCACGCGCAGCCGGGCACTAAACAAAATTGTTTCCTCGGAACGTAGACGCTCGCACAGCAAGCAGCTTCCTACGTCCCCACTCACAAGTGTGCCAGTGTTGCCCAACTGTTTTCCTGCTCACGTCTTTATACAAATATTCAATTATAAATTAATTCCAGAAGGAAATGAGCTAAAATTTAACTACTTCTTTGTGAATGTGCAAAGATTAACCCACACTTACAGACCACAATTGAAGCTTGCGTGTCATGGCACCTTTAAGCGATCATGCATCATTCACTGCAAGTGTAAATGGCAGGCTTTTAGTATAATAATTTTTTTCTTTTGAAGCTCCAGCTCCACATAGGTCCAAATTTGCAACCTTTCTATAGTGCATCTGTTCTACTCTTTTCAAACTCCCGTAAGTAACATGAAACGCTATCACTTATGTACGCTATTCAAAACTAGGCTTTTCTGTAAAATTTCGATGCAGTTAATTTTCTAGAATAATAATTGCTAAATTTTTATATCTAAAAACCATGGTAACATTGTGGGGCATGCTGTAGAGGAGACCCCCATCAATTTCGACCTTCTTATGTTCTTAAAAGGGACACTAAAGGCAAATATTATGTCGAGGTTGATGGCTCAAATAGCGATCCACAAACCTCCTGGTGCTACTTATGTGACAAGGAAATGCATATTTTGAATTAGAACCACATTTCAGTGGTTCACATGGTGTTAGTGCCCTTCAACTCACCCGCCTCGAAACTGGCTTCCTGCCGTAGCAGTCACCTTGCCAAATCTTGTCCGCCTTTGCTCCACCACTGCTGACGTAGGCAATGGCTCATAGGAATGCAGGCTTACAGGACGATGGCATCAACATCTTGTGATGCTTTGTGCAAACACAGTCATAGACACATTTGTATTTTCCAAAATATTTGATGAAAAAAAATTATTAAAAAGACAACTTATTCGTAATTATGCCGCTATAAGGCATTCACACCAGAAGTGCAAAAGAGTGGCTACTTGGTTTGGTCGATATTGCATTTTTGAAAGAATTATACTTTCTTAGTGTGCAGAGAGCGAGTCATACCTGTCTTCTTTCTGAAATGTTCTCTGCGCAGTAAGAAAGTATATTTCTTTCAAAAAAACACCAGAGGTAGAATGCACGATGTTTCTGCAATAGAAATTTTGTGCTTGCCTAGTTCAAACGGGCCTCACTAGGTGCCCCCACCTATCCAACAAAACCAGGCGAAAGCAGACCTTTTGAGCCAATTGCGCCATATCCCATGGTAACACCAAGCGTGGTTTTTTTTTTTTTTTCATGAATGAAACAAAAGGACAAGCAGCGTTTTTTAATCTGCTGTAATGCATGGAAGGTTCTTTTTTTTTATTGCAATTGGTTTGATTACTAGCGGCCAGTAGTAGTTGCGCCCTTCAACGCCATTGGGATCACTTCAAGATGTCCCACTCGTGGAGCGTATGGTGTCGTACATGTACCTTGCTTTCTCGATAAGTAGAGCACTGCTGTTGATCATAATGGCGTTTTAGACATTTTCAAACATTGATAGAGTAGACTCTCTATAATTCAAACTGTGATAATTCATACTTTTGGTTTATTCAAACAAAATTCAATTTTTTGGTTGGCCCTCTGTTCTTTCAATGTATTTAAAAGCTTCTTAATTCAAACTCTATCATTCAGTTCATTCATACTTCTTACAGTTTCATACCAGGAAATATCTGCTGCTTTTCCTCTACTATTTAAAATTTGCATGCCATTAATCCTTACAGTCTAAAAATGAAAAGTAAGCACCTCAGGTGTTGAAGGCAAAAGGCTTCACTAGTAAACAAATGTTTGAAGCAAACCACGTGCATGGTAAACCGTAATACTACTCAACTGGTATAGAGAGCTTTGTGTTGAAGGCACATACCTATAGCAACAAAGTAGTTGGCAATTTACAATTTTTTTTAAAGGTGTGATAAGCAGTAAATGGCCAATAAAATTGTGGAGCTAGCACCAATGCTTTCTGTTCGTTGCATGCAGTTGGGGTTTAAAAATTCTTGAAAAAAATATTAGATGTGATAGAATCAATGCTTAATCATAATGTGTATGTCCCTTTACCCAGAGTCATCTATCTGAGAACTTCTGATAATTCAAACTCCTTGATAATTCAAACAAAATTCAGAGACCCCTTCGAGTATGAACTAACGAGAGTCGACTATATTTCACTCTGAAGTAAATGTTAATTGCCTTTTGTGTCTCTTTACCATGCACCGACACTGCACACTACATGGGCCTTTGGCATTCAGTGTTCATCCAAATGCAATCACCACGGCCAGGATCGAGTCTGCCACTTTTGATACAGGAACTTAAGGCGGCGTGTAAGCAACTTTAAGTTCCTGTATCATCAGGGGGTCAGCGGCCGAGAACCGTGACCACCGTACCACTGCCGTGGCAACATTCTAAGAATAGAAGAGGCTTGAAGGGACACTGAAGTCAACTATTATGACGACGTTGATTGTTGAAATGGCAGTCCAGAAACCTCGTAGCGTTAGGTACTTTTGTGCCAATGAAGGGCCTATTTTGAAATAAAATCACGTTTTAGTGGTCCGCATCGGGTTAGCACACTTCAAAATACCCACGTCAAGAAGCGGACCGACCGGTCCGTCTCACGTCACTGTTGCCGTGCACAACGTTGCCCGGCTTTACTGCGTTAGTAGCAGCAGACCGAATGCAGCGGGAGCCACATCAGCGAAAACGGCCTTTGATCAATTTCTCTCAATTGGCTCCGAGATTGCAGACGCTTTTGTTTCAACTGTGCTCCGCTAGATGGCACTACCTGTTCCGTGTACCCACGCGAAAATTGAATTTTTTAACCACTCGTGCAATTTCCCATAGTAATGTCCGGCGGTTCTTTTTTTTTCCATGAATCAAACAGAAACGAACAAGCAGCATTTTATTGCGTCTTTTGATGCATGGAAAGTTCTTTATTTAGTGCAGTTAGATTGATTACTAGTGATTAATTGTAGGCGGTCCGTCTGATGTCAACGGTATCATTTTGAAAATGCCCTACTGCGGCGCTTATGTTCTTGTGCATTTACCTTAATTTCTCGGTAAGTAGGGCACTGTTAATGATAATATTGTTGTTTTAAGTGTTGTCATACATTGAGCTTTCACTCTGACGTAAATTGTTATTTGACTTTAGTGTACCTTTAAGATACAGTAACATGTACACAAAGTATAATGCAAAATAAAAGAGACGAGTACAACAAGGAAAAGCTGAGGAAAACACGTTGTACTGTTTGTTGCACGCACTCACCGGTTTCGATTTGGCAGGTAGCCAGCTCTTGAAGTGCGTCCACGTAGCCCAAGGCACACTGCGTGCAATAAAGTCGCATGCGCAACTTTGCCCCTCTGAAACACTTTCTCACTAGTCAAATGAATGATCAGTTCAAAGCCGAAAAACAAAAATCCGACCAAGATAGCAAACATTCATGGAACACGAAGGCATGCATGCAAAAGCATGGACACAAAAAGAAAAATACAATAAACTTCAGTATTTTATGTGCTGAAACCCTAGAGTGATGAAGCATACCACCGCAAAGGACACTGGAAAAATTTTGACCACCTGGTGTTCTTTGCAAACCATTCTCAGTAAAACCTGGTCCAGCAAAATATAGTTATACTGCCTCGTCTAATGCAATGCACGTTATGATTTCTTTAAAGCGCCACTCAACAGGCCTGACAATTTTGAGCTGACAAGCGGAATGCATAGATGGGGCGTTCACGTTTACGTCTGCCAAAATTTGCAACACTACGCACTGCAGAAATTGGTGAAACTTCAAGATGAACGCCGCTCACCCTTCCTTTTGCGGGCACGTGCCCAGAGAAAGAAGGGATGACGTGCGCGTATGAATGGCCCCACGTACACGGCAATGCAGTGACGTTATTGCTCTATGTAGATGACTATGCTCTGACGTTGCCAACAGTGGCACGTGACATGGCAAAAATTAATTAACACCACGTGCGTAGTTTATGTATTTGCTGCTTGCAGAAATTAACAAATCTCTAGATAACTAATGAGACGCAATATGTGACCGTTATCTTTTCTTTTTTTCCCCATGAACTGCAACGTGGTGTGGGGCTAATGTGCCGCCATTTCGCATGCGTGCGTGTCCCCACTGTCAGCACGTCGAGCAGACGACAGCCGTAGAACGCTCCTATGGGTTCGCGCGCTCATTGTGCTCATCTATTCTATCGTGTCTAAGCCAGCTTTTCCAAAGCATCTCGCAGAAACAGGCAGTAGACCTCGAAACAACGATGGTCAAAAAAGAAGAAAAAATGTGCTCGCATGCACAGGGGTGGGGCTTGTTCAAGCATGTCATGCGCACATGACCTCTTGGTCAGATGCTGGAGAGGGTAGGGAAGAGATTTGGCTTGTTAAAGCTACGCGGAGGAGCGGCAAGGGTTTCGAGCTCGCCTCCTCTTATCCTCGTTTCACGCCGCTTCACAAAAACAGTTTTCTCATGTTGTAACGAACTGATTCAAAACATTTTTGTGGCAAAACATTCCTCATCGGACACCGAACAACTTAACGGTCTAACTAAAATTTGGTACCTGGTGAGTGGCCCTTTAATGCAGTTAATGATCTTCACTCCAATGATCATCTCCTCTCCTTCATTCAGCTATGACTGGTATGCTTTTTGCCAACATTCTTACTCAATGATGAATAAACAAATAAGTCAAGGAATCAAATGGCCAATCAACCTTGCTTTGCAACTGTACGGCCCGCTGCAAAAACGTCATCGCCAGGTGTGCTCGGTCGATGGAGCGGAGGCATTGGCCGGCTTCGGTGCACAGTGCGGCCGCCAGGGTTGGCTCCTGGAGTTGAACGTAGAGGTCGATGGCACGCGAGAAGCAATGCACCGCCGCCGCCAGGTGTTCATCGATCGATGGACACAGCAGGGCGTGGTAGTCCGCCTCGGCAGTGAAGAACTGTCGTGCCCCTTGCGCCAAAGCCTGTGCTTCGGCCGCGCTGTTCCCCATGGACTGCTCGCATCTGCGATAAGTTCCAAGATATTGCAGCGTGGTTATTGCCACTCGAGGTGCGATCACACGGTCAGCCCAAGTACGCAAGCTTCGAGCTAACTGCTTTTTTCACTTTTCATGGCAGCAAAGCTGCATTCGGGCTTCAAAAGCGGCCATATCACCAGGGACATAGCCATGAAAAATTCGTATCTGTGAAGATGGAGTGTTTCTGGAGCCAGTGTTTTGACAAGCAGTACTGAATTTGTCAAGGCTGCACATTTAGTGTATGCCTCATTTCTATATATAGTTTTCACATGATGTCATGGACGGGTTCTTTGAGCCGTATACTTCAACACGGCGTATATTGTGACTATTTATCTCATTAGAAAGCGTCAGTGCAGAAGAGAACAGAGAGTAGTTCGGTCCCCGCATTCTTTCGTGCTCTTTTCGCTTTCTCCTGTTCGCTAGCCGCACCACGGGGAGAACACAAAGGCACGCGAGGGGGAACTGGTGCTAATCTGATGTCACGGTTTCTTGCTCCGCGAGCATCTCAACCAGCCTGGCCCCGCCGCTGTGGTCTAGTGGCTAAGGTACTCAGCTGCTGACCGGCAGGTCGCGGGATCGAATCCCGGCTGCGGCGGATGCATTTCTGATGGAGGCGGAAATGTTGTAGGCCTGTGTGCTCAGATTCGGGCACACGTTATAGAACCCCCAGGTGGTCTAAATTTCCGGAGCCACCCACTGCGGCGTCTCTCATAATTATACGCTGTTTTTGGGACGTTAAACCCCACATATCAATCTCAACCAACCTGTACTCCAAGATATGGCGGCCACGAAGACGTTAGTGAGAACTATGTGTGAGAAATTCAACATCACGTTTCTATAAACGTATCGTTCTGCTAAATGATGGAAAAAATGAATGTCGTTTCTGAAGTATAGTTTTTTTAATTTTCTTGTTTTGCAGTTATGTTTCGACACATGGTGACTGCACGAAGTGCCTTTAGAAAGAAAGGCTTGAGACTAGTTCCGTCTGTGAAGCTATGGGCATACTAATTAGGAATATTTTTAAAAAGTGTGTATGAGCTCGTCAAAGACACGTCACGTAAGGGCCGGGCAGTTAGCGGAAGGAGCGCGGGCCAGCTGTTTGGGACCCTCGCACTATAATTTCCATACACACAAAGCAGTAGAGTAGTGCGGATAGAATGAAACGGAACGCATGGCCATCGACACTGCTGTTGGCCGCAACCTCACGTTAGCTATAGAAGCTTCCATTATTGATTTAATTATAACACAGGGGCCTAGCGTGCGGTATGGCTATAGTTGGTATTATTACGGCGTCGATCTTCGCATATTTTTTTAGGAAGCGGCCGCTGGGCGTTCTAGACAAGTGTGACTCCATCTTTACCAAGTCATCACTGTCACGTTTCATTCCCGGTCGTCAAGCCGCGACCTCCTTAAAGACAAACAGCAAAGCGGACAACGTACTTTGCGGCAGCGAGGCTGCACATCCCGGCATAATGAGGACAGTCCTGGTGCTGCAACTGTTTCCCGAGGGCCGCTGAAACATCACAGAGCAGGAGAAAACGAAAGTGAGAGATACGATCGCAGAGCTAAAACTTCGTTACGTTACGCTTTCTTGCGGCTGCAAGGGCAGATATTTCGCATCGCGATGAAGACGTGCCGAGAAAAGAATCGCTCACTTACTGTACTGGTCGCTGACTTCGGCCAAGTTTGGTTTGCGAAGGAACCTCCTGAAAGACGAAAATTAGCAGGTGAGGTGACCATCTAGAAACTCGGAACACTGCCCAAGGCGGAAGGCACGAACAACAACAAAACAACCGATTCGATAGAGTAAGTGTTGCAGTGCTCAACGCGCGAAACGTACGCTCAAAAGCGCTCACTTTTTGAGTTTTAGGGAAATTGTTTTGTACTGCTGCATAAAGTCATTCTTGCCGGCCTCCATGGTTTTGTCGCCGCGTAATAAAATTGTAAATTATTTGCACGTCTGCGTTTTTTGCGTTGTTGCCAACATTGTTTTGTGCACTCGCTAAAATACCTCGAACTGTTGTCCCTTTCTTTCTTAGTTTTTTAAATTTATTTTATTTCGTAGTCGCACCCGTTTGAATGAGTAATCAGCGTCAGAGAGCAAAAAAAAATTGCGCGACAGCTTTAGCTGGCGCATAACAGTATTATTCTTGTTTCGGGAGGTTGGGAGGGGGTTGCTTCAACAAACGTGTTACTAGATTGCTTTGTATGTTCGCACTCATTTCAAATTGAAAAAAAAAAAATGGTGTATTCGAACTTCCTTTCCAGATATGCCAATGAACAACGGCGATTATTTTGCAATGACGGAGCGAACAAGCGCGCGCGCGCGCGCGCGCGCACGCACACACGCACACACACACACACACACACACACACACACACACACACACACACACACACACACACACACACACACACACAAATTACTGTAAATATAATTTAAATTGAACATATTTACAGAACCACTTAAGCACAGAACCACAGAGTGATGAGAGAAAAACAAAGGTACGAAGAGAATTTTGTCCTTCATAAGCTTACCCACTGTTTAAGCTACGGTCTTTCGGAGATTAACGCCAACTCCTCAAGTCTTCTAGTCTTATAGACCTTTTCAAAAACGTTTCCCTGGGCGCCGCCATAGTCCTCTTTGGGCTGTGCAAATTGGCGTGACCCCTCATAAATGCACTGACAAGGCTGCGCCCTTGGCGTTTGTACTCCCGCGCACAGCCCATCGTGGCGGCGTTTTTTTCCCTCCTGTGAAAAGGTGTATATAGGTGTAAACTTTCAAGTGATTAAATTCTACGTGTTAATGGGTACAGTTTCTAGAACTGCTACATCATTGTTGAAATTTTTGTGCTCCTCGGTTTTTTGCATGCCTTTCACTTTTTTTGGCAGAGAACAGTAGGCTTAAAATTGTTATAGTATCTATCATAATGTGTCGTTTCTCATGTTTCGTATATATTTCAAATTAAGAATCCTTCCAAATCTCAATGCACATTGGCTCCTCAATCCTTGGCCAGAATGTCCTATACTTAGCCAATGAGAAGCTGTGGACTCCCTGCTTACTACACCCAAAGCAGCCAGAGAATGACAAGTGCTCCAATCATTATTCTCGTTTCCTAAGATCGTGATTGCTATATGTGACAAAGCTCACAAGTGCCCCATAAGTGCACCAAGAAGGAAAATTTAATCAACTGACGAAATGTTCAAGCACAGCTTTTTCCAGCAATTGCCTTGAAATACAATTCAAAAATGAAGGCATATGATACTTTTATCAAGCCAGCACATGCAGCGTTTTGCTCTTCAGGTTTGCAGTGTGCAAAAAGCCCATCTAAAATGCAAGCAGTTAGCCTGCCTTCAGAAAAAGCACAACTGTGTTAGGATACAGCTTAGTGTGAAATGTAAACCACATTGTAGTAAGGCGAAGACCAGCAAAGCAGGGTGTACGTCTGGGACAAAATAGACGGTGGGTGTACAGTACGGCATCACTTCGCCTTTCAAAATGATGTCATTAATGCAGGCATTATTAAGCTCTTACGCAGATGTCATACAGCCAGCTGTGGACCAATGAGTATTGCTATGCAAAAAACATGTTTACTTTGTCACATATGTACATCATATATATTTTATATATTTATTAGATTGAGCATGTGTTTCTAAAGTGAAGAAACTGGCAGCAATTACATTTGGTTTGTTGGTGTCGACATAATTTATTAACAGAGCCATGTTATCATGTTTACCGTGACCTGTGTTCTCAATTCTGACGTACCAATTTTGCTTACAAAAAAAAAAAAAAAAAAACAGGCACAACTTCACAGGCCATTGCACAATGAAAAACAGAGAAACTAGTATGAAATTTTCTTACAAACATACACCTTATTTAAAACTGCCACATAGTTTATCAACATAAACCATTTTTCTGTAATCCTAATTAAAACATTTAGTGTACCAAATAAGTCTTAAAAATTGCTGCATAACTTTAAGAAGTGTATGTGGATTCTAACATGTTCAGTTATCTTACAAGCAACATAAGAAATTGATAGAATGCACATGGAATGTTTCAGTAGAGATCTGCTGAAATTATAATGCTGTGCAATTGGCAGACCAACATTTCTAGGACGTCCTCTTTGCGACACTTGGAGTACCGGCTCTATCGCCATTCCGAAGTGTCTCTATGATGGAATACAGTAATGGCCTGAAAGAGATTCATGAAAAAAAAAATGAATAAATAAAGTTACGACACTGGTCATACCTAAATATAAAATTATTGCATGCTTAGTTTCCCTACTGAACACTGCAACGTGCAGCCACACTTACAGTTGAGAAGCCTTCTCCGACAAATTGACATGGAGCTCTTTCTCAAGGAATGCACGGCCAACTAGGCTTCTCTGGTACCCACTCTCTGCGAGACAAATGCAAGAAATAGAGTTATATAAGATAAAATATTCACAAAGTAAGTGGTCACATTTTAAGTAAACTCAACGTGAAGTTGAAGTACTTAGCCAGAACACAGCCCCAAACACTGTTTGCACTAACACTAATAAGTATCCATGGATCTGCATTTTTCAGCAATTTAATACAAAAAAATTATCTGCTGAAAGAATTGGTGGACCTTTGAGTTGAACGCGATAGCAATATTACATCCAAGCGCATACTTCGAACAGTGTATCAAATCTTTTCGAACTTGCTATGCACCCACTGCATGGCCCTAAGTGTGCAGTAGCGTGTGTGCCTTTTGTAGTGGGTCATTGGCTTTAAACTATGTAGTCATTATAATAATAAAGGCGGGCGAGTCGAGACTTATTCATCATTCGGTAGCACACAAATTAATAAAACACGAAAGAATGGAACAGGACAAGCCCTGACACAGCGCTGGGGAAAGATTGGCCGGGTGCACGCGTGCGTGCTTTGCTCGGCTGACGTGGTGAAGGCTGAAGAAGGCTGAACAGTGAATCGCACATGCAATAGCCGTGAGGAGTTTGAGCTGTAAACTGAACTGTTCATTGTTTATACTTTATTAATAATTGTCTTTGCAAGTTTTGAAGCAGCATCGCATTTCGACGTTTGGCCAGATGGCGAGAACCCTCACACTGCATAATGCGAGACGGGCATAAAATCGCCTTCTCAGACAGTTGCATCGTTACTTTCCCACCCTAATCTGAAAATTTCTTCACCTTGCACAGTGTTGCAGCATCCACAGAAGGGACTCACCTTTGATCAAGTGACAATGTCAACAGATGATGTCACCTCGTAACGTCAGTGAAGTCACAAATTTGGATGTGATGTCCCGATGACGAGGTGAGAGACACAGGAAATGTTGGTTTACACCAGTTCATTCCCTTGCCATGTTTTGCTCAAGGGGCCGCTCAAAAATGTGCCTAGGGCTTTCGCCTTAATAAAATCACTTGTGGCGTTACTGGTGCAAGAAAGAAAGAACAGTTTGCAGAAATTTGTAATGCACGTTGACAGCTGTTATACTATCTATTAAAATCTCTTCTTTTGTAAGCTAAAAACACGCACAATTTCGTCAGTAGGGGTCGTGGTCTTCGCCAACAGCTATAATTAGGGCTGTAATTATGGGGTAGTCGTTGGGGTTCGGACACCCACTGAAATTTTTTTTGTGCTTTCACTTTTCGGAAGATACTAAAGTATTTGGACACTTTCACATTGACCACCAGCTGCCAAAGTTAGCCATTCGCACTCTAACACCCCCCTCCCCCTCTGAAAGAAATTCCCAGGCAGGGCCCTGGCTAGAATCCTGCTTTCGTAACATTTTTTCAGTGCATGGCCAGGTGTGTGTTTATTTTTCTGGAAAGGAAGGGGGAGTGACTTCCTTATTTCGGAATTACTACATGTCGTGTGTTTATACATCCGCGCACGCATACAAACACACTCGCGATTACCCATAAAGCAAGGACAAGCACCCCCCCCCCCCCCCCCCCCCCCAAACACACACAAATTTTCGGTGACGCCTTTGCGTTCTTTTACCTGCTTCGAGAATAGACGCGGTTTGCTTGTAGTTGTTGAAGGCGAGGTACTCCAGCACAAGTTCGTTGATGAGGCAGTTCTGTTCGGGCAGCCTTGGAGTTCTTCGGGTGGCTGCTGACGGTTCCTCCAAAGCCTTCACAATCTCCGAGCGCAAATTAGCGCGCAACGAAGGCAGCACGCCGTTTTCTTCCAAGATCTCCGTCAGAGCTGTAACGAAAACCGTAAACGTTACAAGGTCTTTACAATCTCACCCGTCTTCCCTAAGACGACTTGCACACGTTAAAAGAGAAGTGGGGAAAAAAGAAAGAGAGAGAAAGCGATACGTCGAAACGAAACTAGCAAAATAGTGTTATAGATGCTAACCTGTCTTTACGTCCTTTTCAGAGCTCATCGTTCGGTTTCAGTTTATAAAATAACTAAAACGGGATGTTTGTGAACAGACAATGAAGACTCCAGCAGGCTAAAGCGTAGAAGTTATAAGGCTTTCCACTTTTGACTTCAAATATACAACCTTCGTGCAACACACGGTCTTTCAAATAGGCGCCATTCCGTAACCACAACAAAAGGCCAGCCATTTGAGAGCGTTGAAACCTTCAATATTGTAGCTGAGAATTATCGTAAATAATCATAATTAGCCATTCTGCATTTGTGTGTCAAGTTAATAATTATGGAATTTTTTTATTGTGCACTTTTTAATTGCGTTTCTTTGTAGTGTAAAGGACTGAGAGTGGCACAGCAAATACAATAGTTTCTCTCAGTCGCAACTATTGAATCAGTACTCGCTATAAACAGCGCAGGCGGGGACGAAGACTTGGACGCAGCGACGGTGTAGGATTTCGCGTGGCGCTCGAGCTCGTCGAAGCGCCCACAGAATCCCGAAGGCGAGCGCTTTCCTTCGATACGAGCCATGCGAACGTGCTTGAACTTCGTTGGCGCGCTTCTGCTGTCGCTTTCCGTCCTCGGAACGTCGCAGGGTCAATCGGTCGAGCCCGACTCGACGGACGTGGACGACTTCTATCGGAGCCGCTTCGGCAACGGCGACGCGTCCCGAATGCGCGTCATTCTGGGCGACACCGAGGGCTGGGTGAACCCGCACGACATGCTGGGCGTCGCGTCCAAGCCGCCTTCGTCGGGCAAGCGAACGTGCCAACAGTCCAAGTCGAAGAAGAGCTCGGGCGCGTTGCCCGAACCGATATCGGAGGACACGACGTCTCCCGAAGCCCGGGCCCGAATCTACAGCGAGATCAGAGCGCGGGCTGCTGCCGAAACGAAGAAGTTTAGTCGATACCCGGCGGCGTTCGAGGAACCAGACGAAACCGTGGTCGAAACGACGAACGAAGAAAGCGAAACTGCGAACGAAGAAAGCGCCGGCTCGCCCACTGGTTGCGACTGCAAGCAGCGAACTAGCTGTGACTGCGATTGCAAGGCGATGCGACGCGAGGCGAGGAAATGCGGGGAGCAGGTGAAGCAGCTAAGGCTCAGTCAAGTGCTAGCTGACGGCCAACACGACCGCGAATTCATCTACCTCAGGCGTCTCGCTCTCAACGTCATCTACAGCGCCAAGTTCGGCGGAGACGAGATGCCTGCCAACGTCAAGTTCGAGATACTCCTCTCGTCTGACGACGTGAGTGTGTGTTTTTTTTTTAATAGGCCATGGCAGATAAGAAGTGGGCGTTCCCGCTTCCTCAACCAGGTTGCCATGGCAACTGGCGCTCTCTGATAGAGCGGTATCGGAGGCGGCTTGTGGTTGCCATAGCAACCGGTGCTTCGTAATATGTGGCGTTGCCATGACAACTGCTTAATGATGCGTGCGTGCTACGTCAAGTTCTAGATAGTCCTCTCGTCTGACGACGTGAGTGGCTTTTTTTTAAACAGGCCATGGCAGATAAGAAGTGGGCGTTCCCGCTTCCTCAACCAGGTTGCCATGGCAACTGGCGCCTTCTGATAAGGCGGCATCAGCCGCGGCTTGTGGTTGCCATAACAACCGGCGCTTCGCGATATGTGGCGTTGCCAAGACAACTGGTTAGTGATGCGCGCTTGCTATCAGATGCGATTTGAGGTTGTCATGGCAACCAGCACTATCCGCGTCTTATCGGACGCGGCTTGAGGTTGCCATAGTAACCGGCACCTTACGAAACGCGCAGCTGTGTGTTGCTATGGAAACTGGCCGATTCTTAGAAAATATTGGTAGTCACTGCGTTATCGCACGCTGCCGCATACTGCCATGGTAACTGGCATGCTGTGATCAGCCACCATTGCGAAATCACACTTGAGGGACCCGACACCAAATTTGGAAACTCGAGGATGCTTAGCTTGTTTGAGAGCCCTACATCTAGGGACACTTCTGACCTATTATTAGTGACGAGCATAGTTTATAAGATATAATAATTTGGTTTCAAAGTGAACGTGCATACTTATGATGCTATGATGACTGGGAGACGTGGCCCAGCTCATACGCCATGTTTATTCCATTGCGACTTCTTGCTCCTCTGCTTCTGTTAACCATCCCCGTCTCCATACGTCACATACTCATCTAAGTTACCACCACCAATTGACATCATCTCTGGTTTGCCGTAAACAAAGGCTCCACGCTCCGCGAGTAAGGAGAGCATTGTTGACGTCAGAGAACATTTGCGGGGTGTGCACTATACCCCGACTGGCACTCGGTCAAGGCTATTATTCGTCAACCCTCTCACTCTGTTCTTGGGCTGCTCTCGAGGTGTTTTTGGCTGCTTACGCCATGAATATGTTTATGTTTTTCTTTCTGAGGGGGACACACTCCAAGCACCTGCGCCGTTTCTTTCTTCACCGTAGGTTCCGCTATATGATAATGTTGCGACGTTCAACATCACCGAAACTTGAGCGCACGTCGTGTCAGGTGCTCCCCAGCTGTGGGGCACTAGTTTGTTATAATATCTAGGTGGGCGTTTTGATTTGATGCAAAGTCAATCTGAATTAATGACATTAGCATTAATTATACGATGCATTAGAGTATTTACAATTCAATTTCGGGATAATCAGATGCAAAGCTACAAAGTTTGTGTAAAAAATTCAAAAACAAAGCTTGCGCTGTCAGGGGTTCTTTAAGCATTGATATTTCGGCGAGTGGCTGTCAGGAAACCTATAGTTGGACACAACTTATGAAGTCCTTTGAGAACTGGCCTTGAGAACCAAAGTGCAGCAGCGATCGCCTCCCCATGCAAAGAAATGGTCTCTCTAATGTGCCCTGCAGTGCTCTCTGGAGGTAGGGGTCATCTGAAATCAGTCTCACGACGTCCGAATGGAGTGCATGCCCATGCGCTTGTGTTCATTCACCTTTGAGGAGGAAATTTTGACAGGACGGTCGATATTCGTTAAGATTCTCACCCTCACTTTCATACAACAAAGCAGATAACTTACAATAGCACGCATGCATCAACACGCAGAAATATAACTCAAACACATGCATCATGCGCTGGTTAACACTGAGCCTGATAAATAGGATGAATCATTTAAAGATATCTGGCGATTCCAGGCACGTTGGCCTGACAGGTAGGTGCTTGAATTGGCTCTTCGGTGAGCATGGGAACACTGTTAAAGGTCCTGATTTTTATGCGACAGTGTTAAAGAGCTTTATTCAATAAAATTCTAGCGTTGGTGTTGATGTGGGCGTCATTGGTTGTGAGCAAAAAATCGTCATGTCCATGACCGAAACATCGAAGAAGATATAAACAAAATTAATAATAAGAATTTCCAAGCCCAAGGGAGGATCAAACCTAGGCCGTTTGCATGGCAGAGCCAGTATATTAACCCTGTGGTCTATTTATAAAGTTTCAGTTTCGGAAAACTGGTCAGTTTCAATGAAAAGTCGGAGAAAGGTAATGTAGCTTGATTGCAGGCACAGCTGACAACAGAACCAAATCACTCACTAGAATGCAAACATTCGCACAGCAAACGGCTTGTTGGGTCACAGCTTGCAACTGCACCATTGTTGCCCCCTTCCGAGACTGCTCGCGCATTTATAAAATATTCGGTAATAAACTAAGTGCTTGATGCACTAGAATTTCACCAGCTTGTCTGTGAAAGCAAAAGGATTAACCTACATAACCCAGATTATAGTAAGAAATTGGATGTTGTGGCTCTTTCAATGTCTTTGATGGCATATTTTTATCTGAGAGCACTGCACCTGTGTTGTTTTTGCCAGTGCATTTTTCTTTATCGATGATTCTCTTCTCGTCATTCTTGAATCATTGCACCAACCTTACCAAGTTCCAGCTTATACAGGTACTTGTCTTCTTTCTAAAAGGAATGTTGTAAGAAACTTGACAAAAGTGTTGTCGGTGATCGTTAACAGGTGGCGACGTTGGAGAAGCTTGCCACGGATGGCAGCACCAAGTCATCGCAGCTGGAGCAGAAGCTGTCCACCATCCTCACCAGTTCGGTGGTGACACCAGATGAGCTGCCGCACGGTGCCAATGCGCTCCTGGGTCGCCTGGCCCAGGCCTGGGGCCAGACCATGGGACCGGTGGATGTTCGACTCGCAGTTCCAGCCTGCGCCATGCTGGGAGTCTTCCTCATCATACTGATGCGGGGTCGCCCGTGGAAGGCTATCACCTTGATGATTGTCTTTTACTTTCTCCTGCTCAGCTTTGTCTGGCACTGGGCCCTTTGCTATCAGGTGACTACCTTCAATCGATCAACTTAGTTTATATCCTTTAAAATAAGCCCCAAAATGCAATAGCAGACACAACCAAATTAAATAAATGGACAATTAGGCTAGTTAAAGGATACTTTAATTACTGTGTTTTATTTGCGGCATGGTAATTACTACGCAAATTGGAAGGAATTGAAGCTGACCCAAAATCACTCTGTCAATCTGTGGGATCCGAGCTAACAACCTTCAAATCATGCATCCGATACTGTACCGATTGAAGCCAATTTTAGACAACCGGCAGCACTGGCTAACACTAATTGTGAATACAGAAATATTGAATGAAATGCACCAGGAGTTGGCTTTTGTTGTAGCGCAATCGATAGTGTACCGGACAGGTAATACGAAGGTTGTGTTCTTGCCCAATGCCGAAAAGGGTAATACTTTGTCAAATTTATAATTATTTTCAATTTACGTAGTAATTACTACACTCAGATAAAAGACAACATCTATAGTCTCTTCTGCTTTGCTTGACCTAATTATCTGTTCGATTCATTTAGTCATGTCAAAGTAAGCTTCAAAACACATTCGCAGTCGGATAACTCAAAGTATTTTCCTAGTTGTCCTCCTGCTGCGACAACATCGAGAAGAGAGAGTATTACTGTGGTAGTACTGCTTTGTGAATGGAGTACTACTGTAGCAGTAATTCCCTTCATGAAAGGCACACTGTTGCAGTAATACTCCACCTGTGATGAACTCTTTTTTAGTACTACAAAAGCAAAGTGCAGCTAGACATGTACGATTCTGGCTAGTGCAGCTGTAACCATGTGCCCGCTTTCTTGTTTGGGCCAGCTGGAGCACGCACGAAGGGACGCGTACATCTCGCAAAATGTGGTTCCGCCCAAGCACTGCCAGCCGGGCTACAGCCCCGGCTGGCTCCAACAGATTCTGGGACGCACGAGCAGCGCAGAGTGCGAGAGGTACTACGAAAGCTTGCACGTTGACCCTGTGTTGCAGGTAAGGCTGCTAACTTCAATCTTTCTGCCTGACGTCAGGTAAGCGGGAGAGGACCGCTGACATGACATTTCGGACTTCTTTCACCTTTATTTTTGATTAATTGAAGTTTCTCGTCAAAATATGAAAAATTAAAGCTGGTTCTACACGTGTGAAATCTGAATAAATAGCTGAGCAAGCAAGGGCCTGAATCTGGTTAATGCCGGTTAGGTTAGGTTAACTTAGGTTAGGTTTTTAGAGGCGCGGCACTTAAGCAAAGCTGGTCTGGTGTTCATTGAACGCAAAGCGGCGTCTGCGCCAGTATGAAGCACTCACTGCGCACAGCTGTCACTTCTAATAGCGGCACGGAAGGGGTGACATACCGGACTACTTTCGGTAGTGGTACATGTAAAGAAGATCCGCCCCGTAGCTTTCTCTTCGTTGCCGGAGTAGGAGAGCAAGAGTAGGAGGAGCGCCTTGGCATGTACCTGCCAAGTTTTTGCATCTGAAGTCTAACAAAGGTTTAGGTGCTCTTCATTTATTTGTTTACTCACTGTTGTTATTGCATCCTAGTACAAAAAATGCAAAAAAAGTGGGTTACATAATAAATGCAGAATTAGGAGGTAGCAAAGTTCGAGACTGTCACAGGGATCTCCTATCACTAGTGGCGTACGCAAAAGGTAAAAAGTTCTGGTTTTACATAAGTTGTTACAGGCGGTTTGCCTCTATTTTGGTTTTCTACCTTCGGATATTTTTTGGATGTTTACGTGACGTCATATCATTGTTGCTGTTACCAACTATAATAGACAGATTTTTTTTTTCATTAAACTCCAGGTCACAGTTAGTGCCTGTCTGTCCTGTGTATTCTTTACCGTGTCCAGTTTTCCCTGTTCTGTGCTTCGACATGAATCTATACGAACTCGCCCAGTACTCTACATTACTTCAGGACATTTTTCGTTTCCTTGGTTAGCAATGGCAATGCTCTCCACACACTGGAGTCAGACAACGCATATAAAATATTTTTTTAATTTTAAAGTTTTCATCCCTGAGCGTCTGCTAGTGCTGCAATGCACATTATTCCGACATGTTGGGACAGTTCCCAAGTTTGCGAGCTCTGCATCTGGCGTGCAGCCTAAATTGCAGCATCCACTGAATGACAATTTGCTCATTGTTTTTATGCACCGCCAGCACATGACAGATTCGCCGTATGTCGCTAGTTGCCGTATTCGCATGACGTCACAGTTTTGACAGGTCACTGAGAAGCCCCCTTGATATCAAAACCCAATGCGTTTTTTTAAGGTAGCAGTAGTAAAAATATATTCGACGCATTCCCAGGCATCTTAATACTCATTTTAGGTTTCTCGACATCAGTTCTTTTATTTAGAGCAACAATAAAAAATATTTTTAATTTGTGTCAGTACTCCTTTACCATATGAACTTTTATAAAACTTCATTGAGTCAACGATACAAAAACCCAAAAAATGTACGCTTTTAAATATGCAACACCACTTTCAGCGATTTCAGTGCTCAATTTTAAAATGGAAACTGACTTCTCAGTGTGCAATTTATCAATTTAAACTGATTCAGTGTTCCGAATTAGTGTCCCTTTAACATGTACGCACTAATGTTGGTCGTAGGTCAACCCGTTGTTCGTCCTATCCGAGCTGTTGTCCAAGGCCCTCTTCAGCCCACTCTCCAGCCTCGGCACGGAGCTAGGGAAGTTTGCGCGGAACTTCGCAGAGCACCAAACCTGGTGGAGCATGGCGAACAACATCATCAATGTCATCTGCATTGGCGTCCTTGGCGTTTTTGCGGCAATGATCTTTGTGAAGCTCTTCGTCTTGTTCTACTGGACCAGGCCGGAGAGGCCGAGACGCGAGCGGGTTGAGGAGGTGTCGGAATCCGAGCTTCACCAACCGGAGGCACCACGACGTCGCGTCGTTAGTCTGTCGCACGAGTCGCTTTCCAGTCACAAGGAGGCCATAGAAGGCGACGTTTTGTACGAGAAAAGTGGTGAAGAAGACGCCGAGGAAGAAGAGGAGGCCGATGAAAGAATTGGCGACGACACTTGCTGCCAAGAAGGCCCGATGAAGTCTGGTAAAACCTGACTCGTCGATGGGGCAGCTGATGCATGCCCATTTGCGCCTTTGGAGACGTTTTAATAGAGTCTAGTTCAGAAAATGAATGGTCCTTTGTGATAACGCTCGTATGTTCCTTCTTATTCCCGCTCTTTACGCTATCAGAATGTGCTCCCATCACTTTGTCATTGCACCAGTGCTTCATCCTGCCAACAAATTTCTGATTTTAAGTGTTTTAGTGCCAACTATGTAGTCCCTTTTGAGATCTCAAACATATTATACGGCTTTAATGCTTTACATGCCAAAGCTTTGCAATCAGCACCAGCATGTGCCCCATTTACCTTTTAGAGTTTATTTAAATTGACAATGAAGACTTTATAGGTGTGTGGGGCTACAGGTTGGCCTCTCGGGTGGTAGTCAAACAAGTAAAGTTTTTAGGTGCGAAGTTCTGAAAGTTCTTTCAACATTTTCGCACACTAGAAGTTTTCACTCACCTGAAAGGCATATTGCAGTTACTAATACATACCATTACGCAAGCATCAATTAGTCTTGTAAAACTTTACACTAGTCATTGGTCCAAACAGCTCTGTTGTCACGAGGAAAAAAAAAAAAGTGGCTCTTGCAGCAGTTCTTGAAAGGTGCCCCAATTGTCACTCTCTCTGGGCAGAAAGCGCCAGGTCTAACACTGACCCAGCTGCCATATTTTTGTCAATATTGTGTGTATATAATTCTAACGCTCATTGAATGTCCCCGTGAATGTGACCAATGTGATGGCATGACTGCGCCGCAAACTTATGGGATAAGTTGAGGCCTGTCACCGCGAATTGAGTCAACAGTGAAAACTGCACTTGATTACTGGAAACGTCTCATTAGTTGCTAGGTTGTAATGCCGCATGCATTGGTGACGACAGTGTAACTGCTTTGATTGCCCCTGGCGCAAGACTTCAAGTGTGGAGGCAACGTAAAAAAAAATAACAGAGCAGAATGCACCACTAACATTGATTGTTGCCACGCTGCCAGCTTCCGTGCACATATAGTAGGACATGTGCTATTCGAGTGGTAAGCAAAGAAGACTGAAACTGCTTTTACCTTGCAACCACTGCAAATTATTGTGTTTTGGCCCTTTTATTTCAAAGAAGTGTGAATAGACTCTGGCATGATACGGTTGGACATTGTCCTTGCCCTCACCCACCTTCACTTTATAGTCCTCAGAGATTTCGTCTATGTTTACGTCCCAGTCAGATGAGCAAACCACGTTGTTTTCTTCTCTGTGTGTGTTCTTTTAAGTGTATGTATGCAATATGTGTAGTTGACACATGTTCGCAGCTTTAAAATTTTTTTTTGAAGTTGCTGAATCACTTTGTTGAATATGTTATAATTCTGTTTATGCGAGTTTTGCCAATTTAATTTTTCGGTTAATAATCAAAGGTCTTGTTAGCTGCCTGTACGCATTTACAGGCCCAAACTTTGTGTTACTTCAGTTCCGAAATTCTCCTCCTCACTAGGCTTGATGACTGGTACGCTAATGGCTGCAATATACACTCAATAGCGGCAGCATCAGCGTCAGCCTTTAGCAGCTACTAGGAAATGAGGAATGCTTTGTAGTCACATTGTTTTAACAGATTTTGAAGTGAATGTGGCAGCCTGAAATAGTTTTCCAGCATTTTGTTGTCACGGACAGCCGCAGCTGTGTGGAGTTTTCATTCACACGTTGCACCATGTTTATACCAAAATTATAGGCTGGTTGGTGTTCTAGAGTTCAACGTCCCAACATGACTTGGGCTATGCTGTAGTGGAGGACTTTGGATAATTTCGGCCAGCAGGAGTCGTAATATAATATAACATGTTGCGTAATATATTTTATCACACGCTACCCAGAAATGGTTGAGGCTTGCATGTACATATCTGACAGTCAGACATAGAACAGGAGCTGGAAGCGGCAGTGTTGTCAATCATTTGATGTCAGTTAGGCAAAAAACAGACTATGAAAAAATATAGATATCAATAGAGATCCAGACGGGTCTCCGTACGATTTAGACTAGATCAAAAAATAACTGCTTTGGCAGGAGAAGCAAATAAGCCTGTTTTGTGTCTGGCTTAATCCTATCTAGTGCCTACAGTTTGTGAAAATGACTATGAGCGCCATCACCCAAGACCTCGTAAAATTGCATTACTACCCGAGAATCAGTCAAAGCATCAATACTAATAAATTGTTAGTCATGACTATCTTCAGTTTCAAGCTTTGAAAAACAGTACCCTCAAGTACTGATATTCAATTATGTTAGTAGTTAAATACATTGAAAGCATTTGCAAGTTCATTGTATGGTCCACCTGGGTACTTTCCCTTTGCTCATTAGCTCCCTTATGCTGTTCTTGCATTCCCTTCTGCTATTGAATGTGTACAGTATTGTGCCCCTGGGGTCCTTTTATGTGCACCGACATGACACAGTACACGGGCACCTGGTGTTTTACCTCCACAGAAATGCGACCGCTACAACCAGGATCGAACCCGTGTCTTTCAGGTTCACAGCCAGCCTATGTAGTCTTCTACCAGCACCGATAGTTGGCCGAGTTGGTAAGGGTCCTTGATCGTGAAGCTGCGCTTGTCTTTGCATCTTTTTATTTGTCAGTGTTTCGTGTTTTTTTTTTGTTGTTGCGCCGTTTCACGATAAGGCCTCCACCAAAATGGTTATCTGCCCGTTTTGAATATGCCTAATGACACGGGTACGTTTACGATGCACATCTTGGTTGTAATGAACCCGTGCTGCCTGCTCTCCGTCACGTCAATAAACCACTGATATAAGCAAGCAATGCTTCATTTTATCTCAAGCCAACTAGAACGTGTAAGCTTTGTTTTGTTGTCTGGATCAGTTGTTCCTCTTGAGACTGCTAGGCCTAATGATGATGCCTCTGTTGCATATAGGTGTGGTGGCTCTGCTGCAAATTCTTGAACACACACACCGGCAGTGTTCCGATTGAGTTTCAGTGACACTGTAGCAGGGTGCTTGTGGCATTGAATGCCTTACACTGATGACATGTCATAGCAGTCGTGTTGAAGTACCAGAACGGCACGAAGCTGCCCGTCTGGTGTCACGTTCAAGGCATCTGTCCTGACGATTGAAAAAAGTCGCAGCTTAGTCGCAAATGCGAAGCAATCAATGCGATGATTGATTGATATGTGGGCTTTGACGTCCCAAAACCACTATATGATTATGAGAGATGCTGCCGTGGTGGAGGGCTCCAGAAATTTCGACCATCTGGGGTTCTTTAACAAGTACCCAAATCTGAGCACACGGGCCTACAACGCTTACGCCTCAGCAATGAATGCGATAGCAACAAATTGGAACATCATGCGAAGAATGGCAAGCAAATCAAAACGTGCCCCACGTTGCTCACGCACAAATGACGCATGACAAGCACTCACAGGTACAGATGAACGCGAACAAGTGTCTCAGTTGTTACTTCGCTGTGTCTGAAAAGCACGCCCTTCGCAAACAGAGATTGTGCAGCGAGTACAGTGACCTTTGTGTGCCCGGTAACTACAACATAGTCGTTCCGGTGAAAGCCCAAGGCTTATGATTCTCCCCATCGCAAGATAAGCACGCGTGAGCGTCTACCCCCCCCCCCCCCCCCCATTGCAGGGCAAAGTACGCATGGGAGATGATCGCATCTGCGAGCATCGCCGCGTCGTGACTATCTGGGGATGCGCGCTCTTTGCGCCATCTTGCTGGTAATGCTGAAAACACGATAGTTCCCCAAAATCGCCATTGGAAGCTACAAGTGGTAGATATAAACTGCTTGCCTTTTCAACGTAGAAAAAGGTGCTCTTGCTTATGAGTGTGTGGCTAACGCCACACACTCATAAGCAAGAGGTCAGACGTTCGATATTGTGCGCCGGAGTCTTTTTCTGAATTATTTTTGTTTCTTGTGTTTTCATATTCATAGATACGTATACATATACGGTAAATGACGGCAGTCGCCAACATCGCCGCCAGCAAAATTCAGCTGAGAGTGTCCATGTAATTGCTACCGCAGTAAAACCCTGAGTGTTCCTCCAAGTAACGATTCAGTACACTGGCCGATTGTCTGTCAAAAGGATGTGTATGCAAAACTACCAACACACAAACAGAGTATGGCAAAAACAAATCGATTGTCACTGCAACAGAGCAACCGAAATGCACTCAAAATGAGCGCACAACTGCTCCACGAACCACTTTACAAACAACGAAACATTTCAACAAATTTGCGCTGAACTTTTTTATTGAATTGTTTACTCCATGTATTGTTGTACTGCATAACCTGTTTGAGATCATTGGGCAAGCATGCCATCCATACCAACCCATCAACATTGAAAGTAAGAAGAATTGTCATTGAAAGTAAGAAGAATTGTCCATCATTCTAGGCAAGTCATTGGTGCAAACAGATTGTTCAGCTATCATTCAATTTGCCAATTCACTAATAATCCATCTACACACCAACCTCAATACAACGGAATATTGGTTATAACAAAGTAAAGGATAAATAGTCTTGCAATAGATAATAAGGAACAACATGTATAACAAATTTTTGGATATAATGAACTTAATTTCTTGCAATATGCAACTTTGCCATAATGAGGCTTGAGTTGCATCCCTTAGTCACCATATAACGAATGTTTAGTATGCTGCAATTTCTATACCCTCTATACTTGATTTGTAACGTAGTTATGATTGTCATGCAAAGAGCAACTTTTCATAGCTGAAAGGGGAAAAAAATAAACAAAAATAAAATAGTGTGCATTATTGCATTTTATAGACAAACTGAATTTTCGTAATTTTGGCATTCAACACTGTAACGCAAGGGTCGACTTCAGGTACTGAAAATATGGAGAAAAACTCTGGTTACATTTGAGTAAATATGGTAATCACATTCAGTTATCTTTATCTTAGTTGCAATGTGACACTATGGATGTGCAACATACAGGTAAGGCCCACATCGTGCTGTAAAAGCTACTCAGCATTGTCAATATAAAAATAGATGAACAAGAAAGCATTGTAAACAATAATTGTATGTTATCACACAAGCTTTCAGCACGCTTCACCAAAGTAGTTTGTACTTCCAGCTAAAACAGTATTAAACAGACAGGTTAAATAAAGAAGGGGGCTGATTCCCGAGATGCACCTTCGAAAGAGCAACAGTGCTCATTTACAAAGTTGTAAGTGTACCACGCGTTTCTTGTGTGTAAGAAGACTGCACACTTTAAAGGTTAAAAAAGAATGCTAGTTTCGAGATGCCCCTCCTTATCATAATCTACATATCATACAGCGTAATAGGTACTTGCAATAAACTATAAGTCTGTGGCTTTCAATTATATATATAAATAATCTAGTCTCGACATGTGTTAAGCTACATTACAGTAATAAAAAATGAAATTAAGTTTTCAATTACCTTTCATGACAGCAAACAGAGATCAAAAACATAACAACCTGTCATGATTTTAGCAACTCCTAGGGGCTTTTTGTACATTACATAGCCTGAAATGCTTGTCCGCAAAGCGTTGTCATGCAACATTGCTGCCATCTCATTGTCATGGCCTCCTACGGTCTTCATCACCACTCTTGTAAGCTTGTCATGTCATGGTGACTTCGTCAAAGCCGGATTATGTGTCATGTCCAAGCTAACTAAAGCATGGCAATTGAACAATGCAAAAGGAACCTGTTTCTTGGTTCATTAGGTACTTTTTACGGTAAAACAAACTGCTCCGCAACAAACACGAGCGTCTGTTGCGAGTTCTACACGTCCGGACTTGTCTTGAGGGCTTGAACCGTGCGACGTGTGGTGTTATGCAATTGCGTGCACATGTAATTGTGTGCCTGTGGAATTGCAAGCGCATCAATATGAAGTTGAACATTCTGCGAGAGCACGGATAACGTTGTTAAATTCTTCCCTTCATGACAGTTTTTAGGATATTTCTCCAAAATGCACATCCCAGGAACACGTGACGTGTTCACGGCACACTGTCGGCACACGAAAAAGTGCTGTACTATGCAGAATGACATGCTATGGAAGTCAGTAAGAAACACACTGTGCGTCTTGGCACCATTGGTCAGTAGATGCACGAGGAGCAGTAAGCTATCCTTGCAAGCCATGCTGACAATTGCCCCACCTCGGCACCTTCTCTTAGAAAAAATTTTCAATCTTTGAAAAGCACGTAACAGACGTTCACCAACACAGAAGACAATGGTACACAAGCCGACAACCTGTGAGCACACAGCATTGTCCCTTACACAGCATTGTCCCGGACCAGTCTCTCCCCAGAAATTATACCCTTGAATGAGTGTACTACCAATCGTAGGCTAAGCTCACATCGCTCAAGACGCCACGAGCAGTTGTGATGCCTATTCTTCAGGACGTGCACTCCCTTCTTGCAGAAAAATCTGCGATTTGAGAGAGCTTTTGAAGTGTGAATTCTCTATGAAAGTCGTTGCCCATGTCAGGCAGTGCAGAGCGTGAAATGCGGCCTACAAAATGCAGCCACGAGAAAGTTGCCGTGAAGCAAAACAAACAGAGAAGACAGAAATAAAAAAAAAAAATGAAAGCCCTATCAACACTTGTACAATCTGTGCAAAACAGCAAAACTGGCAAGCAAGTGCCACCACGTGGTGAACGCACATTGAGTTCTTTTATCACATTTTTCAGCTTCGTTCTTTCCCGCTTTTTTTTTTTCTTTTATCTTCTCACTTCTTTTTCCTGCCTGTTGCTATGCTATACTGTACAACCAACAGCAAAAATTTGCGGGACGTGAAATGTTCCATAAAACTAAATTCTCACTCTTCCCGGGAACGTAACTCCCAAATAAATGTTCCGCACTGCACTTGACATTCCAACCTGTACAGTTACCAGCTTGATTTCAAACGTGAAGCACTGATACAGCAGAAATTCGCATTTGTTGCCGACCTAACGTCCCGCAAACTTGCCCTGTTGTGTGAGCATCGTTACGCTGTACTTTACCCTCTTACTTTCTTTTTTTTCTCCTTTTTTTTTTCCTTCCTCGATTTCACTTCTCTTCCTCATTTCCTTGCTAAAATACACTATACAAGGTTATGTCATGCTTTACTATCTTTCATCCTCACCCTCAATACAACTAACCCAGACATAATGAAGTAAATGAAGAATTCTCTTCCAATAGTGTTAGCACTATGTCTCTATAACCAATTTTTAGATCTAATGGACTTATTTTCATGTGAGGTGCAACTTCGTTATAATGAGATTTGAGTATGTACTCATTTCTCCCTATACCTTTGTTTCTTATCTCTTCTTATCTCTTCATTTCTCCCTGCGCATGTTCTCTGACCCATCCCGAGTTGCTGCATCTTGCAGCAGACAAATTTGCGCAGCGGGACGGGGCGCACCGAGCACACGTTTGGAGAGCAAGGCGAGAGATAGATGACGGAGAGATAGTGTGACATTCACGACGATAATAATCTCTTGTCAATGTGGCATGGAGTCTTTTTCAAGCTTGCTCAGCTATACCGTTAAAGATCAGATGTGATTTGACCACTCCGAGCAACACACTTGGGTGTTTTTGAAAGCAAGAGCCGCGAAGGGGAAAATCAAGGCTTGCAATGAAAAAATCCGTAAACAGCGGTTGTGTGCTCGAGTCAATGTTTCGACTAGTGCACTTGTCTTCTTCAAGCCTCGAACAATGCATAAAGGCGACAGGCATGCTGCAAGGACGAACGAGCCACGTCACACCCGAGTGCCCAAGCGAACGCGCATAAGCACATCAGAGCTGAGGAATGCCTGGCCACCACATCGACTGCAACTGAACCCACGGCAACACTTGAAGCCTGAAGTTCTTTCCCAACACACACAAAATCTCGAAAGGGTATGCAGAAGTGCTTCCCGACTCACTGGAAGCTGGGTTCATCGCGTCAACATGAAGCACTCGCTCGACTCAAGCACGTGGATTTGATTGATTGATATGTGGGGTTTAACGTCCCAAAGCCACCATATGGTTATGAGAGACGCCGTAGTGGAGGGCTCTGGAAAATTTGACCACCTGGGGTTCTTTAATGTGTGCCCAAGTCTGAGCACACGGGCCCATAGCATTTCCGCCTCCACCGAAAATGCAGCCGCCGGGGCAAGTCAAGCACGTGGAAGAAGGCAGGGAATTCACGGTCATGACCAGCTCAGGCTAAAACAAAATAACAAAAAAATGTAATGTTGAAGTATAAAAAACTAGGCGAGTTGGATTTTTAAAGTCGGGCGAAAACTAAGTAAGCTAGGAAGAGAGGATGCGTTTGCGGGTGGCTGGTTCCTTGACGCTTCATCTACCAGCAACTTTCCATTCTAGTGGTTGGGCAGAGCCATTACTATCTGTTGCCTGCTGTTATTTTGTTTCGGCTAAAGCTGTTTATAAGTGTTCATAAGTGTAAATAGTTGAAATCAAGAAGAGGAAATGGACATGGGCCGGGCATGCAGCATGTAGACAGGATAACTGCTGGTCATTAAGGGTAACTAACTGGATTCCCAGAGAAGGAAAGCGGGTTAGGGGGAGACAGAAGGTTAGTTGGGCAGATGAGATTAAGAAGTTTGCGGGTATAAATTGGCAGCCGCAAGCACAGGACCGAGTTAACTGGCGGAACATGGGAGAGGCCTTTCTCCTGCAGTGTACATAGTCAGGCTGATGATGATGATGAAGTGTAAACCACTTCCGGACATTTGCCAAGGCAAGGGGGGAGAACGTTTTTGTTGGCAATGATTCTCTTGTCCCAGTGGATTGTAAACCGAACAGTTTTGTTTATGCTACTCCTTCAATAATGAATCTATATGAAAGATTATTTTGGTAAAGTGCTCCCTAGATAGCATTTTAGAACTTCCAAAGCGTAACCGAAACTTGCAAATGCAGCTAGCAAGGAGTGGACCGCAACTCCTTCAATAACGAATTGATACGAAAGATTACTTCAGTAAAAAACACACAAGATAGCACCTTAAAAATGTCTAACATGTAACCCAAACTTGCAGAGAGACCTGGTGAGGTGTGGGCCCCTTGCCTGATAATAGCCATCTTATTGGCGCTGTTCAGCAACCAACTTTTCTTTCTCGCGAAGCAGGTGGCGCAGAATCTTGCCACTGATTGTCTTGGGAAGTTGGTCCACAAACTCCACCTGTTTGAACGAGATGCTATTGTATTAGATGGTGTAGTTGATGAACCAGGTGTTTCATAGAAAACTTCGAAATTAAGAAAAGTGCAGTGCAGTAAGGAATGAAGTGGCTATTTCTGTGTCAGCAAACAAAAAATAGTAGGGGCAGTCCCTGATCAAACATTTCTTTTCAACCAAACCGCTAAACTTATTTCTGTCAGTATTTCTAAACCACATTTGGCAAAAAAGTTACATAAACCAGTCAGTAATTTTCTACCGAAGGTTTCGTTGACAAAAAAAGCATGAGACCATGTTTATATCTAGCTTCTAGAACGTCCAGATTGCATCTAGCATCTAGGGTCTGCTACATAAATATCCAGAAGTTTCTATATATTTATCTCAAAAATTTGCCATGAAATCCATCAATCTATCACATACACTAGTCATTTCATTACATAGGTAACTGAAAGTCTACAAGTGTGGCGAAGTGGCTGCTAGAGAATAGTTAACATGGCAGGAATAGTTAGCATGGCCTATTACTATAAATAAATCTAAAATTCTAACATGGACTAAACCGCTGTTGAATTCCAATGGCAAAGTCGGAGCAAGTTTTTCTGCTTCTTTTGGGGCAAGTGTGTTCAAATGGCAGAGTGAGGGTGGGAGTCAAGTGTTCCAGTGAGAGAGTCGGATTGGATTCAGAGCAGGAGCGACTCCGAGGAGCAGCAAGAGTTGCTCCACCGAAAACGGCGGAGCGGACCGGAACTCGGCGTGCCGTACTCCCGTGACCGTGACGGGACGGGGTGTTTGACCGCTGTGTGAACAAACCCTAATACGTTCGCCTGCTTTGGGGTGCCGCCACTGTTGCGTGTTTTGGCAGTAATGGAGGACGACACGGCCAAGTGGGCAAATGAGCTCGTCGCCGAGTGACAGCGAACAACCGCGTATGAACAGTAACTTAACAGAATTCAACAGTAGAATTAGGGGAATAACTGCACGCAAGGTATTCTGGGCAACTCAAGGACTTCTGCTTCTGCCTTGCTCCCCATGCTTGCTCCGGCAGCGCAGATTCTGTTCCAATCGCGGATTTGGAGGCGTTGCTCTACGCGAGAGTCGATTGCTCGCTCGCAGAGTCCACTGGCTGCTCCGACTCTGCCATCCGAATTCAACATGACACAACGCATAGGCTATTGTTACAGAGTGAAAAATCTCTAAATGCAGTCTATATAGGCCTCAAGAAGGGGTGGCCAAGAGGTGAAGTCACGCCCCTCTGGAATAGCGGATATTTTTCTATGCACTAGTAGTGTGCTACAGATCTGGCAATGCGCTACAGATCTCGATAGGCACACTAACATGCCACATACCTACGTGAAACGGCCTTCAGTATTGCTAACCAACTTTTTAAATTGCAAGCTACGACTGAATCTTCCAGTCACGTCGTGGCAGTGATAGAAAGGCTGTGCTGATGCCTCCGTTGTGAATGCACACCCCTGGAAAAAGCTCTGTGGATACCCTTAGCAGTGTACGTAAACTAAAACGGTGAGAATGGTACGTAAAGAAATATACCTAGGGTTAAAATTAAAGCATCAATTAGTGGAGTGAAGGAATGATAACTCAGAATTTATGCTAGTTTTTGCATGCCTACTAGGTAAGTACGCTTGTAGTTCAATGACTTCGATGCCCTAGCTACGACAAACATTTCAATTAACAAATTAAGAGGGTAAGTAATGAAGTACAGTTAAATCTGGATATACCAAAATTGATAAATTCCCGGGAAAATTTGTCATAACGAGGATTTCGTTATATGCAGGTACGGATTGAAAATTAGAAAAATAAATGCACAAATAAACAAAAGGGGGACTGAAGACAGAGCTAACCAGAAAACACTTATTTCACAGTAACTGCATTATTATTGCGATAGAAATTGTATGGACACTCTAGGCGGGTTTTTGCCATCGCCGCCATGTTCCATAACAGGCCCCCGCGCATTGTAACTTTCACGAGCGAGTAAAAGCGCACGAGTGCTGCTGAAGCAGAGATCAAAAGAGTCTGCACATCTTATATCGCCTGGAAACTGCATAAGATAACATCTCCTGTGTGTTAGAACTGCCGTCGAATGCTCCAACAGAAAGTAAACCACCCGTCTTAAACGAGCACTTTTCCCTGGAGCGGCCGTATTTGCTCACATCAATGTTTTGTACGAGTTTCGCGATATCAGATCCAGAAGAGTTGGCTGCCAGCCTTACTTTTTATAACATTACAATTTTTCTTGCTATTGCGTTCATAGCATTGCATTCAACGTGCCGTCATGTTGCCAGAACTAATCGGCTAATCGTGAAAGCTACCAGCCTGCAAACTCGCGGCACAAGACGGAACGAAGATGTGTCGTCACCGTGCTCACGGAGAGTTTCCAACAGCGCCTAATCTGACATCCCCGCGGTGGTGAGGATACAGGTGGTGAGGATACATCCCCGCGGTGGTGAGGATACAGTGAGGATAAGCAATGAATGCGATAGCAACAACTTGGAATGTAACGCTGAGAACGGCAAGCAGATAAAAACGTGCAGCGCGTGGCTCATGCACGAATGACGCACGAAAATAACATACACAGGGCAAGAGCGAACTAACAACGCTTATTGCTCGACACTTAACGCGCTGTTTAAACAATAACGAGGCATGAAACGCAATCACAGGTGGAGATATGAGTGCGAACTAACAAGTGCCCTAGTTGTCCCTGCACTGTATTTGAAAAGCGCACTCTTTTTGTAAACGTCCCTTGCCCAGCGAGCGAAGAGATCTTTGTGCGCCCGGCAATTAAATGCAATCCTTCCAGTCAAAGTCGAAGGCGCGCAATTTTTCTCACCGAAGGATAAGCGCGTGCGCACAAGCTTCAATCCCCCCCCCTCCCCCCAACTCGTGGGGCAAAGTACCAACGCCTCCTAAACAAAGTACGCGTTGGAGATAAGCACGCGTTTGCGCATCGTGACGAGCTGCAGGGCGCCGAGCGCGGGGGCAGCTTTTTCTTTCTTTCTTGAGTTTTCATATATATATATGTGCGAGTGTACTAGTGTGTCCAATATATATATATATATATATATATATATGCGATAAATGGCGGCGGCAGCAAACAAAAAAATTCATCCGACATTGTCCTATAATTATATAGCAATAATAATTTTAAAAAAAGGTGAATGTCGTCGAGGCCACACTATGTGCGCGCATCGAAAACGAAGAGCGAACGACACACGGGCACAGACACAGATACCGCGGAAAACTATTCGGTAAAGCGCCTTCCATAGGCAACGTGGTTCCACATATATGATGCTAACTGAAAGCATGGCACTGCCAATGAGCAAAAGTAGTTTGGCTTTTTTTTTGTTTTGGTTTGGAGTGGGGGAGGGGGGGGGGGGCACACTTGCGCATGCGCCCGCGGCGGCGAGAACGGCGGCCACGCCGGCTCGTGGGGTGCAGGCCCGCCTGCCCACCTCGCGCACACCTGCACGCAATAACGAGCGCTCGCTCTCGCCTGGTGCGCCGTGCGCGCCGGCGCTAGTCCGCACTTTGTCGACGATGGGGCAGTCGCGGAAAGTGCACGCTCGTACCAAAATACAGAGCGAAATTCCTAGATTGTTCGTGGGGAAAATTCGTTATATCAAGGTTGTCTCCCGCTATTACTTTGTTGCATAGAGGCTGCAAATACATGTGCTTTTATGTAGGAACGGCGGAGAATTGAAAAACTTTGTTATATCGAGGAATTGGTTATATGGAGGTTAGTTATAAGCAGGTTTAACTGTATCGCTTACTCATTGCTAGATCTATTGCAAGTGCAAGTGACAGTGCAGTTCACCTTGCGAGGGTACTTGTACGGCGCGGTGTGCTTCTTGACGTACTGTTGCAGTTCTTCGGCCAGACACTTGAAGTCCTGAGACTTGTAGTCTGGATGTAGTACAATGAAGGCCTTCACTACTTCCCCACGGTCAAGGTCGGGGCTTGCGACTACGGCACACTCCACGACTGCTGGGTGCTCTATGAGTATGCTCTCGACTTCAAAGGGTCCTATACGATATCTGCAAGGTGTGAACAGAGGCAGAGTGAATGTGGAATCTGTCATGCATGCTTCTATCATAAGCTTACACCACCACTACACTAAAGGCAAATAGCATTTGATGTCGCAAGTAGAAGGTCCATGCTTCGGAGTGTCTAAAACGTCAATACAGTCAAACCTTAATATATCGAACACGGATATATCGAATTATTGCCCATATCGAACGGTTCCTATATCACGCGAGAAATCGCATGCATTATTGATTTTTTATTTCGAACAAGGTTTGACATATAATGGGTATATCGAACTCAGCCATCCCAAACCGCCCGCGCTCCATTGACAGGCGGCGAGCTTTCCGGCAACTCTCGAAAGTAGCGGTAGAGCGGCGGGCGTTTACGAATGCTGCACACATCGATGGCGCCGAGAGCGCCACTTTTAAGGTAGCGGCGTACGCGCGCTGCAGCTTTGCAGCTTGCAGTCGTTGCAGTCTCTATGGTGTCAACGGCACACTGCGCACTTGTTGGGAGGATTCGCTCGCAGGATTTCAAGCTGGACGGTTGTGCCCTCGCGATCTCCGACGCCAGCGTAGCTCCCGCCGACTGGTTCGCCCTCCGCGGTCTCCCGACGCCGTGCAGCTCTCGCATTGTGGCGCCCCGCCCTTGGACTGCTTCGACCGGATCCCCACTTTTCTATCTCCTTTTTTCCGTGGCTTGCCTGTCTATTTCTTCATCTATTTCATTCTATTCTTTTTATCCCTCCCCCCCCCCCCCCCCCCCTATAAGGCACTGCGCCGTGTCGCCTGAAGGCAGACAGAAATTAGGTGCCTTCTTCCTCTTCCTTACAACCACTACCACCACCACTTGTTGCAAGCTCCTCCCCCGTAGCATTGGCAGGCATCGGTCGTTGTGCTCGCAGTGTTCGTGCGTTCGGAGTTAGGCCTGTCGCGCGCGACAAACCTAACTCCGAACGGCGAGCTCACGGATGTGGAGATTGTCGCCGAAGCTACTGCTGAGCAGCAAAATGAGGACTCTGCCGAGGTGGATCCCGCAAGCGCTTATGGTGCCCCGCTCCCGACATCAGCTGAGGTCGTAGCTGCCTTGGCGCTTGTGCGCCACCACTGCGGCGCGATTGAAGGCACCGGCCTATCACTTATGGATCGCCTCGACTATATTGAGGACCCTGTCGTCAAACACGCCATGGCCTACAAAAACCAGGCTACTCTATTTCAATATTTTAAACCAACACAATAAATACTATGTTTGAATCTTCAAGTGAGTATTTACTGCACCACGCTTGAACGGTTCGTTGGTTGTTTTCAGCAAGCTGTTGACGCATTTTTTGTGATTTTTTTATATCGAATTCTGGATATATCGAACTATTTCGCTATCGCCGCGCCGTTCGATATATCGAGGTTTGACTGTATATTATCAACAGCATTGTGCTAGTAATCAAGAAGTTAAGGTAAATGTAGGACATGATATGCCTCACCAAAAGGAAATATTGGAACACAAGACCGATGACGTAGAAGGGCCTCAGCTAAATTGACCACAGGAGCTCATACTACTCTCAACAGTGAAGAACAGCTCAGTGCATCATAATACGTGATGAAATACAACTACACTTAAACCTCGATATAACAAACACGGATATAACAAAATATCTGTTATAGCAAAGTAAGTGAAAAATAGTCTTGCAATAAATACAGTGTTGAGAATAACCCTAATAACGAATTCTCAAATAAAACAAACTTATTTTCTTGTGACATTTGACTTTGCTATAATGACATTTGAGTGTAGTGCACTTCAGTTTGATTCATGCAAAAAAGAACTTTTTGACGATACCATTGTTTCATTTCTGCCAGGCTGTGCTCCATCTCAAGCCCCCTGCTCCAATGTGCCACAGCGCTGGCTTTCAGGCAGTAAAACTGGCAAAAAAAACGACTCTGTTTTCCGAGGGCCGGCGGTCTGAATCGTGCTTGCAGGGTGAAAACTACTAAAACATGACTTACTTTCAAAATTGGCATTTGCTTGCTACGAGACAAGCACTACAAAGTTTCTGGAACGCTTCTTCAAAAATTTATGTTGGCTTAACATTTGCCTTTAGCAGTGCATCTTTCTGGAACATCATCAAATCAAAGTCATAAAAAAGAACCACAGCCTGCATTTTAAATTGGATAGCTCCGAATGACCCACCCTGCCGAGATGATGACGTCATCCGCACGGGAGTAAAACCAGAAGTACCCGTCCACGTCCATGGAAGCACGGTCGCCCGTGTAATAGAAACCGTTTCGAAACACGTTGGCCGTCCTTTCTGGGTCATCCTAGAAGGTTCAACAAAAAAAAAAAAAAGGACACCCGAGATCAAGCGCGTTGAAAAGTACTCTGTTCCGAAATACACAACAAAATTCTTGAATCGGTGAAACACAAAACCTGGCATAAAATTCGATGTACGTAACTGCGTCCACTGCTCTCTAGTTGCATCACTGATGACACTGGCAACAGACAGCCCGTATCAACCCCTGAAAACTATGAATTCTGAATACCAAGAAGATTTGCAGACTATAGAGACTTTTATAAGCAGCAAAACAACAATAAACTCCCATTAAACAAAACTCTCTTAAACGAAACTGCTGCTTAAATAGAACAAGTGCCTCTAATACGATTAGTTTTGCATTTGAATATTGTGCCCCTGTTTATATCTCAGTAAACCAAACTCCTCTTAAATGAAACCCATTTTCTTGGTTCCTTCAGGTTTCGTTTAAAAGGGGTCTACTGTACCAAGCACCAGTTTGCGAGTTCAACAAAAGATCAAGGTCTTATTTGGCGTGCACTGTAAACAACGGAAACCTAAGCAAGAATCATTTACAATGTACACCTTTCTTTAAAAACAGGCGGACAGGTGACAAAAACCTCTGCTGCAGCACGAACTTGACATCGTAACGTAGAGATGAATCAAGAACAAACGTCGTTTGAAGCTACGGAAGTACAAAGATTAGCGAAAAATCATTTGCTAATATCCACCAATCCCCATCTTGATAGAAAGATGTACCGGTAGCGTGCATATACACTGATGCAGTATTTCTTTTCAGTAATATTAGCAGGCAACATTACACACTATAGAAATATCACTTCACTCCCACCTAACGAGTTCGCATGTGATGAAATAGCTCCTATGCAACTTATATTCATTTCGTTTTTATCATTACATAAGGCAACACTAGGCACGACTATGTATTTTGAGGATGTATTTGCACCAACATGAACCCTCAACATCGATAAGGTGGCAAACATATCACGCACAAAACTGTTTTATTCATAATTTTAACTTTTTTAGCATGCACAGAACACAAAAACAGGAAAGTGTTTTCTTCGTCTTCACTATGGCAACAGTCCTACTTCCACAGCCCAGCAGCTATATACTATATGATATTTGCTATACGCTAATGCCCGTGACGAAATGCTCAAGTTTCCTCTATTATATTTATGCCGCCTATGCACATCAAGGTGCGAGTGCACTAGTGTGTCTTTCATCCAACAAGATGGTTTCCATTTAGCACTTGTCACGAGTCTCACATGAAATAATAGTTTATTTTTATTGAGTGTTACAATTTCGTATTTTTGGACCATAGTTGTAATTGCGTTTGCATGGCTCCACCTTGGTTCCTGGCAGCGTCAGTCAAGACCAGAAAATGTTGCAGGAATGTCATTGTTGCACATACTGAGAGCTCACCCTGTAGCCAGCAAAGAGCCCAAACGGTCGCTTACTGCTGATGTCTACAGCGATAAGGCCCGTCTCACCGACAGCCACCTCCCTTCCTTTCTCGTCGTGAATCTGGAATACAGTGTGTCATTTAAAATTCCAGTCTTGTCCTTTTACAAGATCACTAAAGATATTGGCTTGTGTGATAAGCAGTGTACGTAACTTTGCTTGTTGCAATTATCGTTAATAAAACATTAAACACCCTAAAAATGCTTGTGCTGCACCAACCTTGCATGTAATAGCACTAACCATAGGAGGGTCAAAATTTTTTGCTAATTGCAACCCCCAAGGGTGAATCTTTTTTCTCACCGATTTAAATTTTTCAAACAAAAATATTCGTAACTCTTTTTTAGGTTGACCATAAAGTGACGAAATAATCAATTATGCTAATTGTTACATACATATACTTTATTCATGAGGAAGATCAAAATCAATTCCAGAAAAAAAAAGCTTCGAGGACTGAAAATTCTAAAAAACTTATAAATGTTAAAAGATGATGCATTGCAATAAGCGTAGTTCGTAGAAATACGAAAATAAGTGCAAGAAGCGGCGTCAAGTGAAAACACAAACCAAGAAGAGTCACCTTCGGTTCCTCAGCATCATGTCAGTGCACGCCTTTGAGATGTTGCTTTTACATCAAAATTCGATTAAATCATTAATAACTCCTTGTATGATGGCTTGACATACAATGAATCTGGTTTGGATTCAGCAGTGGAGCAGCAATTCAGAGGAATTGCCACTCAACTTGCAGCAGAGCGACCGGCTTGCACTTCAGTATTGCAAGTGCACTAAAAAAAACTGTAAGATTGTTTACGCATGTGGAAATCTATCACAAGCGATAAAATTATAATAATGCTTTGCCCTATCACAAAATGAGACGAAGGCAGTTTTTGCAAGTCCCCAAAATGGGACACGCAACCACAGTGCCACTGTTTGTGTCGGTCGGTGCCTGCACAGAAACAGGCATGATTGTGAGCAATAAATGAGAGATTCACGAAATGACCACAGTTTGAGAGAATCTAAAACAGACTTCGATCAGTCTTGGGGGCGTAAAAAGTGGGGAAACACACGAAGGATGGAACTGAAACTATCCACCACGTGTGACCCGATGCGTGCGGCAGATCATTAGCCGTTGTACTGCTGCAGCAAGGCATTAAAAAAAAGATAATACAGAAAGACATCGACAGAAGTAAAACAGTCCCTGTATTCGCACAAAGTGGCAGCATACGCTAAGCAGGAGATATGATTGGAAAAAGAGCATGCTTTTTAAGCATGCAATTACGTACATGTATGTCATTGACCCTGAAAAACTTATTTATTTATTTATTATTATTTACTGCACAGCTAGTTGCACTAGCCCTGACCTACGTACGTACGTGTAATCGGAGTGACAACAGTTAATAAACATGCTGCGTTTTCAGGAAGATCATGATTTCTGAAATATTTCTCTCTGCTCATACAGAAATGTTGCTGTGAAAGAGTTTTTTCCAACTTAGGAAGATTATTTATCAGAAATAAGCCTGCAGACTATTGTTCTAGTATCAGAATTGCGTAGGTATCAATTTTTCTTCTCACGAGGTCGACTTGCTGAAACAACACTTGGAAAACCAAAAACTAAACGAAGATGCTTTTGAAGAATGCGCAAGTTCTGGCAGGTTGGTAAGTGATGAGCGCAAGTCACGCCTGTTGAGTTCCTTGTGGTCCGTGCTTACAGATACATACTGTTTCGCATACGCTCACTTTACGCAAAAGTTGTGCATAACAGAACTTGTGTAATGAATGGCTTGTGGTTCTTGTACAAAACTACATTAAGAGTGAACCAGAGTCACGGATGGTTAACTGCAATGTTTCTAGCGAAACTTCCTAAATAATAAAGGTACTGGCCTGTAGCAATATGTTCCTTGGTGGAATTCCCATAGAGCCGGGTTTGATTGGATGATGCTTGGGTGATGCACACAACACCACCTGGAACCAAAGGATGTGCGTTAGGAAACTTGGCCAACGCCACTGAACCGTAAGCCTGCTACATGTTGAGGACAACACAAAACACTCTTCAACAGCAGAGTTGTTCAAGCCCCGAGAAACCCCATTGGTCATGAACATGAATTATCACCATCATGAAGTGGCACGTGCTCTCTTCATCCTCCTCTTCATCTTCTATTTCGTTCCCAGGAGACGTGTGCCAGTTTGTGTGGTGTAGGATGCAATATCTCTGATCGGCAAAAGAATGTGTACTGAGAGAGAGAAAGGAAGAGATAAATAGATGGGAATTCTCGTGAGCTCAACATTTCAGCTGGGCATTTGAACCCGCGTACTACCCACTATTCGAAAGGGAGTGTCATAACTGTGCAGCTATCCAAGCATGCCGGTAGAAAAAAAAAAACATTTATGGGAATTGCATGGCCATCCCATGCTCTTGTCTTGTGAATGTGTTTGTTTGCGCTTGAAATGCCCTTCAACTACGCACCATCTTGCCGAATTTCAAGTGTTGCTGAACCATATCATCGCCATGGTATGGGCAACAAAACGATCAAAAACTGGCAGAGAAAAAATTAGCACAAAAAACAGGAACGAAGAAGGAACCTCATGAAAACAGCGCAAAATTATTTTTTTGGGCTGAATTCTAATGTGATGCTGAACCAACTCACCCAACAAGCCCCTCTTTTGAATAAAAAGATAAAAAGAGAAAAAAATAGAGGTGGAGAGAGAAAGAAGCATGGCATAGTCATGTACAGTATAGTATAGCAAGTGGGTTGGAAAGGAAAGTGAGAGTGGTGAGAAAAAGGAGACAGGAGAGGATAAAGCATAGCAAATGACTGCCCTAGAAAGATGTCTGCCTCGCAAGCCAGATACCTGCAGCCCTTCCCTTTCCCTCCTACCTCGTTTCTAACGAGGGCAGTAGCTGGCGATTCTTGTGGTGGCTACTTCCAACACACGTGTGCATTCGCACACTACCCGAGGCCACAGCCCCATTAAAAACAAAAGGGAAGAATGTGGTGCCATCACTTGGCAAGCGAAGACAACTTGAGGCAGGACTGTTACAAGGGGATAGCGAGCAAGACCACAAGAATCTTTCTAGAGGAGGCACTGGCATAGCGTGCTCTTGCATAGTATACTACACGATGTAAAATAAATGTGAGGGTAAGGCCACGAGCTTAGCCATTTATTCAGTATTCGCACCACTTGTGCATAGCTGCCCCAATTTTTAAAGGAAAAAATATATTGCTCAACATATTACTCTTGAAGTCTGCATGTTAATGTCGAGCATTAAGGCGAGCCCACTTTATGCCTCTAAATGCTGCTAAACGCTTTAAAATATTGGGCGTCAGAATTTGTGATTAATCAGAGTCATTTCATTCTATATATATACTCGTGCCGACCATATAGATGCTTGACACAGGTAAACGATCGGCTCTGATACCAGCTTGTGACAGTGTTTGCGAGGTATTACTAGTTACTAAACTGGTCACGTGGAAATTACTTATGTTCATATGCACATAATAATATTAATACTAATTACTATTATTATTTTCAATACTGCCAGTCTCACTTGAATGCCAAAACAGCTGGGCATACTGAACACGATGCAAGTAAAACAGAATATGCACATTACAGAGTACAATTGCGTTTCATACAAAGAAGACCTGTATGATGTGATACAATATTAGTACTATATACAACAAAATAATGAAGGTTAATACAATCTAATTCAGAAGCCATTCAAAAATAATAACTACACAGCTTAACATGCAGAGTATGTGCTCTTTTGGCATAGTCTTTCTAGCACATAAAACCTAAAGACATTCATCACTTAAAGCACATCTAAAAGATGTCTCGTGGATGTCTATACAACGTCTACAGAACGTATAAATCATGCTATGGGGTGAGAAACACAAGACACCTACCGTTTCAGTCTGGCCATACACTTCTCGGATCTCAACTCCCGTTAGATTTTGCCATTTCAGCATCACCTCAGGGTTCTGCAGAAAAGCAGTTGTGCAGGTGGTGACTCAGCGTGCTTCATTTGCACAAATAGAGCATATTCTTTAGCGTAAGTTCAGGGGTACTAGCACTGATCTAAAAAATTTATTAGTCGTTACAACAACAATGTGATAAGAGCATATAAATATCTTTGAAAATGATAAGGTGAACCTAATTGAATGGAAACACCTGTGATTTAATACCTGCTACAATATATGCTGTCAAGAGGACTCTGCGCCGTAAGTGAAGACACTATCCCTCATGATGAGTTAGCTGAAGCAATCAGAACTGCCTGCACAACTCTTTTCCATGTAGCCATGGAACGGATTCCGTAAAGGCGCATATTGCCTCACGAACTAACTGCCGCAAACATTTTTAGAACTCGTCCGATACGAGTGTTGCTACAAAGATTTGTCACATGCTACAATCGATTTTTCAATTTTTTTTGCCCACATGAAAGCATTGGAAGCTAAGCAGGGAGGGATGGCATAGGGCAAGAAGGTACGTCACGAACACTTAGCTTTTTTCTCTTCGAACGGACGGCTTTTCTGTGCGATCACGCATGCACGCACGTACAGGGCGCAGCCTTCCCCCCCCCCCCAAACCCCGGTAACTCTCAAATCATGCTCAAATAAGCCAATGACGATACTGGGGCCTGTGATGCAGTGACTTTACAGTTGAGAGAAAAGAGAGCGATTTTCAGATAACTTTGAGAGAAACTTGGGCTAGTTGGTGCGCAGTCATATTTGAAAGTTTTTTCAGCGTGCGAACATTGGAGAAAACGAACGAGGTAGAAAGAAACAGCGCTCTTTCTGTCTACACTGTCCCTTTTTTGCTATGTTCACGCACTGAAAAAACTTGCAAATATAACCTTGAGAATTTTTCGCAAGTTCCATGCCGTGTGCTGCATTGTAATATTTGCTTGCATGCTTTGGGGAGCCTCGACTACTGATTGGCCCCGTGTTCGGATCATGCTCAAAAAGTGGCGCAGGCATTAATGGGTCCTAGGGGGGCTCATGAAGTGTACAAGCATTGTTTGTTTTGTTGTTAATGTTGTTCTGCCTCAGTGAATCACTGCAGCCACAGTGATCACTATAGTGCACTGCAGCCAAAGAGCCGTGACATACTCAATAACAGAGCGCTGTAGCTATCAAGCCATTATACCACACCACACAAGATAGGTAGCGCATATACAAGACAGGTGTGATTTTCATGCGTACCACAACGTACCATGGGCTCTCCGGCGGATATGCAGTCAACGAGGCTTTTAAACTGGAACAGGGAGGGGTCCTGCTGGAGTAAGGCACGGTACACGGTTGGAGGTGCACACAGCTTGCTGACTGGGTAGTCCCGCAGAACCTGGAAGACAGATATAATCTCTCCATTGTGGCAAATGAGTAAGAAGGTTAAAAAATGGCTACGGCTCTGCTCTCTTCTTGTCCCTTAGGGTTACACCTATCATTTTTCCTTCCTATTGCTCGTTACGTCGTCCTAAACTTAGGTTGAACCCTCTCTGTAATTCTCTAGGCTCTGTGGGTAAGTAGTAATAAAATGAAGCTGTTATATACCTTCCTCTTGATTGATAGCGGCAATCTACCAGTCGTCATTTGAGAATGCTTGCAGAGTGTGCTCCACCCCACTCTTGTTTTTAGTTACTTCAATATGGTGGTTCAGCTCTGCGGTTACTACCTGTCCAAAGTAAACATACTCTTTTACAACTTCAAGTGCACTACCACCTATCTCAAAGAACTGTTCTCTTCAGAGGTTGTTGTACACTACTTTTGTTTTCTGTAAATTAATTTATTACATTGTTACAATGGCCCCTCCGCGGTGGTCTAGTGGCTCATGTACTCGGCTGCTGACCCGCAGGTCGCGGGATCGAATGCCGGCTGCGACAGCTGCATTTTCGATGGAGGCGAAAATGCTATAGGCCAGTGTGCTCAGATTTGGGTGCACGTTAAAGAACCCCAGGTGGTCGAAACTTCCGGAGTCCTTCACTGCGGCGTCTCTCATAATCGTACAGTGGTTTTGAGACGTTCAATCCTACATATCAATCATCAATCATTGTTATAGTGAGATTTAAGTGTATTACTATTTGCATATTGCACGTCAACTATGAGCACCTTGCTTCATGGTCCAAGAGAGTGGACACAAGAGGATATTGCTACGGAACTGTGCCCAGCTGCCGTGGTAACTGGGACACTATGCGATGTTTGCTTTTTGTCGCGATAATACTCGAGGCTACACGTGTTCGGACTGACGTAACATTTTCCGGGCATACACGGTAACTGGCCTAACCTGTTGTTTTGCCACCTATCTTCTAACCAAGTGTGAAAGAAGAGTCATCAATAAAGTAATCAACTTGCAGCCAGTGTTGCCGTGGACAGGAACTTGGGCATCTGGGTCTGGAAGAAACAGGCCCCCATGAGCCAGGTGGGGAATGTGCCCCATGCCACTTTTGCCCAGCCAGGGTCGGCGATGCACCACACGACGTCGTGCTGCTCGGGACTGTGCACGTGGCTGCGTTGAGAGACGGTTCAAATATGTGATGTGGCGAGCTTGCGCGTATTCATACCCTGCTGAGAGCACTTTGGTGAATGAGCTAAGGATGTGTGATTGCTCTTATCAAAAAACATGTACAGAATACTGCGCGGGCCAATTTTTCCGGCCTTGCCCAGGCAAATCTGGCAACTGCCGAGCTCGGCCTGGCCTGTGCAGAGCCTCAGTGTACATCCCGAATTCAGAGGCTCTGAGTGTCCACAACAACGCAGTGTCACCTTGCAAGCTTAATCAAATAATCTTGGAGAAAAACGGCAGGCAAGTGGGAAGCCCTTCTTGATTCCTTCATGTACAGTAACTTATTGTTCCAGATTCAATGAAAAAACCCCACAGTTTTTAGCTGTGTGTAATATACTGCGAAAATGTTCAGCCTGCTATATTTATATGTTAGCCACTCCTGCTTACGGCTTCATTTTGAAGCCAGCAGAACCCCTGTAAATAAATAAAATAAAAAGTTGCATAGGTTCTTGGTAAGTATGTAAGTGCCATATATATTTATACATGCATCACATACAAAAATATTACAGCAAGATTATGACAGCTATCTTTCTAGAGCAATTTATATTGATAACGTGAATCGTAGGCGGAGTTACCGTGACGGCTGCGACTGCCTTCAGTTCAGAGCAACATTACGCGTCATGTGGTTCTTACTGGTGTTCCGCGACACCAGAGCTGAAAAAATTGATGCAGCCCACTAGCAGTGGAATCGTCCTGTACTTCGTTAAACCTTATTTCATGTCACCTTTGTCCAACACAAGCCATTTGCTCGGAATACCTGTTGTAAATTGTTCCCGGTATTACATACCAGATACACTGCCTTCGCTGCATTTTCCTACTATGCTACCAAGATGAAATGAACATGCTCATGCATCTCCAGACACTTGTCACATTCAATGGCAGGCTGCTGAACAATATTCGTCAAAGAAAATATCTACCGCATTATTTACGTAATTTTAGTGGAACCAGGACTGTAACAGACAAGGTGATTTTCCAGGCTGAAAAAAATTAAACAAAAACAAAACTGTGTGCATCGTTGCACTTTTCGGACAACTTGAATTTCCGCATTCATTTATAAAGTGAGGGTCGACTTCAAGTACCGAAAATCTAGAAAAAAAAGCTTGCGTTACATTCTCTCTAAGTAAGGTAGTTGGCTTGGCGAAAACAACTTCTGACCAAAGTGAAATCACGCACCATGCCGTTGACAAGTGGGCAAGGAAGTAGCCCTGATCGTGCTCCACCATCTTGGGGGGACCGGTCGTGCCGCTCGTGAAGAAGACTATGGCTGGATCCTCTGCGTACGTCGCGTTGCCCTGCGAGCGTTACATGCAGGCGTTAAGCAAAACCACCTACAACATTGTCAACTGTTGCAAACAAAAGTGTGGAACTGAAGTGGTTCCAATAGACAGAACAGAAATGACAACGCAGAAGCGATGCTCAGAGTGATAAAAAATGGCAATGAAATTTTCCCAACTGGAAATGTGTGTGCTGCTCATTAGCAACATTAGCCAACAATTCACCAACTTAAAGCTGCAGTTAACCACCATCCAGTGATGTGTATGTAGTGGTGAATTCCATTGGCAGATTCAAAGTGGCTGACGAACTCTGTGCCGGAGCACTCCACTCTGGCAGAGGGATCCAAAGAAATCTACCAGTAGAACACATGTGCTCCCACTGGAGCAAATGGCAAGTAATTGGAGGACACTGCGAATTCCAAAGTGTGTTCGGCAAATGTTTGTGATCGTTGAGATGGGGTCGGTCAGAAGGGAAAGCGATGCGTGCGTATTCCTTCTTGCATGACTGGACATGCTGGGCACTGCAATGCTACGCTGGCAAAACGAGAGCACTGTTATAGTTCGACGCGAGGCACAAACGACGACACGCCACTGGTGTCTGTTGGCACCGCTTGGCACCATTCCAGAGCACAAGGTGCTTGTGTCTTCCAGTCAAATCCGCCGCTTTTCACAGAGTAAAAAAAAAAGTGTTGCTCCGCAAAGTGGATCTCGTGACGGAGGTGCTTCAGATCTGCTCAAGGAACATAGGAGCACCCTCAGTCTTCCAATGCAGTAGACTTGCTCTACATGGAGCAGAAAAAGTACCAACGGAAGCGCTCCGAATCTGCTAATGGATGACACCAAAGGGCCACTCACTCCTATACAAAAACTCCATAACGATTTCTTAATGATGTTTTCTTTCAATATAACGATGCTTCTAGTTTATATTTCATCTTGGTTGTTGTTTCATATGATAGCTTTTCATGTCCTGCTAGAGCTTGTTACTGTTTTTTAGTAAAAGCCCAGTTTTCAACCCTGAAACTGCGCTTTGCTTCCAATCTTACACTTCACCTTAAATTAAAGCTTAAAATGATGCGCTATATCAGAGTAATGGCGGAACCCATCGACTTGGCAGCAAAAGTTCAGAAAAAAAAAAACAGGATGATTCAGCCATTCATTGATAAAAGATAAGAGGTATTAAAAATCACGGAAAGCTTTTACTGTGCGGTTTTATGCATTAAGACCATCATCTTTGGTAGGTGGTATGTTGAGATGGGAAAGATTCTGGATTAATTTTGACTGCCTCATGTTCTTTCACATGCACCTCAATCAAGTTGAGCATTCTTGCATGTCCGCTGATACGTGGTCTCTGTGGGCAAGATTGAACCCACGATACTGAACTCAGTGATGCAGCATCATTGCACTTACGTTATTTACTCGAATCTAAGGAGAGTTTTCTTTTTCTTTCCATATTTTTGCCACTTGACTTCAACCCTCGTGTTAAAATTGAGTACCGAAACTCAAGTTTGGGACGTTAAACCCCACATATCAATCAATTGAAATTCAATTTGTCTAAAACGTGCGATGATGCAGACAATTTTTTAATTTTTTTTTATTCCTGGACACAATGAATAGTCGTCCCTCGCATTACAAGTGAGTGAAAACGGTAAGCCAATGTGACAGGTTGAAGTGCTGCTCATAAAAAGGAACTGAAGCGTACCTCGTGCTCGCGAGAGTTCCGAAGCAATGAGTCGAACAGCTTCCAGTCGCTCCTGCAGAAAAAGACACACGGTAACTTTTTCTCAAACAAGTCCTCACAGTTTTGTCAACATGCAAAGCCTTCAATGATATCCTGAAGCCGAGATGCCCCGTTCCCCTCTTCGCCCTTCTCTGGGGGCACTCCTCTCTAGATCCCAAGAACATCCATTGCTTTCTAGGGGGGGCTCGTCTTTCAACTAGGGGGGAGCCGCGACGAACACAGCTGGATCGCGCCGGGAGCCAATCAGCCGCCATCAACCTCTCCGCACCGCCAGGTTCTTTATGGATGACCTACTGCAACAAAGCCGAAGTTCAAAGCCGCAAAAAAGACGAGTCTGAGCATTATCGCTCTCTCTCTCATGTGCTTCAATTTTGGTGCCTTTTTGCATCACCGTGCGGAACTTATCCGCGGCTTTGTTTTTAATTGTACTTTGTTGCACGCTGGTGGTGCTTAATGCTAATAGCGTCAGGCAAAGAACGTTTCTGTTACCACTGGCCTGAAGCTCGCCATGATCGCAACTCACCACGGTTTAGGGGTCCAGCTTTAAGTGATAGGGCTGCTGCATAGTGCTAGTACGTGGTGCGATAGTACGTGGTGCGAGCAGCCCTATCAGCTAACTGATAGGGCTGCTGCACGCTTCGCTAGCACGTGGCGCGATTGGAAGACTGGACAGTTTTGCAAGCGCGGATCTGTTTGTTATAAAGTAACTCCTAGACTTGCGAGTCGAGTACATTACAAAGTATTACCTGCACGTACAAGGATACGAAAGTGTATAGAACAGAGGCAAAAAGCACTGTTCGGTTCTGTTCTTCCCCATTTCCAATTTTTTTATACAGTGTTGGTAGCTTCCAATTGATTTATACCAACTTGCCCAAGCTTTAACTCTTTTGGTACATTGAACTAAATTGCACAAGAAACGACTACCTTACTCCTTCTTTCGAGACGGCCACCTTGTGCTGCACGCAATCAAAGCTTCCAACCACCTGCAAAGGCAAGAACCTATCAATTTAAAATTTTAAGAAGCACATGCATTCTGTGAATTCAAATTACATATGTGAATGGCAACAAAATGCTCAAGCATACGAACTGTGCACATGATAACATAAAATAACGTTCAATGAATTTTTACAAAAAGTATGCACATAAAGGGTCTGTAAAGAGACTGCTTCTGCATGCTCAAATTCTTGGCGGTTCCTTGCTGAAACTAAAAAGTGGCTCCACGGTGTGGTAAACGTAGATTCCAAAAGTGGATTCAGAAGAATGTAGATAATGTTGCTGCAACTCTATGGCAGAGGACAAAGTTTGCACATATTTCCTCCAGGTGGTGATAATTCTCACTGAACAAATGTTAAGCTTCACTTGAGCCCATTTCTTGCACATTTAGAACCGTGAATAGTAAACAGTGGAACTCATGAAAAGTTTTAAACTCTTCTGCAAGTTTCGACACGGTTCTGTCAAATTCACAGAACTCGGGCTCCACGCAAGAATCCTGTAGGGAACTGCCCAATATTATACCTGCCAGCTATAATCCTTCAGTATAAGCTGAAGGACCTGGGTTAGATTCCCAGCCATGACAGCCACATTTAAATTGGGGCGAAATTCAAAACCCACCCACATGCTTTAGCTTGTCTGACTACGGTGCACACCTCAAAACAACACCAAGTGCTTTAAATCATTGTGGAGTCTCTGCCCCCTTCCCCCTACGGTATGCATCACTATAATATCATCATGATTTGGCATGCAAAACTCCAGCAATTTAAAGGCGTCTTGCGACATTTTTCAGCATGGCCGGAAAATGCTGCCGATCAGTAGTCGAAGCTCCCGAGATCACGCGAGTCAAATATTATAGTACGCCACAGCTTCGACACTAAAATTCACTTTCCTTTCTCTTAACAAATGATGATACATACTCTGTAATCAGTGAATCACTTGCCTAGTATTCTGCCATTGGCTGGTTCGAACATGGCGCGCTCGGGAGTTACTGGGGCCGCCACAAGAGACTGCAACGTGTCCGTGCATGTGTGCGCAATCGAACCGAAAAGTAGTACGTTCGAAGAAAAAAGTGCTCTATGCCACGAGGCGTGTGCGACATACCTTTTTTCCCCGTGCCGTCTCTTCCTGCTTAGCTTTCAGCGCTTTCGTCAGGACGAGAAAATTCAATCGCAGCATGCGACAAATCATTGTAACTCCCCTCGTACTGGACGAATTATAAAATTTTTTTCTGCAGTGGTGAATTCGTGAGACAATAAGCTCCTTTAGTGAAGTCATTCCATGGCTCCTTGGAAACGTGTTGCAGGGCCCATTTAATTTACAATTTTTTAATGTCCGACATGATAACACAAACTTTTTTTAGTCTAGTACACTTAGCAAAAACACTCATGAAGACACCTGTAAAAATACACCAAGTGCACAATATAATGAAAAATAACAAAGAAACAACTCATTACACAGCCACAAAGCAGACAGCCTGCTTTTCACCTAACAGCTCATTTTAATTGAACACTTTAGATCTGCGGTCAGATATATCAAACCTTCAGGGGATCACAAATGAGTTCTATGTAGAGGTGATTCGATGTACACAATAATTCGTTATATGTGTGTTCGGCTGTGTTACCAAACTTAGAATGCAGGTCCTATGTGAGAAGTGAGCCAAGCAGTATTATGCGACATGTTACATTGTTGCTTCTATTAACACTCTTGCTGTTCGTGCAAAAGTGAATTACATGCATTTCGGCTTCACACTTTGCAAATCCCACTTTCTTGGCCCTGGTGATGCCTAGAAGCACATGCACTACGAATGTATGTGTTACACATACTGAAATACTATGAGCACACCGTGAGAAACAACAATCTCATGCAGATAAGAGAAGCAAACAGACTGTAAGTAAACAAAATAACAATTATACTAAGTTTAACATGTATGCAAGTCAACAAATTTTATATACACAAAAACCTCTGCATCACGAACCTGGTTATAACGAAATATTGGTTACAACAATTAAATGAAGAATAGTCTTGAAATAGGCATAATGTTACGAATATACCTTTATAAGAAATTTCCGGATATAACAAACTTATGGTCATGTAAGATGCAACTTGTCTATAAGGAGGTTTGAGTGTAGAAGGAAACGAGTATAGTGAACAAACAGCCTACATAGCAGGACCTCATCGACTGCAGCCATCTCGTTCGATCCGGCTATGATGCAGTCAGGTTGGAACTTGCCAAGCCGGAACTTGATGTCTTTTGCGGTGAGCATGGTAGTGCATGTAGTGAGGGTTATGCCTGAAAAGAGAGCATTGTGGAGGCAGCTGCTGATTGCCAACATTTCAAAATTACAGAACAGCAAAAACTGATGTGGAGAATCTATTTGCAAATTAATATAACCAGATTGATCCCATTAAGACTGCTCTACGAGTTTTGCAGGTGGGAGAAAAAGGATGCTAGTGTTCATGTACCAGCCGTTCTCTCCACTTATCTGTACTGTCTGTCGGCAATATTTCGTGTTTCGCCAACTGTACACTTTTTTTTTTTCAATTTCAATTTTGTTTCCCTGTATTTATTAATGCATTTATCTCTGATATTTTTTGTTTCGTACTTGCTCCCCTTACTCAATGCCCTATCGGGTCCTGTAAGGTATCATGAATAAATAAATAAATAAATGAATAAATAAATGAAAGCTCAAGGGACTGTTATGATGTTTATCTTGATTCAGAATCGGCGTTTATACCCACCACATCTGATGGCTCCCAAAAGAACCAGCCAGAACTCTGGCGTCTTCGGCAGGATCACCAAAAGCCGGCTGTTCTTGTCGAGGCCGAGGTCGTGCTTGAGGAAGCCAGCCACCCTGCATTCAAAGTGCACACACGAAATAAATGGTCGGCAGACGCGATTACCAAAAGCGACTGTCGCAAATGTGCAAAGAGTTCAACCCGACAGGAGGAGTTGAAATTCTGTCTGCCCATCCATACGTACCCACAGACGATAGTTATAGCGCGAGAACGGAACGACGACAAAGAGACAAGAAGGGGACGAGCGCTTGTCTCTTTGTCGTCGTTCTGTTCTCGTGCCACAACTATCGTCATGTCATAGCAACTAGCTCAAACTGCCACACTTCTAAGTAACCACAGAACTTTGAAGCTACTCGATTAGGCAAGCCGATAATGCGTATTCTGGCATGGCAGAAATGCTAACAACTGTATATTTCATGGCATCTGGAGCACTACAAAGTGACCATAGCTTGTCACATGACAGGACATCTAACTAGGTATTTAGGGAAAACTCTAAGGTAGCCTTTTTTTTTCAGCTTTGCACTAATTGTCTGCACTAATTCTAGCACCACCAGATCGCACAGAATACTTTGAGTATTTGTTGTTCTTGAAATATCACTTCAAGATAAATATATGTGCAGTGACTCCATATGTCATATTCTTATTTCTTACTTCAATGTGAGACGTTTATGCACACTACCGGATTTTGTTTCAAAACCAGGATTATGCATACATTGTCATATGATCTTGTTCAAACACATATATGCCAACAAAGAAATGGAAGCTACCAAGGCTAGATAAACAAATATTGTTCAACATTTTATGTCATGTGCGCAGTGGAAGTAAGATTTAGATGCACGGTGTGGGGCTATCTATCATGCTCACATCGCATGAGTGACAAGAAAGCTGCATCGTGGAAACAGATTATCCTCATTATTTTTTCATTGTGATTACTTGCACAAGCGTTGTGACACATCTACAAGTTACAAATATGCATTGACATACTTACAGATACTCATTTGCGACGTATGAACTCAAGCCATTTATTCTGATGCCATCTTCACCAAATCGCACCAGTGTGCCCTGTCGCGCTGCTTCTTCCAATCCTTGCAGGGCATGGATGCCCCAGACCGATTTGTCGAAAATGGAATTACATGCAGAAAGGTGTGCGACATCTCGTGCTAATAAATTGTGCTACGAATATGGTTGTGGAGTGACGCAGACATGTGTTGGCGAGGTGCTCTTCGAAGTGATGCAGACAGCAAGTGTGTGTGGCTCTTAAACCGTCTTGTTTCGCTAGCTAAGTTATTTGTGTTTGGCACGAAGGATGCGATTTGGACCACCTTACCTCTGGGATAGACGGCTGAGGTCTGAAAAAGTGTACTTGATATCCGGCTCGTTGCCACTTTCCTTGGCAAACCAGAAGCCTGGCATGTCACCCCGGCTCTTTTTCTGTGTATAAAAAAAAATTAACACAGCCAATCAGCATGGCTGTAGTGTTATAGTTGCATTCGTATTGGGATATGAAGAGATAGATAACCGAATATCCGCTGCGTTGAGCAAGTCGAAATTAATGCATGTGGTGCATATATATTTGTACATGATAAAGCTAGGTACAAAAAGCTAAAAATCAAATGAGCCAGACAAACGTACACGCTCATGTATCTTCCATTCTCAAGTATTAATCGGTCACACTTCCACTTGGCTTCCAGCTTAAGACAACTACAGTCACTGTTCATCTTGCTTGGAATCGGATATCCAACCGTTTTCCAGTTGGTTTCTAACTGGGAGTCCACTTGATCCTAGTTAATTGCGGTCAACACCAACTTGAATTACCACTACCACTTGAATTACCACGGTACGCCTCCGCGAAATCGTCCGGATCGATGATCGAAGAACATATGCGGAAAACAAACGCACCGTACACGTATAGGACAACCGCTACGTTGCACATACCTGCTTCTCGGCCGCCCAGAAGTCGATAATGTCCCTCGAAAAGTTAAATTCCTTCGGCGGGTCATGGAGCACATCCCAGCAACCTTCGACGTCGTTGTTACTGCAATTTAACAGTGCTTTGTGAGAGACGCACGCGAGCATATGTTGAACGATATAATGCCCTAGCATGTGTGACAATCGCAATTAATCTGCACGCCTCGGCAGCATTACAAAGCACTTACGACAGGTATCTGTGGAGACGGCTGGCAAATCTGACGTGCTTGAAGTCTGCTCGCCTATTAAAATTTAACGGCACCGGTAGGCGACACTGATGCGAATTAACAAAGCGAGCGGCGATGTTCATCTCTTTGCAGTCGACTCGTTATATTTTCAACATCCACTGCTTTGACAGCGTGCAGTTCAGCCGCCCCGCCCTTTGACTACCCCTTCCAGGCGTTATATAACGCCGTCGCTTGAAGATAAACGTATCTCGAAGCACTTCACAAATCGCTGAAGCGTTTATTATCCTCGATCGCGGCTGGTAGCCGGAAAGAAAACACGAACACGCATGCGAACACGTGACACGATTTTACGCGCGCTATAGGAGAACCGAAACCGATGAACTGTCGGGGAGTAGCGAAATCACTTTCAACAGGTGTCTCTGAGCGATAAATATTTACTGCGTGATAAACAGCCGGATAACTACAGCGAGAAACGATCCTACGGCCTCATTAAAGTCTCTGTCGTTGATATGAGGCTGCAGCTGTTCCTGTAAAACTTTAGAAACGTGCAAAAGCAATAACGAAACCGAAACTACACATTGACATGCTTAATTATTAACTAAATGCATACAGTAATGCACACTTCAGGCTTTTTATCAGAAAAGTTACATCAATTTTTTGAACGCTGCTACATTAGGCTGAAAGTTTGTTTAGTTAAATACTTATTGCCACTAGGGAACGCCTCCGTCTCTGGGAGGGGGCGAAACAGGAAAAAGTTGCGTTTTCCGGTTAAAACAAGAAGCACGGAGCCATTTGCTCCCGTTTGCTGTCACCTGATTGCAGCCGCTTGCAGCGTCCTACAAGTGACGTAAGAAAGGAAAGTTGAAAATTTCGGCACTCCGGGTCGCCACGGGAAAAAGTAAGCACCCACTTTTTAGCGACGACGATTCGTTGAGCCCCGGTTAGCGCCCGCGAAGTCGGCGATTATGTTCAGCTGGTCCACTGCGGCGTTCGACAAGCTGTTGGGTAAGCAAGCTTTCTCCTACAGCTACATGCTCCGTGTTTTAGTATTTTATTTTTTCTCGTCGTTCTCCCACAACTACCGCTCTTGTCACTGTGCGTTGACGTCAGGCATTCGGGGCTTGCAGCGCAACGCGATCAGTCTTGTCGCCAAGAGTCAGCCAAGCCTTCGGATTATCGGTGTTTACAGCTTTTACGTGCCATCATCGCTTGCTGTTCTGAATCGCTTCTGTATGTAACCCGTTATTCCGTCTTATTCGTATTGTTACCATGGTGTCTTTCCATCCCGTAATACTCGTTTTGTTGGCGTTCGAGTTGCTGGGAGGTTGAGAACCTCACAATCTTCACCCGCTGACGTCATTTCGTTGTGATCGCATCCCATTATCACAAGCGTAGTACCGGAAGCCTTTCAGTGTTTATTGACCACATCACGGTGCTTATACAACAAGGACAAACCAAGCTGGTTATGGAATAACCCGCTTGCTACAAGTTTAAACTTAATACGGCGATTCTTTACTGATACAGCTGTCGTCTTGCTTTCAGACAAGGCTACGAGCCATTTGCTGTTGGAACCCGACTGGCCATCAATCATCCAGATTTGCGATTGCATTCGGCAGGGCGACGTGCAGTGAGTGTTTTTTGTACCGATGCTGTCGAGATTAGGGGGGTGCTTTGATCTGACACGCAGGAGTCATTTGCTGATAACTGACTCTTATCGTCCGTTTTCGTTACAGACCAAAGTACGCTGTTAGTGCGATCAAGAAGCGACTGTACACGCGCAATCCCCACGTGACCCTGTTTGCTCTGCAGGTGATTTTTTTGTGAATCGTTGATTACTGCATGCGCAATGTCAATACCAAAGTGTCACTGCCGTCCAAAGATAAACGAAATGCGACATTGCGGTCTTGGTATGCACTGGTCGCAGGTTCTCGAGTCCTGTGTCAAGAACTGCGGCTCCCTGGTTCACAATGAAATCGCTACCAAGCCTTTCATGGAAGAGTTGAGGGATCTTGTGAAGGTGAGTGTGCCAATAACTCTCTTCCATTGTGGTCACCGGCCATCATAGTAGCACTACCCTTAATATTTGTTTGTGAATGTGTCTTCGCCATTTTATGAATGCGGATGAGTTTCGTACATGAGCGTAGACACGTTCCTACATCATGTAAGAATGCTAACACATAACACACATGGACGCAGGAATACTGCATAGCACAAGCGCCAACTGTCAATTACAGAGATGCCCCGTGGCAGAAAAAAAAACGGTTGGCAGAAACTTAGTTGCACGTGTTTATCTGCACACAAATTTATTGCTCAGTTTCAGTCTTGGGACTGTGCCCGCATCTGCCTGACCACACTCGGGGCCCACTGTAAGCTGTTTTAAGATGAGCATGGCGTCCATGCACACTGCATTTCTCTCTTTTGTACTGAATGCCGAAATGAATTGAAGAAATATTGAACTTGAATTTTGAAGTAGTTAGAACACTGTGCCGATTGCCTTGTTTAATTGCTGGCAGCACAGGAAAGCCCTGATGTGTAGCGATTGACATATGTGATTCCCACAAGCATAAAATCGGGTCGTGGAACAAATGAGCAGGTTATAGACCTTCCCAAAAAGTCTGCTTCGAAAAGACATTTATTTGAAGCAGTGTCTCTCTCTTTTTTTTTTTTGCTCCTGTGAGAATCTGCTAGTTTTCAGGAAGTTGTCATGTTTGGTTTGCAATAGGTAAGCACTAAGAAAGAAATGCAAACAGATCTGTCTCTTCAATAAATGTTTGTACTGAATGCTTTAGAATGATTTTGAAAACATCATTTGCAGTGTATTTAGCGCATACATATTATTCTGGGCAGGGAAAGTACTGATAACGTAGCAGTGGTCCTGGGAAGCATTATTTTAGTATATAAAACATTAGGTGTTCAGTTCCCATAGTTCGGACGTTCTTCAATGCCTTGACCTCTTTTGAATGTAAACCTTTGACATAAGTCTGTCTGGTTGGGTATGAAACCCGACGTTTCGAAATTGACTTGGTTCCTTCCTCAGGGATGACTGCGGTCATCCCTGAGGAAGGAACCAGGTCGGTTTCGAAATGTCGGGTTTCTTCAAAACTTTGAGTTGGAGCCTAAATCATCTCCCTTGGCCTCTTTTGCAGGCAAACACCAACGAAGCTGTGCGAGATAAGGTACTAGAGCTAGTGCAGGCTTGGGCTCACGCATTTCGCAACGACCCCAACTACAGGGCCGTCCAGGACACGCTAAACCTGATGAAAATGGAAGGTGAGGCACTCGCAACAGTTGGCTGCGCTTGCTTTGTCCAGTCAAACTAGTATCATTTGTTCATTGCTTTGTGTGCAAGGGCAGCATTCACTTTTCTCGTTGTTTGGCGATTCTCTTACCGTTCTTGTACGTGCCGCAGAAGTGACTGGAAACTGCGAAACGATATTGGAGAGCTGACGTGTGATAACTTCCAATAACAATGATATTAATTAAAGTTTTACATCCCAAAACCACGATATATTTACGAGATACACTGTAGTGGAGGGCTCCAAAAATTTCAACCACCTATGGTTGTATGATCTGCACCCGAGTCTGACTAAGCACATGGGCTCCTAGCACTTGGCTCGGATTCTGTCTCGTAACCTTCAGCTCAGTAGTCGGGCGCCATAACCGCTAGACCACTGCGTGTTGGTAGAAAGAAGTTTAATTTTGAGTACAATGTGATGCGTCTTTCAGTACTGCAAAATCCCCCACATCGCGATGGTGACATCTAGAACTCTTACGTGCGCTGTTTGACAGATTACTGGCCCGCTTCCATATAAAGTTTCTTTAAGTACAATTTCGTACTTATGTTTGCTCACTCTTTCCACTTTTCCTTGTCTTTTTGGTAAATACAAGTGCACGATTACAGGCTTCTAGCTGTCCAAGTGCTTTGAAACACAGATCACATGTATGAATTTGAACTAGATTGACTGCAAATGTGGGCTTCAAGCGTTGAGTTAAGTACCTATTGTCTTTGTTCTTACTTTTTAATGAAAAGAAACAAGGCTGGTGGAAAAAGCTAGTAAGTAATGACAAAAAACATTCTTCTTTTCTCTTGAAGCGCTATGATTGTTACAAGTGGACAGGGTGTCTGGTTAATATTGATAGTGGCTTATAAAAAAAAAGGATTCTCCTTTGTTTTTGGTTGGGTTAGTTTGGGAACTTAAGCTGCTGGTAAATCAATTGCATGGAGTTAAATTTCATGATAGCAAGCTGTGTTAACTATGCTAGTAACCTATAACATTTGGCCATAATGATATATCGTGCATAAAAATATCAAATGCGGTAATACCTCGTTAACCCCCAGTAGCATATCTCGAAAAATCTGCTAATTAATTTTCCGATATGTCCCATGTATATTTTTCCCTCTGTTTCGAAATATTTTTGGGTCGGATTACGGATAACTCGAAATCTTGACTACGAGTGGAACGAAAATTCTGCTGCCGGACCACTTCACAAGATACACGCGATGCTGCCACGCCTAATTCTCAGCCCAGCGACATATCAAAACTTTGTCAAGCAACCATGTGGCATGTCATCCGACACATGTGCTGAGCAGGGACGCCCTCTGCCCACGCTTGGTGTAGTTTGTCTTGTTGTTGGCTTTGTGCAGTGCACATGATTTCCCCTGATGTGTGATTTCCGTTGATTTGTGCAAAGCGAGCAGTACGAATTTTTCGCTGACTGTGAGAAGCGGCAACTTAGTGCGAGTGTGACAAGCATGAAGTCAAAGCAGTGGAAGTCGCTAACGCTAGAAAAAAAAAAGGTTGCCCTAATTAAGGAAGTGGAGAAAGGAGGCCGAACGAAATCGAGCATCGCGCAGGAATTCAGCATCCCTTTGTCTACGCTTTCGACGGTGCTGGATGGATTTCAGCAGAGCTTCTCTAGCCACCGGAAGCAGGTTCGAGGGTCGAAGTTCCCAGACGTTAAAGCTGCGCTGATTGCAAGAGTGGCCAACGTTCCCGTCTCTTGTGTGTTATTTTTTTCTCTTTCAAACCTGCACAAAAAGAAAGACTAGAAACTGCGGCTGAAGAGCCAGTAAGTAGTAGTGGTTTTCCTGAAAAGCGCTCATTTTTCCCGGCGATTAGCACAACCTTGCTTATCGCAAAATTTTCTCTGGTTTTTACGACATTGAGTCAACGAGGTATTACTGTACAATATCTTGAATTTTACATTCCTCTAGAAGTATTGTAGCATAGAATATGAACAACAGTTAGTTCATAAGTATTTGATTAAAAAGACAAGTCGTACTAGAGTCGGTGTCTGTGGCGTCCAGACTTTTTTTCTCGTTTGCACGTCCTGTCCTTTATTATGAATACTGTAGCGTTCTCTCGATACAGGTGGCGCAGTTCTACAATGATTCTAGTTTAGAGTAGTGGTGTGTGATTCGACAGCGTCTGTTCTGCAAAAGTCGATCCACGTGCGGATCGTTGCCGTGGCGTGACGTCGCCTGCACTTATAGTTTTCCAGTAGTGCTCAGTACAACTGATCAAAACGTTCTGATATAGGAATCTCGCTTTTTCTCTCCAGGGTACAAGTTCCCGTACCTGAAGGAGAGCGACGCCATGTTCTCGGCCGACCAGGCCCCCGAATGGGCGGACGGCGACTGCTGCCATCGGTGTCGCGTCCAGTTCTCTCTTGTCCAGAGAAAGGTGACCCGATTGTTGTGGCGACACATTCTCTCTTATCGCTCGGGATACCGCATTTGCTGCTTGCTAAGTACAAGACGGCGGTTCATTACAGTTTCAGCACAAACAACAAGTGAAAGGGCATCGTGGGCAAAGGTGCGAGAAAATACGGCAAGTTGAACGTATTGTGAAACCAGACTGCCATGGCTCGTGTTCAGGTGACAGTGTATGAAGATAATCGAAATCTCCTAAGTGCATCCTGCAATGAATTCAAACTCTGTGACAGTGATTTGAGTACCTCATTACACTCGTCCAAAATTGTGCCAGAAATTACAGTCATTGTAAGAGGGGGTAGCATATCAAAGGTTGAACCTTTGCGGTCTGCTGTGAGCCCCTGCTTGACAGTGCAATGCAGTCGTAGTCTGTGGTCAGGCACTACTGGGTAAATTCTTTTTCGTGCTTGATTCATGTGCGCATTTTATCACTACAATACGCCATCTGTAAAAGAGTAAGTATACTTCTTTTATTCCAGCTTTGAGTCTTTTAGTTTCAGATCAGAACAGATGAAAGGTTGGAAAAGGTTTTGGCCCGCAAAAGGTTAAAGATATGCCCTTGGATGTGTCCAGTACATGCTGGAAACCTCCACCATTTGCACTTGTTTAGAAAAACTATATAATCAGTCTGGCTAAGTCGGTCGACAATGGCAAAGACTGCCTAAGCGTAGGGAACAAAGGACCTCATATTTTCTTTGCGACACCCACAATTCAATTGGAGTTCCACAGATCGCCTTCGCTTCAATCACATCATGACTGCCATAAGTAACTGCAGCCCCTTTTTGGCTGCATTACGGAAACTCCAGCATGCTGTACGAATTTTAGGTACTTGGTGCCATAGAGTTTCCTAATATACACGAGAGGGAACTCTGGCGCTAGTGTCTATGCGAGCTGCAATGCACGGCGCTTCAGCGAGCATAGCAATGATGGTTAGTACACGTACTTGTCTAATTTTCGTACATCTGGCCTGCTTCTGGCTCCGTGTGTGTTTGTGTGGCTTGTAACTGTTATCTCGCATAACAAAAATCAGCAAATGTTCAGCGGCTGCGCTTCACCTTATTTTTTTCGGCTTACCATTTCGAATCGGGTCACGAAGTTTAAAAGAATTCGTTCTTTCCTTCAAAACAAAACCGAAACCATCAATAAACGAAGCCGCAAGTACGATTCGTCGCCCGCAAGTACGAAGACTAGGCAAATCCGTGTACTACCCATCATTCCCGTGGTCGCTGAACGATCGCAGCGCCAGATTCCCCTCTAGTTAATTTTAGGAAACTCTATGCTTGGTGCCACTGCCACTGTCTGGAACTTTTCTCATAGATAGATAGATCATGCACCATGTAATGCCCCAAAAACGTTGCAATGTAAAAGGCCAGTCTGCCAATGCTTGCACCGCTTTGGTCTTATTGGTTCAACCTCTCTTGTCAAAACTGTCTTTGTCTTACTCGGTTCATCGTCGTTTTCTCGGCACAGCACCATTGCCGCAACTGTGGCCAGATCTTCTGCCAGAAGTGCTCCTCGCAAAACGCGCCCATTCCTCGATTTGGCATCGAGAAAGAAGTGCGCGTCTGCGAGGCCTGCTTTGAGAAGCTCTCCGCGTGAGTACCCCCCTTCCTCGTGACGTTTGGAATGTTTCCCTTTTTTTCCCCCTCATATTGTATTGCTAGGATATGTACAGGTCTGTTTAATGTAGCTAAGATCACACGACGTATTAGGGATGACGAAGCTTGTTATAGCGTGACACCAGACACATGTTTGAAGGTCTTGATTCTTGAGGCACACAGAGGCAGTTTCAGTATAAGGTATGGACGTGGCAAACACTTCTGGATATAGTAAACAAAAACTCAAAATGGTAAACACTTCAGAGAATTTCATTATATTAAAATTTGTTGTATCGAAGTTGAACTAAGTTATTTTCGTTGCACCACAACACAGTGCAGAACATATTCTTCATGTTGAGAATCTGTTGTCATCCTCGCATTTTATTCCTCAAAGCATGTTTCATAGCTTGATTGTCTGCTCTTCCCGACAGCGCAAGCAAGGCCCTGGCGGCCAAGGCACCACAGAAAGGAAGCGGCTCCGAGCATTCATCCCCTAGCCAGACCTCTTCCGCAGTAAGTGCTGAACCAGATTTTGGTCGCCGCGCTCCGAAAGATGTACGGGATTAACAGTGCTTTCAAGGACATCAGTTGCAATATGTCCTGACCGCAAAGAATCACTGCTTCATATTATATGCTTACGCAAGATAGCTTTCGTAGTAATTTCGGCATCTGTTTATTTATGAAGGGTCGAAAAGCTTTCGTCAGCGTTATTAATTTCATGATAAGGAACTGAACGTGGGTGTTACGTAAAAGTGGAAGTACATACTATAGTGAAAAACAGAACATTTTTTTTGCAAGAACGTTAAGAAGGTTCGAAGTGTGCATAAATACAGTGCAGTCCACTTATAACGATACCACATATAACGATATATCGGTTATAACGATGGGTCGACTTAACAGTCTCATTTTATGCATTGGGGCTATGGGGAAAAAAACCATATATAACGATATGTTATCCACCGCATATCGGATACAACGATGAAAAGTTTGCCGTGGACGGCATGTTTCATTCAGAATAATCGTAACATTTAGATTGATAAGTTCTTCTGAAACGAACTATGCCGAGACAAGACGAAAAGTTAGCGTAGGCGAGTACGTATCTGCCGCCACTGCAGGACAGCGCCGGCAGCGCGTCCCGGCCGTTCAAAAAGCCGAGGAGAGCATCGCGAGTGAGTGAGTGAGTAACAACTTTATTAGTCGAAGGGGTGAGGGGTAAGGGAGGCTAAGCCACGAAGGCTGCCAGGCTGAGCATCGCGAGTTGGCGCGACGCGCTACAGATGGCGCCAGCTGTGTCACGTTTTGCGCCTCGCCGCGCGTCGACCGCGGAGAGGCTGAGAGAATTTTAAAAAAAAAATGCGAAAAGCAAAGCGCCGCGCTCCGCGGCTCCCCGCCTTCTACAACGGCAAGCCGGCAAGCTACTCGTAGCTTGCCGAACGAAAGCGGGAAAGAGAGAGAAAATAAAAAAAGCGAAAAGCAAAGCGGCGCGGCGGCATCGGGGCGGGGCCTCGTTGGCATTCAGGCTGTGTACCTCTGGCTGTGCTTTCTTCCTCCCACTGCTCCCACCCCGCCGTCGGTCAGCCTCTCTTCCTCAGCGAACCCGTGATGCGTTCTTCGGAGTAAGAAATAAAGTCTTGTTTTGACATCCTACTATCTACAATATTTATTAATTGCTGAAAATAGCGAAATGAAGCCTGGAGCTACAAAAGGTACGTCCGGCGACGATTTTTTGGCGGCAGTCCAGATATAACGATCACCGGTTATAACGATCATATTTTTAGGTTTTCTCGATATCGTTATAAGTGGACTGCACTGTACAAGCGAGTCACTACCAACACAGTAACAACGTGACAGTCCCTAACCTAACCTATTTTTACCTTAGTTGAGTGAACAGCAGCATAGTAGTAGCAATTATCCCATTATCGGAGAGAAAAATTACACAAAATTGGAGCTAGTGACAACGATCAAGGAGGTCACAAAGTTTAGCATCGTGCTGAAGCACAGTTGGTTTTGGTACACCGTACCATCACTTTTGGAGACATTGAGGAAGATGCGATGCTTTAAATGGCTTTACTAGAAAGCTGTCGAAGCCTCATGGAGCTCAAGACACGATACGAGCTACGTATAAGCGGGGTTAGTGCCGCTCGAGAACACCACACAGAGTTATACTAAAGCAAGGCTGGCTTATGAACATGCACACGCATCACTCTGCTATCAATGCGCGGTCAGAAAGGTGGTCTTATAAATGAAAGGGCTACGGAAATGCAAACGGGCATATAAAAGTGCAGTATGACAACCATTGCTATGGCGACAACGGCATCGCATGCTGATGGGCGCATTAACCAGAAACTGTGAACGAGTTGCCCGATGAACTGATTGTCAGCTTCAATACTTCTTGTATGTACGCTCCTGTGGATCTTTCTTCACGAAAATGTGCCTGCATCTGCCAGCATGCCGCAATGCTCTGTAGAGCATGTGTCTTGCACTTCCTTCTGCGATCTTTCTTTCATTACTTTCAGTGCATCAGAACTGGCTGCAACCAGATTTCGATAGATGACCTGGGCTGCACATGCCTTACTCGCGTTTGCACCGCACTCGCGGGTTGAAAGACTTCAGTTCAGGGCTATGTAATCCACGTATCGTCATTTCCACTGTGGTCAATTTGTGTCATGTCAGTGCGATTTCAGTTCGTACACCTGCATTAGAGCCAGCATCAAAGTTAACGGCCATATTCGTAGCAATGTAGCGTGGTTATTGCGGGCGATTGCACTTTGCAGTTGTTATGCGGAAGGCTTGGCTGTCACTGATGGGCACTTCTAGTCATGTTCCCTAATCATCGTGGTTTCCTCAGCGTCCGTGTGGCGCGAGTCAGGTTGTGATCACACACAGGAACATGGTCTTTCTCAAAGGCGAATTTGAGACGAACAGTACTCCCTAAAGCAAGGAATTATTAATGTTCAACACATAGCTGAATGCCTTAGAAGAGCTATAACAATAAATGCCTGTTCGGAGGTACAAAGTGATGTTCAGATTGCAGCGTAATTACAATTAGTGAACATCTGTTGTTAAAGTGCAAGTTATGAAGCCTTGCTCATAAGAAGTGCTAGTTGAGTTTCAAGTAAAAGTAAGCAATTAGTTTAGATACACAGCACTCCTCAGAGCGCTTCTATAGCTCGTAAATTCTGGTTTTCTGAGCAACAGAGCCTGCAATGCAAGCCGTCTTCAATGCAAGCCCTCTTCAATGCAAGCCCTCTCGTTGTTTAGCTTATGTATAAGAAATTATTCATAGTTTTGCTTCATTGTTTTTGATTGTGCACCGTTTGTTCTATGAAACATTGAAAAACTATGGCAGAAGTTGTTGTATTTGTGAATAATGACTACGATAAGGTCTATTGCGACCCCATCCTATTTGCTGCTGAGATGTGTTGACAATTTTGCATAACTTTAATTGTCATGGGCGAGCTAAGCCATCATTCACAACAGTGACTTCAAAACGACTTAGGTGCAAGTACTACAGCTCAGTAGTGATCTCAGATCGATTAGTCCTTTGCAGTTTGGCTAGTACATTTGGATTACCACAGTAGTGGCCTGTTTCACGGCAGTGGCAACTGTAAAGTCACAACATCTATGTGACCAGGAGTCCGTTGAATGCGATGCATTCTGAGTTCATGGTCGAGGGGTGTTGTTTTGATGCTGCAAGCATTTTTTTTTTACCGAGTTGAGCGAGAAACAGATAGCGACCAATAAGGAATCGGCATTTTAAAAGGCAGTGATGAGAAGCCACTGGTCAGATGGTTTAAACTTGCGCTTTACTTTTTGCCCCGATTCTTCACTCATGTGTGCGTCGATGTTAACATCAGCTTTAGTCAAGGAGGAAGAAATATTTATGAGGTGCAAACCCATGGCGAACAGGTAATGTCACATTGCCGGAAAGCCACTTCATGCTGGCGACATCTTGTGGCAGAAGAGGGAATTGGCGCCGTCTCGGTTTCTGAGCTAACCGTTCGCTCGTGTTCCACCGATGTCGCGAAGCGGAGACGCTGAGCGCAATCACTGCGACTTTGCACCGCAAGACGGTGGCAGCTAAAATGTCTCCGTCAGAGCATGTTATCTGGACACCTGCGACGTCCGTTACAACGGGAGTTTCACTTCCTAAATATTTATTCCTCCGTGGTTTCAATCGAAGGTGGGTTGTCTGCTGAGAAGTACTTTCGCATACCCCGTGGCAAGGGTCTCGATTTCTTCAGTTTAACGTAAAACGAGCTTTTTTTTTGTTTTTGATGCGCCGCAGCCTGCTGGGGGCAAATCTGAGCAGGAATTGCAGGAAGAGGAGGAACTGCAGCTGGCATTGGCACTCTCCAAGAGTGAAGTGGAAACCAACCAGCGTTCCACTGTAAGTTGCCGTAGCAGCTGCCGTAGGACAGTACGACAATGCGGTGGTGGTGGTGGTGGTGGTAGTAGTAGTAGTCGTAGCAGCTGTAGTAAAGGCTCGTTCACACCTTTGACTTCGACTGTTCTCATCAAATATCTCAAGGAAATTCACCCTATGCATGCATACATTGCTCTCTTCACTCTTTCTGACCATATGCTGACTGATTGATTGCATTTCTCATCTTTTGGTATCCACATTTCCCACTTTAGCTGACCACAGCTGATCTCTACTGCACGTTACATGCACTGCATGAATCTACTTTTTTTTCTGATTTCAATTGCAGATTCAACTGCAGTTGAATCTCGATACGAATTCGAATGGATCATGCAAAATATTCGTGTCATCCCAAATTTGTTTGAACCAATGACAAGCTAAAGCTGATCATGAAGATAAACATTAACTTTATTGGGGTCAACTACTTTTTGCTGAAAAACGGTCCATGAAAGCGGCAATACTTATTGGAAATTCACTCGCTTCGCTGCTTAAGCGGCCAGTAAAACGGGCCACGAAGTCGACATGGAAAAAAATCTGTCCTGAAAAATTTGCACCGTAAAATTTCAAGCGAAAATGCCCGAACAGCCACAGAATCACATCCGCATCCATTCGTTCTGCTCCTCATACACGCCCCCGTCGCTGCTTGATAATTTATTCCATTTTCGCCAGCTTCCTGAGAATTAAAATTCGCACCAAATTCTAGTTATGCTTGCAAAGAAGTGAAAACAGTTTACACCTTTACAAACGTTGTTTCGGGAGATGTGCCAGCAGAAACGACGCGAGCGGACGCAGCGGTGGCGACGGATTCAGGTGGCCGTGCAAAAAGGAGATATGTTGGGGCATGCTGACTTGCTGCTGCTGCTGCTCCCTTTTTACTTCTGCTGTTCTCAGCGATTGAATCCAAACCAGGCTGTCGATGAACCCGTCTTTTCCAAGGTCGTGAGCTTTGTCGTGCTGCAGGGGTAGCTCGCGATTTGTTTACATCACGTGGTTTGAGAGCTAGTGCAGGCAGTGTAACCAAGGCCGTTAAGCAAAAAGGCAATCTGCTATCAGGTGGTAAAAAAATTAGTCTTGTACGGATTTTTTTGCGTCGGCCGCACGGCATGGCTTTCCGGCCACTTAGATGGTGAAGTGAGGGGAATTGCAATGAGTTTTGCCGCATTCGCTCCCTTCGAGGCCAGATTTAAATGGGCCTTTCTCCCACAAACAAGTCGTGTTGCGCTGTTCGCGTGGAGCGGTCAATCGCGCATCCACATCATTCACGGTGGCTGGGGAAACCGTTCGTGTAGCATCGAATCGCGGCGTATCTTATATAATGTAGTCCATCGAAAACAATGTTAGAGTTCATACCATCACGAAATTTGCATCAACCATAATCGTACCATCAAGATTATGCTGTACAAACCTTACCGTACTGCATTTTTATTTCTCAATGTAAGAATATTAAGCTGAACAGCTTGTTTGGCTTGTGTTGTGTGTTCACTTTCTGTGGGGCAGGTATCGACAAGGGGAGCCATCTTGCACAACAGAATGCCGCATTAACAGAGAAGAAGAGGGAACAATCGCTCATTGAGCGTAGTGGACTTGTCTTACAAGAATGCATCACGTTTTGGTCATTTGATGGGCAACGGTATAATAAAAAACGCTAAGTTTTCAACTCATAAAGAAATGTAGAATTATTATAACTCAGCATCAATATTTATGGGGCATTCTTTTTCCAAAATTCAAATTGGAAAGCATGAGGACTAACTAGTTTGTTAATTAATTTCACGAAACCCTCCTTTATGTTGGTGGTGGCCGTTTATACGAACTAAACCAGACATAAAACCAGCCCATTCGCTTCTCCTGTCTGAGCACTTACGTTTGAATCTAGTCCAAGTCATTTGAAGACCTTTTCGTGTCCATTCTATTGGACAGAACGGTGTCTCTATTTGATATTAGCTCATTCTTTGCCTAACAGAAATGAATTATTGACAGCACTGCCCTCACGGTTGCGTCAGATGTATACACGCTAGCCTCGACCGGTCACGTCTGGCGCATTAAATCTGTACGAGATGGAACCCATGGAGGTTGTTAAAGACGAGGCAACCTTGCTTATTCATCATTCTTCGATTTAGAAAGGTGAAATACATTTGCGGTTCTGCCGAGGTCGTCAAAGCTTTCTTACAACTTCTATCTAAAAGAAATTCTGACACTGGAAGCTGTTGTGCGCATGGAATGCTAGGATATGACGAATTCAGATTGGTGTCATTCTCGGATGCCTCTAGGATCCATCTAGCTAGCAGAATTTCATTCTTAACAGTGATTTGCATTGTAGTTACGCAGCATGTAATGAGCAATCTTCGTTATTGGTGTTTGATTTAGTTTTGAGAACTTCTACAGTTAGATCTTGTTGTAACAAGATTCAACTCGGTAATGGCTTCGCTAAAATTCTTATTAACTAGCGATTAGTTACATCCGTGTACCCAAGGACTGCGTGCGCATGCACATTCTTTTTTTATTTTCTTTTACCAGCGGAGATCGTGGCAGCCTCCGAGTACAGTGTCGAACACGACCACAACCAATTCGTCAAGTCCGCCGGTTTCGGCCATCGATGTGAGTCCTGCTTTGTGTGTTGTGTTGCAAAAAAAGTTGCCAAGGCAAGGCGTTCACTTGATGTTTTGACCTTTTGACGATGTATAAACATTGAATTTGTTAAGATTATCATTACAGACGCGTCGTGAGACGTTCATCGCAAAATAAAAGCTGGCTAGGCTGTGCAGTTCTCTTTACACTTCTAAATTCACCCACCAGCAGTCTTGGATCTCGAGGAGGGGGAGGGGATGATTTTATTTTTAGGCCAGTGCTTGGTTCAACTTGGACGCCTGCTCATAGAGGGAGCTACACTTCGGTAGAAGAGGCTCGTAAGTTGGGAGTCTTAGATTGTGGTACAACATCGGCTGGGCGAACGTAAACTGCTGATCCTACAAAAGAATGCAACGGAGGCACGTGAAACGCATTTGGCATACGACGGAAATTGAGTATTCCATTGCATGGGTTATTCCGCTGTCACACGGGCACTTAAACAAAAAGACTTCTGACAGAGTATTGCTCGCAGACGCACGACAGCAGGTGTTCTCTTTTTCAGAAGCAGTCTTTTCTGTAAACGGGGTTCGTCGACCTCTTTCAGAGCCGTGAGTGTGCAAGTTCGGCACCTGAGGTTGTCGGCAATTATAATTGGTGAAAAAGGGGGGGGGGGGGGGGCAAATATAATTGCTGTCACCTAGGCTCATCATACAAATAAAATTCGTATCTTGAGGGAGGCATTATAAGCCCTTTGAAGCTTATTTTCTTGGGCAAGCAGGTCGATAGGATCGGGGATACATGGCGGCGCTTAGTGGGTCGCATGCACGGACGCAAAACGTCATAACATTTATGGCCAGCTCTGGATGCACACAAAGAGCAACGGCTACAGTGATCGGAGGGGGACGTTGGATTTTATATATCGAGATACGTAGTTTTGTTTTGCTGGCTTTGTTTTGAAAGCTAGCGCCACGCTTTCGGTTGTGCATTCGAAATAGGACACCAATAGGAGACAGTCAGTGCTGTTTGTCTGTGAGGCAACGCCTCTTAATAGAAAGCTTTTTGTTTAAAACCCTTTTTAAAAGATCGCTCACGTAAAAAGGCTTTTGAGTACTCGTGTGACAGGGGTATTAGCCTAACCTGAAAAATCTTGACTGATGTGTGAAAAAGCAAAGAGCTGCACCTTGTTGCGATGAACATTTTAGACGTACAGTGCGGAATCATAAGACTGGTCAGATTTTTGCTGCACTTATTTACAATGTTATTGCAGTTTCACGTGTTTTTGGCATGCTGCTGATTGTGGAGATCGCTAAATATACAACGTGCCATGCACTTCTCTTTTGCTTTTCCAATCAGTTTGCTGTAAGTAAACGCTTCGCATGTCAAATACTACTCTTCTTTGTGCATTCCCGCACTGTACGTCTAGTCGCAAAATCTCGGATGTGACACGCTCTGCTTGTTGAATGCAAAAGCAGGCTGGCGACAAGGCTTCGGACAAGACGCGCCGCAAGGACCTGGCAGACGGCGACCCGGAGTTGGCTCGCTACCTGAACCGCGCCTACTGGGAACAACGGCAGCAACAGCAGCAGCAACAGGACACCAACGCGGTCGACGGTCTGCCGTCGCGACAGAGCCCTATACCGAGTGCACCGACCTCCGCAGGCTCGCCGTTTACCGTTCCACCTAAAAACGCTGAGGTAAACTAAATACTTGACTTGAGGCTGGCTTAATGACACTGTAGTCGCTAAATTACATGCACGTAGAGCAAAAAAAAAAAAATAAAAACACACACACACAACCCCCATCGTGTAAGATGCAAGTTTGTTATAATGAGGTTTTAGTGTACATACTCTATAGTGCTGTATGAAATAGAACACGGGAACGAGTGGCCGGCGCTCTGCACGGCCGCCTACAGCGCCACGTACCGACAGCAAAAGAAAACATGTTCGCTTTCGGCGTTATCTATAGGCAAGCAAAATAAGCAACCACGGCCGGTCGGCAAGCGCTGCTGGATTACGCTGTCGCTACGATAGCCCAACTGGCGATGCCTGCAGTGCATCATCTGCTCCGGACAAATCGACCGTGGTGGGCAGACGAGACCCAGCACAAATGACCAGTCACGGCAGGTCACGACCAGTCTGGAGGCGCGCGCTCGCAAGCGCGCGCCTGGAGACTAGTTATTGAGACAGGCCGTGATTAGTTATTTGGTTCGTCTATAGATGACTCTGAAAGGAGATGTGTTTTGTTTGGCTGTCGGTTCATGGCGCTGTAGGCGGCCACCTCCGAGCTCTGGACACGCGCTCCCGTGTACCCTTTCATAAAGGACGACAAGAGTACATGAAAGCAAATGCAAGTGAACGGAAAGGCTGTTGTAGTTGTGAGGCCCCAGATAACGGCAGCCCTCAGGTTTTAGCGTTATGTCACACTAGCACCGTGTCAACGTCACGGCCATGACGATCTCCCTGCCGCTATTCCAGAAAGTGGACATTATCGGTGGCGAGGCGGACTCTCAGCTTGAGGAGTTCGTCGCCCAGCTGCGCTCTACGCTGGAGGTGTTTGTCAACCGACTGCAGAGCAATGCGGCTCGTGGAAGGCCTGTGGCCAACGACTCCTACGTGCAGAGCCTGTTCATGAGCGTCACTAACATGCACTCGCAGCTGCTGCATCACCTCCAACAACAGGAGGACCTGCGCGGTGAGTCATTTGTTTGCTTGTTTGTGTTCTCCCCATTAAGGGGTACTCGCACTGTTTTTCGAAGGCGAGTTCACATTGCCATACAAATCTTCTGTATACAGACGTCTCTGAGCAAGTGTGACGCTTAGTAAAATGTGATAAGATACTGTATTTTGATATTGATGTCAGTTTTCTCTTGCTGGCCCTACCGAAATTGTCACTAGCGTGAAATCAGGCTACAGTGCTAATTCTGGTGTTCTGATGACGTAGTGTACCGAAACTTTCGAAATGGTCACTGCATGGAAACGTCACAATACCTTGTGCGAGCATATGATGAAAAGCTTGTGCCATGTTGTAATGTCAGGGTAGGGTACAGACCAATATTATTCTTTCTTTTGCCTTTTCAGGGTTCATTCATGCGTAACTTTACATCTTCAAGGCACTTGAGGGTTTGGCCTTTCATATGATGCAACAAAAAAAAAAATCGGCTAAAATTGTTCATATCGGTACCCCTTTAACTTACAGCCCTAACTCAATCACAATTAGGCCTGCTCAGGAGAGCCATTTGGGCAGCTTATTTTCACCCATTGGTTGAGTCTGAAAGAAAAAAAAGCTTTGCAATACACTTGTACCTTGATATGATGAAGCCAGATATAGCGAAACATTGCTCATAATGAAGACGTTAAAGAATAGTGTTAGGAGTATACCTTATAACAAATTTCGGGTATAAGTAATTTATTTTCGTGTGAGATGCAACTTTGTTATTGAGTGTAGTTGCAAAACGGAGAATGACGCAATGATGTGACTCTTAACAACCTGTCTTTGGTCCTTAGCTTTTCGGAGATGCAGGGGGCAAGTAAACATCTCCTAAAATGCACCATCAGGCTGTCCTCGGCTACCATTGTCGTCGAAAACGTGCAAGACCATTACTTATAACGCTGTGCTTTAAAGCACGGGCAGGTGCCAAATAGGCAGACTTACCCCCCTTTTCAGTAACGCTCATCAACTTGAACTAGACTTAAAATTGCCTTCAATACAGCGCATTTGAAATGCATCTGTGTGTTTGTGCTGCCTTTGCACCGCCTAAAAACAGCGCATTCGAAACGCTTTTGTGCTGCATTGAAGTCGGTGGCAAGTCACGTTCAAGTCGAGCAGCGTTTCTGAATACGGGGGTTAGTGCCCACCTTAGAGAACTAGGGCAGGCCGTTGCATCTCCTCTGTTTTTCCTGTGCACACCTTTATGCGACCAGCTATGTCCAATAACGCAGGGAAAGATTCACAGATTGTCCTCCATTACTTGAGCCAACCTCCCTCGTCGCATGTTCAGTGACTATTAGTTTGAATGTGTAGACTACGGTGGCTATACTTAACAGCATATGCAGTCGAATTTCTTAATGTTTACGTGTAGCAAAACCGCATTTGGGAAGCGCAATGCATAAACCAAGCGATGAAACTGCAGCATTATGAAATAGGTTGTTTGGTGCCCATTGCCATGTAGTTGCATTATGCCAACTCTGACACGCATTTGCACATGACCTTACCCATCCACCTATGTATGTGTGTGACTATTCTAAAGAAAGCCTCTTGAATGTTAATAACCTATCCTCATCTTATATCACTCTGATGACCATATGTCATTTCTGTGCCAGAAGGTCGGAATTGAATACTGACGTGCTCAGACCCGCGTCATTTCCTAGCGTGGGGCCCTCCAGCCGTTGCTTTAGATCAACTGCATTGCTATAAATTACTTCACTTTTGAAATACGCGGCGAGTTCATATGTTGTCGCTCTCTCCTCACGGACTCTTTTTTACGCAGAGTACTACGAAGGTCTGCAGGACAAGCTGGCCCAGATCAGAGATGCCCGTGCCGCCCTGGACGCCCTGAGAGAGGAGCACCGCGAACAACTCCGACGGGAGGCGGACGAAGCCGAGAGGCAGCGGCAGATCCAGATGGCCCAGAAACTGCACATCATGAGGCAGAAGAAGCAGGTAGGACCTGGCCTTGTTAACTTACTCATTTACAAGCAGCACTCCTAGAAATAGCAGGGGCCCATTCAGTTGGCTTAGCTGCTATGGTGTTACGCTAATGCAAACACATGGTTTCACTGAACAGCCACGACAGTTGCATTTTGATGTGGGCGACGCGCAAAAGCACACATGGGCTTGGATTTTGGTGCATATTAGAGAGTTCCAGGTGGTCAGAGTTGATCTTGTGTCCCTCCACTACAGTGCATCTCTTGAGTTTTGTTTTCGCTATGCGAGACATCGCATTTGACTTGATTGCAGTCATGGCTGTTTGTATTTCGCTAGCCTCAACGAGTGTTCACCTCTGTGTATACAGAAAGACGTGTTATGCGCACCATTGATTCTTGCAGGAGTACTTGCAGTACCAGCATCAGCTTGCCCTGCAACGGATGCAAGAGCAGGAGCGGGAGCTTCAGATGCGGCACGAACTTCAGAAGCAGTACCACCACGGCGGCGCCGGATTTCCCAACCAGCCCCCGGGGTTACCCCCACAGAGCATGCCTCCTCAGGGAATGCCTCCGCAGCAGCCCGGTCCACCGGTCAACATGGGAGGACCTCCGGACCACTCCCACATGCACCTCCCTCCGCAACTCCGCGGTGGGCCCATGCCTCCGGTGGGACCGGCACAAGGTCAAGTGATGCCACCTCCTCAAGGCCAACCCATCCCGCAGGGAATGCCCTCGCAAGGACACCCCATGCCACCACAAGGACAACCGCATGCCATGACGACGCAAGGACACACCATCATGCCCTCACCAGGACAACACTCGGTACCACCTCAGGGACAGGCGATGCCTCCACAAGGACACCTCTCGATGCCCCCGCTGCCACCCCACTCTGCACCAATGTCGATGCCCTCCCAGATCCCGTCGCAGCAGCAACGAGCAAGGCCTCCTATGCCCATGCCAACGATGCCGCCACCGTACCGGTCCCCAACACACGCTGTGCCAACCACGGTACCCATGCAGTACATGATGGGGACGGCGCCACACGCAGCTATGATGGGGCAGGCCCAGTATGGTCCCATGAGTATGCCCGCTCCCATGGGACTTCCCATGGACTTCCAGGCATTCAGCATGCAGCAGGGTAAGTTCACTCCCCTTCATGAAAATGCCTGTTCGTACACCTACACGTAAACTGCACAGTGTTGTTACTTTGTTGGATATGATAGTGCTTCGAAGGTGTGCAAGTGCAGTCAGGTTTCAATGTTATGAAACATTTCACTGCAGTATAGTCTGGTTTGTTATTAGGAATTATCAGATATAACTATGCATAAACTGAATGCTATAGTATTCGACTTCTGTGCCGTCCCCTCTCGAAGAGAGCGGCCAGGAGCCGTGTTTGCCTTTCAAGTGCCGCCAAGGGAAGTGGGGGAGACGCTTAATCCCCTCATAGGGGCTACTTCCACGTCTTGGAACCCCTTTTCCCTTTGTTATGGCCACTTTAAACGGGCACCGCAAATGACCTTCAGAGCGTCATTTGTCATCTTCTCTGTCGGCTCACGGAGAGAGTGAAAACACCGGTCGTCGACAGAAGAAGAAATGCCAATCGGCCGGCAGGCTCACCCTACCAGCCCGAGCAACAGCACCGCTTTTTTAAGGGGGACTTACTGAGTGCTTGTGAATGTTTGTTGAAATGTGACCCCAATTCCTGTTAATTAAAGTTACTTTTGTTTAAATGTTCACGAGTGTTCGACCGTTAACTGGCTGGATAGCGGACGCTTTGACCCGTCAAATGCGAGCTGCGAGACCAGCATAGTAAAAAAGCGCTTCAACTGCCATCGGCCGCCAACTCAACGTCCGCCGGCATTGGGATACGTCGCCACGGCAAGACCCCCGGTTGAACCCAGACACACGCCCATTGCTAGGATATCATTGCCAAGGAGTTGAGCAGCTGACAGCAGAAGGGCAGCAACAAGGTGGGCTCATTTCACAGTAAAAAGGCGCTTCAACTGCCATCGGCCGCCAACTCAACGTCCGCCGGCAATGGGTTACGTCGCCACGGCAAGACCCCCGGTTGAACCCAGACACACGCCCATTGCAAGGATATCATCGCCGAGGAGTTGAGCGGCTGACAGCAGAAGGGCAGCAACAAGGTGGGCTCATTTCATCTTTCAACGCTTAACGCGCAGCTTAGCACCATTGTTTCACATACGTCCGCTCCGGGACAAAACGTGCAAGCAAGAATGGACCAGGACGAGCTGACGCCAAATGTCACACCACAAGATGAAGCTTCTGCATCAAACGTTCGGCCGCAAAGAAAAACAACCCTATCGACGAGGGCTAAAGAAATCTACCAAACGAGCCGCGAAGAGCACTGCCGTAAACTAGATTCTGTTTGGAAAAACGTGCAGAGCGCTGTTCAGGCACTGTCACGCGCTAAGGGAGAACAGTTTACCGGCGCCAAAACGCACCTTCGTGCAAGTTACGAGCGCTACGAACGTGCTACCGCAAGATACTCAGCCTTTCTTGAGAAGGCGAAGACGTTTGAAGCCAGACACGAATTACGGCTCCGACAGGTAATCGATGAAGACCGTAAGGCGATCGTGAGCGAAAAGTTACGAGAGGCTACGCCACAGGAACGCGACAAGGCACATGAAACAGCATCGCAGTTCTTTCTATCGGTTCACTCAAGAGCTTCCTCGCGATCACAACGATCGGGCTCCTCCACGATTAGCTTGGCTGCTGTGCAGGCCCGCGCGCAAGCAGAGGCCGTCAAAGCAAGAGCTCAGTTTGGTCGTAAAGAGGCCGCAATGCGCTTAGAAAAGGCAAGAATTGAGGCCGAGCTTGAGGTACTACAACATGAAAAAGAGGCAGCTGCTGCAGACGCTCAGGCAAGTGCACTCGAGGCAGCTGTGGAACAGGATGGCGGGGAGTGTGTGCGCCCACACCCACCTTTAGACCACACACTACGGGTTTCGAGCTACATCACTGAGCAAGCCGCCATACGTGATGCCGAGCTTGCGTCTCTTCGGGTGCCTGTTGTTCATCCGAGAAGCCAGAGCTTGGAGCATGCCGAAGTAACCAACCACCTCCCGGACTTCCGTGACTACCACCAGCCGCCTGCGTACACGCCAGCACCTAACAGTTCAAGCTCAGAGCTTGCCGGCGTCCTTAAATTCCTGTGCCGCAAGGACCTAGTCTCTACAGTACTTACAAAGTTTGATGATCGACCTGAGAACTTTCGAGCTTGGAAGTCGTCTTTCAAAGGCGTCATCAGAGGTGTAGACCTTTCTGCGCAGGAAGAGCTCTACCTTCTAATCAAATGGCTTGGTCCTGAGTCATCGCATCAAGTCCGAAGGTTGAAATCTGTTCATGTGGATGACTTCTCGAAGGGCTTAAACATCGTGTGGAAACGGCTCGACGACACCTTCGGACACCCTGAGACAAAAGAGCGCTTCGTGCACTTCATGAAAGTATATAAAAGAAGGCGACGTCGTGCTCATCAGGGACAAAGAAGCAAATCGCAACGATCGGCCCATCGGCGTTGTCACCCAAAGCCTGCCCAGAGCGGACGGAATGGTGCACAAGGTGGAGGTGAAGATTGCAAGGAATGGCGCAAAAAGGAAACTCTGCCGACCGATATCGGAAGTGGTGCCCTTGTTTTCGCCATTAACAAACTGTGGCGTCTAAGAAGCAGACACCAGACGGGGAGTGTGCCGTCCCCTCTCGAAGAGAGCGGCCAGGAGCCGTGTTTGCCTTTCAAGTGCCGCCAAGGGAAGTGGGGGAGACGCTTAATCCCCTAATAGGGGCTACTTCCACGTCTTGGAACCCCTTTTCCCTTTGTTATGGCCACTTTAAACGGGCACCGCAAACGACCTTCAGAGCGTCATTTGTCATCTTCTCTGTCGGCTCACGGAGAGAGTGAAAACACCGGTCGTCGACAGAAGAAGAAATGCCAAGCGGCCGGCAGACTCGCCCTACCAGCCCGAGCAACAGCACCGCTTTTTTACGGGGCACTTACTGAGTGCTTGTGAATGTTTGTTGAAATGTGACCCCAATTCCTGTTAATTAAAGTTACTTTTGTTTAAATGTTCACGAGTGTTCGTCCGTTAACTGGCTGGATAGCGGACGCTTTGACCCGTCAAATGCGAGCTGCGAGACCAGCATAACTTCGGTTTAACGCAAATTTTATGTTTCCCAAACTTTCGAAGAATTGGAAATGTACTGCTAGACGTATATCTCACCGCTACTAACCTCCCTGGAAGATGGTTTACTGCATGGTGAGGCAGCTATGCAGTGAAGACGCCTCTGCAGGAGAAGCCCATGTACCGCAAAGCCACAAGTAAAGGAGCCTGCAATTCTTCTTCAAACACACATTTAATGGTTTCCGTTGAAGAAGCTGCCGCATGAATCAACTGCTGCAGAAAGCTTTCAAATTGGTAAAACGTGAGCGGAGCCGCAGATATTTGCCGCACTTTCAAGCGCTTTCTCACTATTTTCGTGCCATTGAGCATGCTGAACGCTATGCGGGGTGGGGTGTTGATGAGGCAAGAAGAGTTTCTTCGTCACCATGCATCGCGACCTTGAACCTTTCTTTTTTAATTTTTTTTTCTTTGAACATGCGACTTATTTTCTGAATGATCGCACGCAGGCACGTGGCTGCATCTCCCGGCAGCAACGGCAGTTATGGAAGTTACGATGATGAAATCGGTCAATGGCCGTGGACTTCAGTATATGGCGCAGTGATTTGGGTGTCGATTCCAGGCTGCGTGCTGCACTGTAATGTTTGGCTCTTGTGTGCTCAGGAGCCCCCAACTTCTGATTGGTAGCGTTTTCTGATCACACTGAAAAAGTAATGCTGGGCTCTTTGACGGCTGAAAGCAGTACACATGTCGCATTACTGTATACCTGTACGGGAGACAGCCGTGCAACCTGCATTCACTAACCGGAAACATTTTCCTCAATGCGCGTCTTGCAGCCATGTCTATGGGCATGCCGATGATGCACGGAGCCATGCCGCACCAGGAAAACCCAGCAGCCTCTCCACCAGCACAGCACCACCGGCCGCCGAGCGCCAACGAGTCTGCGATGGGCGCGCCGCAGGCCGGGGCTCCACCGCCAGTGCAGGAGGCAGCCCTGATAAGCTTCGACTAAACTTCGCACGTCTCTTGACGCGTCCAAGAAGGGCATGCGGTGTTTTGACGAACTCTTTCGTTTGAGGAGTGCTTGCCCCTCCCTGGCCTGCTTGATGCGATTGTACAGTCTTGGCACATTATAGGATACGCACACTTCTGGTCCTTAAGTTGAACTTGCTAGGGTAGAAGTGTGGGGCAGTCGGTTAATAACTCTTGGTGGTCTTTCTCGTGCAGTGCCCGAAGGGTTGTTCTTTCGTAAAAGGAGGCTGTAGAGGAAAGAGGCACTCCTCATCTCTGCCTTATTCCCCCTTCCCCTTTTTTTTTATAATATGAAACGACCGCTCGTTGGCTGTGCGAGACAACCCCACGAACTATTGCCCGCCCAACGAAAAACAAATGCTTTTATTAAATCCCTTTAGCAAGGTGGTGCCACGAGCAACCAGCTGGTCGTGCTTTTACTTTACAGTCGGCTGGTCGTACGACTCAATCGGAGATTACAGTGGGGATGTCGGCATCCGCATTTGTGCGAGGAAAAAAAATATACATATATGGTTGGATAGAGGCACTTTCGCTGTCATGTATCCAAGTGTGGTACGTCTTTTAAACAGAAGACTGGCGCTCTGAACGCACAACTGCGAATTGGACTGCAAGTCACTCGAGGATGCAATGTATAAATAAAATGCACCATCACACGACTGCAGTTGCAACAAGGTCTGTGCAAGTTGGCAGTGCCGACATCTGCGATATGCCAACGAACGCTTAACGGAGATCTTTCTTTTTTAGGCCAGTGTGCTAAGTGGAAATTTAATAGGATTCGCTTGTGGCTGCATTGGAATTTCGGATTAAGAGCAGCTATCTTTTATAACCATGCGCGAAGAATTGCACACTAGTACTAACCATCTGAGTTTCGAGATGCCGCTCTTAAGAGTAACTTAAGTAAAAGGTGTCGGCTGGTAAGTAACTCTTCAGAGCTATCAGGGTAGCATTCAACTTGAGGGAGTCTGATTTTGATTGCAGTACTGCATGTGAAGTGTACATTCTCGTGGGGTGGGGCGGGGGGGAAAATGCAACATCGAAAGTAGTCTGTGCTCGCCATTTCTCAATGCCGTCAACATAACTTGAAGGAATGAATCGGAAGTAACATCCGATTGTTGCCGACATTTAAAACATTGGCCATCTTTTCCAAGAACTCTGCTTTCGTGTAGGTCGTGTTTAGTACTATGCCCAATTATTGCATTCTTGTCATCCTTAATTAAAGCACGGCTGGTCATGTGCGATTGTGTTATCGTTGCGAAGTCTTTTGTGTTTGTGTCCGAAGAGGCTTTGAGTTGGTTTAGGATAACTACGGAACGTGCTATATGTATGAAAAAAAAAAATGCAATTAAGCGGCACGACGGCAACGTTTGTAATTATATATAGGTGCACGCTAAAGCTATTTTATTTCCTGTGTACATTGATATGACTTTTATGTATTAAAGGCCTTTTTCTTGATGCTGACGGCTCAGTGTTTGTATTCATTTGCATAATGTGTTCACATCAAGACATGAAAAATATAGCAAGCCATGTGTGAGGTGTTCACAAAATGGATTTCTTATTTTAAACACCCGTGTACTCCACTATGTTCGAAATGCCTGTCACGGTTTCTCACAGCGGCACGGATCTGAGCAGTACAATATAATACGACCATATACTGATAGATCTGGCTGGATAGACCTCTACCGGGGTACGTCGCAGTGTGACGTCGCCAGCGCACGTGCAAGGCAGCGATTGACAAAACACCCCTGCTGGTGGCTCAATACTGTGCTTGGAGCATGTTTTTCTTCCTTTTTTTAAAAGCTCAAACATCTTTCTGTTGCAAGATTAGCTGTAGTATATGCCAGAGAAGATATAGTTGTGTGGTAAACTGTGCGACAAAGAACTTGCCTCGCTGGCTTGCAGTTTATCTTGGAGAAGTAACCCATGTGGTGGCCTGTGTGAGAAACAACAGCATGGTCTCGAAAAATGTGCCGTGTTTATTGTGGTGCATAGTGTGCATTGAACGGCATCGACAATATTGGTTACCTTTATGGACGGTGCTACTGAGAATATCAAGCGTGGTGTGCGCTGTGTGAATAACGATGCATCTTGTTTGCGAAAACATTGGCACTCATTGTGGGCCAGTGGCACTGATTGGTTGTCGACGAAACACTACGATTCAACATTTTAGTCAACATAAAAATGCACTGACAGCACGGCATCGTCAATTCTTATGAATTGACAATGCGCATTACAAGTTTGTGTACGACGTCTAAAGGAGCAAAGCAAGTTCGCGAGCACATTGCAAGATTCGGATGCAGCGAGATAACTTGCCAAGAGATTATTATGTATACGAATAAGTTATCGTGTGTAAAATCACATGTATACGAATAAGTTATCATGTGTAAAATCACTTAAGTATTAAGTGGCTTATGTGAAATGCCGTAGGGGATAACTTCGCTTTGATTTTCACGGAGCTTTCTTAGCCTCAGCCTAACGCAAAGTAAAGAATAATTCCTACTGCATTCATCAGAATTTCTCAAATCCCGGCTGTGGCGGCTGCATTTCCGATGGAGGCAGAAATGTTGTAGGCCCGTGTACTCAGATTTGGGTGCACGTTTAAAGAACCCCAGGTGGTCAAAATTTCCGGAGCCCTCCACTACGGCGTCTCTCATAATCAAATAGTGGTTTTGGGACGTTAAACCCCACAAATCAATCAATCAATTCATCAGAATTTCGCACAGTGTGTGAAAATCGGAGACCACGTGCACAGCAGCTCAAAATGATACTGCCGCCAATGCTGTACCTCGTTTAAAACTGCAATGCACGTGTCCCGGTGGAAGTAGAGTACATTCACATCCACGCCATGCAAACATTTCTCAAACGTGCACAACATCGCTTTCGAATATTTTTTTTTTTTTGGCTGCCATCTACTGCGAGCTAATTGCCGGATGCTGGCTTCACAGAATTGTGCATTCCAGGCTATGACCTTTAAGCTGCGACTTTAGAAAACAGTAATTCACAGAAACTTTTGTCGAAAGAGTGCAGACACATGCAGCGCTTCTATGCAGAAATATGCCGCCACCGGAACTATTTCGCACCTGCAACCAGCACCTGCTCTGACAGAGGGGATTGTGGGCCAGGTGCTTGCAGTGATGCCACAGCGTTTGCCAACAGGGAGAGGTCTATTGGAGCAATGGCTTGGGTTATGTTGGCTCTAAGGAGGTGTCGATTGGGGCCGATTGGTATAGACCTACGACTTCAAGAAACTCCGCAAGAAGAAGTCTCGTAGTGCCGGATCGCAAGATATGGGTGGCAACCGTCACGGCGGAGAGCTGTACCGTCATACCCTCAAATAGTCCATGTAGCACTTTCATTGCGACATCTGCTGTGTGGCCCGCAGTGCTGTCCTGCTGGAACCACAAGTGGTCTACGTCTATATCATTCAGTTTAGGCCAGATGAAATCCATTTGACTTCTTTATAATAACACTAGCCCCCGTATTCACAAACGCTCCTCGACTCGACTTTCACCCTTCACTTGACCACGTTGCACACTGCGCCGCTGCTCGGCTGAAAATGACACTGCGCTACTCAACAATAGCAGCAAATTATCACTGATATGCAGTGACTTTCCCTGCCTTGAGATGGCGCTCCCATCGGCTTTCTCAAGTGAAGGTGGAGCGTTGAGTGAAGGGGCGTTCTAGAATACGGGGGTAGGCCTATTTAAATTGGCTGTTTCATCAGTAGCTCGCAGCACCTACATCCAGTGTGGTTGCTTAGAATCTCAGTTGGCATGCTACCGAGTTCGTGGATACCGTTTTGATTCTTGGCCACATGGAAGCCTGAAATGCAAGAACACCTGCACACTTGGATTCGGGCGTTTGTTGAAGACGCAATGCAAAGCCTGCCACTGAATCGCACCCCATATCGCATCATGGTTTTGACACGCGAGACCCCCAAACTCAGCTAAGTCGTTAGTTGAGCGTTACATATGTACTCCACGAACATTAGTACCTACACTTATCAAAAGGTGCTATTATATGAAGGTGTGCAAATAGCGCCCTCGGGAGCTTCAATGCACTGCATATGGGTCGTAATAACTCGGTGGCGCTCTCGTGCCGCCCGTAGCGAATTCCTTCTTTATCGATTTATGATTGTTAACACTAAAAGTTGCATTGGAGTTCTAGGATATTTTGGAAGATGTGAAATTAAAGGTCCGCACCGTGGTTTAAATGTTTTATGGCTACTTGCAAGTCACAATCTTAACATTTGACAAATATTTCATCGAAAACCTCGTGTGAACAGCTTCTTGTGCTTTAGTGCCACAGCATCTGCCCAGTATACCATGGCATACGTGCAAAATACTTGTAGCCTCGGGAGTCGCCAAAAATTTACTTGGAGTGTGCATACTTGGATTCATGTACGGATTCATGTGCCATTTGTCAGGCTAGCACCAAAAGAGTTCTGATATGCACATTCTTCCTTTTCATAATCATGCTACTCATTTTAATGACTAACTTATTTATTTATCCACCTCATGCCACTAACTACTCGTCTTTTGTTTCTGTGCTCACTTTGTTCACCAGCCTATTCGTGGATTAGGTGATCTCCCATGCCACCCATGGCAATAGAATATCAGTGTTATGGTAAAACTGTTAACAGTTACTTGGATGAAATAATGGAAATTAATCGAGGTGCCATTTCTTTATCAGACATGTCCTAATGAAAGTGATAGATAATGATGCAAAGGAAGCATGAAGCGCATTATTCGTGGTTCTTATTTGGAGTGTCCAGAAAAGTCAAGAAAGTGGCTTGGCTTTAGTGGAGATTGAACTTGCAAAGCTCGAATCACTACAACAGTAGTTGTACACCCCCCGTGTCATTTATACCTACAGAATATATCTGTAAAAATTTCTCTTTCTCAATATTTTTATCATATTTGTTTTTCAAGGTTAGGCGTTCAAGATTGCTGTGCAGCCCTTATGTGTAAACGGTTGTTGCATGAAATTTTACGGTAATTGGTAAAGTAATAAAAAAACTTACTCTAGCAAAAAAGAGGGTATATTAAGGGTCCCACAACTGTAGTATTCATTTGGTTTGTTTGCCTGTTCTTTCTTGCAAACAAGGCGCTCGTCACTTTTCTGACAAGCATACTACGTAACACCGATAGCCCGCACGCTGCTTTCAACTTTGAAGTTCGAGGTGTGCGTCAATGATGCAAAATAAAGCATGCAAAGTAGACAGGGCATCATTGCAGTGGGACAGAAATATGCCCCTAGTTTGCCTTTATGTAACTTATGTAACTATACAGCACCTAGAAGGAAATGCTGACCCGCACATACAACAAAATCTTTTATTAACAATGAAATGCGAGAACATTCAAACAAGCAGAGATACACCTAACTACATTGGTAAAAAAAATACTTTGAAAAAGCAATTTGTTCCTTAGTACCTATTAGAGCAGATGAGGAGACAGAATGCACTGGTAGGAGAGTCAGGGGCTCCTTTGTCAAGACCCGTGCGGCAGCTACACAAAAGCACAGTAAATACTGAACTGGCATATAACGTTGTGCAATGTTTAACGAAAACAATAATGCATCACCTCAATTAAAGAGATGCAAAAATATATATATATATATATATATATATATATATATATATATATATATACTATGTTGTAGGTGTATGTACGCCAATCTAAGTGATTGATATACTTCAAGATCGGTGGCATTATTATGGAACTCTCACACCCTTCATAAGCATTGTGTCACTCGGTTAACTGGCTGCTCTTAGCAACACCATTTATGCAATGCACATCCTAACATCCCGTGACTGTACAAACTTGTATCACACATTTGATGTGGAGCCAGTGAATGCAAACGCTAGGCCGCTGTTAGTTAAGTATGTTTCTCCTAGCCACAAAAATGGACTGCAAAAAAACAAGAAATTACCAAAGATGCTATTTTCAAGTTGCTGCTCACCGTCTTCTCGTGAAGGTGTAGATTTTGAGATCGTCTCGAGGTTAATCTCGTCGGCAAATAGTACACAGAATTGTAAAAGAAGCAGATTAACGGAGAAAACGTTGCCACATTAAAAGACAATACAAGGTGATACGTCGAAGTGTGTTACATTGCACCAATGCAATGGAACCGAAGTTTTGGCACAAAATGAAATGCCGGTAACATTGGGCACTCACCTCTCTTTCGTTTATAATTTTCTGCCAAAGGTACAAAAGCAAGTTTCAAGGAATGTACACCTAAGCTTGTCAAGCTTCACTTGATAGTTTTCTTTCGACTGAGACCAGCAAAAATGTGGATGGCAGCTATTTCAATAACGTTATTTCTTATGGATATTACGTACGGTACAATCTCGATGATGAATTCGTAGGAAGCATGCAAAACGTTCGTATCATCCTGAATTCATATGAACAAAAACTTGTTAAATCTAATTTATTTGCGTCACCTGCTGCTTGCTGGAAAATTTACACCATCTCTCACTAATGGGAACCATGTGGGAATACAAAGCAGCGCTGCTGTTCACTTGTGCTTTATATGTACATGTGTTTGTTTCGTTTACCCTCCCTCCCCTCCCATTTGTGTGTACTACCATGCGTGTGCCGCAAAGTGAACACCCAGCCCTGCTAGGAGAGTGCAACGATGCGAGCGCGAGCAGCCTTACATGCCAGCGTGACGAAGACATAAACGGCAGAGGTGAAACGAAGCAAAGGCAGCGCTCTGCCACCTGGTTGTGGTTGTAAGGAAGAGGAAAAAGGCACCTAATTTCTGTCTGCCTCAGGGGCGACACGGCGCAGTGCCTTATAGGGGTGGGGGTAAAGAGGGATAAAAAGAATAGAAGGATATATATATATAAAGAAATAGAGAGGCAAGCGACGGAAAATAGAAGGAGATAGGAAAGTGGGGATCCGGTCGAAGCAGTCCAAGGGCGGGGTACCACAATGCGAGAGCTGCACGGCGTCAGGGGACTGCGGAGGGCGAACCAGTCGGCGGGAGCTACGCTGGCGTCAGAGATCGCGAGGGCACGTCCGTCCAGCTTGAAATCCTCCGAGCGAATCCCACGCTCTGCCACCTCCTCCCGTGAGTGCGACAAGAGGTCCTCACGCTCACGCTAAGAGAGAGGGGGAGGGCGAAGTTGGCGAATGCGTGGTGGGGGAGCGGACCGTCGCCGAGGGACGGACACAGAGACCCGAGCAAAAGTCGCTTCGCATCTAAAATTCCATGATGTTCTTTTTGAACTTTTCTACCTTCGCTGTCGCTCAAGAAAACCGCAGGAAAGCAATGAAACCGTACTGCGGTTTCGTACTCACGCTTGCCGGAAAACCGCGCCGCGAAGTTGACACGAGAAAAATCAGTCCTACAGCAAACGAAGTTTTTGAAAACGAAAGCGCCAGAGCGGTTGGAAAACAACGTCCACGTGCGTCGAAAACGTTCACATTCGTTCTGCCCCTTGTGCAATGCCACCGCCGCCTTCGATTCTCGGAGGATTCAGTCTATTTTACGTTGAATTTCGTGCCGCATTCTAGTTGTTCATGCAAATCAGTGAAAAAAACAGCTCGCACCTTTTCAAACGTAGTTTCGGGAGAAGCGATAGCAGGAATGACACGAGCCGGCGCACCGGCAGCGGCGGCGAGGGATTCAGCCGGCTGTGAGAAAGCGAAACACCAGAGAACACCTACCACTTTGCGGGCTTGCAGACTCGTTGCTGCTGCACCTTTTTCTACTTCTGCTGTTCTCGGCGATCGTAATCTAAACCAGGCTCTCGATGAAAGCGTCCCTGTCGAGGCCGTGAACTTCTCACAGCTCGGGTAGTTGCGCCGTAGTACAGCGAAGCCGTAGCAAGCCACCGCCGACACAAGTAACGCCGACGCCTTTGGCGCCATGCTGAATATGCCGCCGGTTGTTTACATCACGTGGTTTGAGGCGTGCCGTCAAAACGATAGGCGATTGGTAGATAGAAAAATAGGTGTCGGACCGTTTTTTTTTTTTTTTTTTTCTGCGTCGGCCTCGGGGCGTGGTTTTCCGTGTGGCAGCTTGGGCTAGTTGGTATGACATGACGATAGTAATTGCGCGAGAACAGAACGACGACACAGATACAAGAAGGACACGAGAACTCGTGTCCTTCTTGTCTCGGTGTCATCGTTCTGTTCTCGCGCTATATCGTGGTTTTCCGGCCACGTAGGCGGCGAAGCGAGGGGAATTACGGGGAGTTTTGCCGCATTCGAGCCCAAGTGTGAACGGGCCTGTCCCCCCCCAGGAAAGTCGCGTTACACCACTCGCGTGCAGCGGCACATCGCACGTTCCTATCATCCGCGGTGGCTGGGAAAATCGTTCGTATAACACCGAATCACAGCGCATTTTAAATAACGTAGTTCATCAGAAACAACCGTGAAATTCGCATCATCGCGAAATTCGGATCAACCGTAATCGTATCATCGAGAGTCTACTGGGACACCTTGCGGCACCTTACGTGGCGTGGCTTTAAAAGTGTGATAGTTTTCATGATCACGTACAACTATACTGCCCCATATTGCCCTAGAGGTGGCGTTTTTCACACCTATGCACGGACCTACCATCTCGTCTATCAATCACATTTTTGGTATACTACAGAACTACTCAATATAGATTATGTAGAGTGTCATGAAATACTATCACTCGAGGCAATGTCACATACTATGCACAAAAATTGAAAATTATGAAAACTTGTACTTCTTTTTTAGAATGAAAGCTTCCGCTTTCACATCCCCAATTGCTAAACCATATACTGACAGAAAAAATGCACTCTGCCCTATTAACGATGCCTATAATCACTATAAAGAATGTCATTGCATAATTTTGCACATGAGAAGTTTCAAAGAAAAAAACAAGACATTTGTGCATTAAACACTTGTTAAATTTCCGTTTCCTCGATTAGTGTAAGTAATGCAAATGTGCTAATAAGTTCGTTCATATGGCAACTACCGAAAAATTTTCAAATGATTATGGACAAACGTCGCTGCCCTAGCACAAGTCAAAAGTGCCTCAGCCGTAAAACTCGGCATTTCGCAAATACAAAGTTTGTATCACTTCCGTTTCCGCTATACATACGCAGAAGTACGAAATTGCATAGAACATCTCAACATCACATTCAGCAACAGCCTTACAGCACACCAGTCTGCGCAGACTGCATTGCTATTCATGACAAGTCGTAGCTCAGACGATTGGCCGAGGCCTGCCAGGGTCACGGATGGCCTTCGAGGGATCGCAGGAGAAAGACACGGTTAGCGCGTACCGGACGCCTCTGTCCACTTTCTCGACAAAGTGGGGGTTCTCCGAGCCAGATGTAAACGCCAGGACACGACCTGTGAATTAAGTTGTGCACATAAAACCTGGCACTGTTTTATTCACAAGACAGCTTTGGTAAAATTATGCAGCCGGTCCTTAATGTGCTTTAGTTTGTCTGTATAGATTGATTAGCTTGTCTGTGTAACAGGCATCCTTCTCCGTCGAATTTTCTTCCCTACCTAGGTCTCGCCGCACTAGCGAACTGTCACCATGCCGAATTCCTAAAATTTCATTATGCTCAAAGCTATTCACTCTGCCTTGACACTCCAGACAATTATTTTGAGTTTTCCAAACCATGATCTTCGAGGAGCGACCACGCCCTTAATTTTGTAACCTTTTTCACCTGCTCTGACATAAGTATGACTTAGTTCCTTCAGCAATTGAAGCATGATATCTGTTGGCCTGTTGTGCCTGGTCCCTACTTAAAGAATTTCTAGAAGCTTGTTTATGAATATTCATTTGCTTTTCTTTTCTTATTTTTTTTCTGCAGTCCCGCAATTTTATCCACTGCAGCCTCAGCGAGGCACAAAATAGAAAAAATAAGTTTTTTTAATCAGCAGTTTTACCATAAGCTTAAATCTATGTGCGCTATAAAGAATTCCTAATTTACAGTATAGTGTCCAGGTCTCATACCAAGCAAAATTATTAGTGCTATTGAATATAAGTACAAAAAATTAAAAATATGAATGTTGTTGCACTGCACATGGAGTTTTCCACGATATTTACTGGAGAGAACTCTGGTGTTGCGATCGGTCAGCCACGATGGGTAGTGCCCGATTCCCCTTGTCTTTGTGCTTGCGGGCTTCAAACACACTCGTAACATTTGCACAACTTCGTTTGGCCACAAAGCGGATGCAGGCAACGCGAAGCCTAGGGAAGCCGGAAGACCGAAGTTTAGACAAATCTGCGTACTACCCGTCATTCCCGCGGTGTCCCATAGACACTAGCACCAGAGGAAACTCTCTGGAGCTGCACATAGTTTATTAGCACCGTATTTAAGTACTTGCTACACTGCTGCAAGACAAAATTATTTATGAACAGGTAGTCGCTTGTACAAAATACAATAATATGCAGTACGAACGAATTGAAACTAGACATTGTTTATTTTAGGGGCGAAGTTCCTTACGGTCGAGCCAGGTTCGCCGTCGTTCCTCGATGACACTGATGATGGCGAAAAACAAGCGCATTACAGACTGAAGACTCTCTCTCTGCCATTGTGGCACAGCACACGCAAGATGGTTAGCATGCGCAAGCACGGACTGGCTTGTGCGGTATAGGACTTCTCGATATGTTCTACGACGCATTTTGCAAGACGAAACATCCAACAACCACCGGGGGCACGTGCACAGACCTCATCTTTGCCAACTTCAGCCTAGATCCATTGACACGAAACAGTAATAACTAAGACAATGCCAAATTTACAACTCAACACAGCATTCGGTTTATGACCAATAAATATTGTACATAACTGCACACTGCTTTGTCGCTCATTTACAAGCGCGAGTGGTCAATGTCACGGGTGATTTACGGTAACACCACACGATCCTGCTGCATCGCCCCTTTATAATCATCCACTTCGTGGATATGCCATGATTTTTTAGCCTTGAGAACTGTTCAGAGCAACTGCAGGTGAAAACCCTCATACTACAGAAAATCCAACCAATAAAGGTGGTGGTGACTGTGACGCAAGCGTTTTAAGTCAAAACTACATCAATACAACGCCAAATTTAGACACTACAAATGTTACAAACATTACAATTGCAAATTGTATGCTGCAAACTTTTACGTTTCAATTCGTGAGACGTCACCTGTTCTGTAGCAGCAACGCCAAGAACCAGCAGCAAATAAATTACTTGGAAACAGCGGCCACTAAATAATTAAATATTTCGGTTAGCACATGTTACAGCTTAACACAGGGACGTCCACTCAAAATTACACATCGTAAAAGAATACAACAACCACAGTGGCTTAGTGACTACAGCATAGTTCTGGTGTCGTGTTCAAGGTTGTGGGTTAGACTTGGCAAAAAAGTGCCAGTGAGAGGTGGCACAGCAAAAGAGGTCCGAGCTACCTACCTTTCTTTGGTTCCACCGTGGCATTGCCCCTGGAGCCATCCACAAAAATCAGGCGACCGCCCCCGAAATCGGCATTGTAGTCAGTCAGATAGAGCAGTGACGTGTAGTGGAATGAGCCGTACTGCTCCTGCAAGACAGGTCCAAGCATGCTAGGGGTTCGTGCATGCAGTGGTCAGAGCAGGGAATTCCTATGGTAACCAAGTGTGCCATTTATATGCAAAGATCGCAGTTCTACATAGACCCCAGCAGTCAAATTTGTATACCGGTCGTGTTTGTTATATCAATGTATTACAGAAGAACCAACACTGGGCGAGTAGGAACTGGTTAAGCATTTTGAACGAGCAGCGTGGGAAACGAGAACACAAGGCAGGAACAAGAAAGCCTAGTGGGTTCCTTCCTGCATCGTATCCTCGTCTTACGCAATGCCTGCTCAAGACTTTCACACCAAGGAGTGCTCATAACTAGCACAGGCATAAAGGGTAACAAACATATTTAGCATCTGTGGACGAGGCTAGTGTTCTGGGGACAGACTAAAACTACTGAATTTGTTGCACAAAAAAAAAAAAAACGCTATGTAGGGGCACCGCTCAGAGGTCTGTCAATATGACACCGTTTACAAAAGGAATTGTATTTGCAGAATCTTTATTCAACACAGCATTCCCATGCAGCATTACGAAATTTCTTCGGAAAGACTGATACAGCAATGCAAAATCCAGAGATCTAGAGGCCGATGAGAAAGGTGGTTGTGTCGGTGGCAGTCATAGTACAGCCCGAGTGGCGATGCATTCAAGTGTGCTAGCAATGGAGCAGCAAGGAACCGAAAGGAAAAGGTTGGTGGCAAACGGCAGGGGATTGTGTTGAGAAAGCATAGCGACCAGCACTAACATTTCTTCTCACAACTCAACTGCCAACGTCGATGCTATTTTCTATTGCAGTCGAGCCGAATCGGCACTCTACTCCATAATCATGACTGGCTTGTATGCACAAGCAGTGGAGGAGAATCGCTAAAAGTCCCGAAACCTGTTCCTAAATAAGCTCGATTTCAAATGTGAGTGCACCAAGCAACTGTCTCACTGCAATGAGAGCAAAGAGAAGCGTGGAACAGGAAGCATTCGGCATGGCAGCACCAGTTGTAATGAAATATCGCTTGGAAAACTGACCTTGTCGACGTGCACGTGCCAGTACTCATCGTGGACGGTGACGGCCGGCCGCACCGTCATTTCCGAGAAGAACGTCGGGTGCGTCAGGTGCAGGGTGTCGGGCCTGACGCCAAACTGAAAGCCGATCAGGCTGCGAATCTTGTCTTTGACCTGCCTGAGTCGAACGCAACAAGAGGACACAAATTGATCGACTTTAACTGCTAGGTCACATTGAGAAAGCAGAATCGTGAACATTTCATGTCACAAAGCATTCCGAATTTTCAGTATCAGGCATTGCACATTGAGGTGTAAATATCAAACTACAATGTAGGCAGACTTCAGAACACTACTAAGTGTGATAGCATCTTGATCGAACAGTGTAGCTGTCTGGCAACACAGCCAGGCAAGGAAACGAAGCGAGCTCAATGTGGGCTACGAGGACAGCTTCAATTTCGTATGCGTGTAAACGTGTTTGCCTACAAATGCTTGCCGATGTCGTTCTTCTTTTTGTGCAAGTAAGACAATCGCAGAGCAATGCAACACTGGCATGCTTTTGGCAGTACTGGGTGCATGGAGTGTCTGATACGACACACACGTTTCTACAATTAAAGAACCGCTTTGCTGAATACTCATCGAATAACCTCAATAGTATCAGCCTTTTATTGCCTCACAGACTCTCTGCAAAAATTTCTCGAATCTGTCAAGAACGAGTAGAGTTAGAGAGATTGGTCACATAAGCACTTTCTATTTTCTTTCTTCCTAGAGAACATGCTGCAAGAAACACAGGCAGGGATGGCATTGGAGAAAAGCCTGCGAAATCAAACACAATTGCTCTCTCCCATTGTTATTTTTGTACCCAAGTGTGCTTCACTGCGTAATGCTAGCAGACTATTGAGCACTGTGCCAGAAAGTGGCGAAACCTTGCTCCAAGTAGCGCATCTAGATGCCACACTCAATTTATGTTGGCCGTTGGCCAGTAGCAGCCCGCGTGAAACAGCAGGCGCCAGCAGCTGTGAGGTGAGCGAGGACAGTCCTCTGTGCGAAAAGACAATGCCTGACAAAATGGAAACTTTGCGCTCTTCTTTTAAGCTCTCGCTACCGCTCATGACTGAGACGCTTGGCTGAGCTGTTCGTAGAAGACTCTGCTATCAGCATGATGTGTTATCTGACGAAGTCCTAAGGGGTTGGTTCATGGCCCCTTTGAGATTTTTCAGCACTGCACTGGCCAGCGCAATTACTATGTGCGGTCATGCAGGTGCACTATGAGATAAGAAAATACGAATTTTGAGAACATGATTTTTTAGCTAGTTGCACTACGATTGAAGATGAACTCACTTGTAGACTTTCAAGTCATTGTCGCTGAATAGCGTAGTGCCCTTCTGTTCAAGCAGTCTGTGGGAATAAAGTCACCAAAAGGTTGCATCAGAAAACACAGCTTTGAACAATGGAATCGTAACACTTGCAAATCAACCCTTTGACAATAATTGTTATGATATATGTACGCACAAAAGGTGCCTTGCTACATCGAAAATATTTCCTATTTCCATAAGCTTCACAAGAATTGTTTTCGTATACTATACGACATATGAAATCAGTACAATGCATGTTTTACAAATTAATCACCAAATCGAAGTAGATGCTTGATGGTGCTAACCTGCTATTTTTTTCCACACTAAGCTTGTGCACATCTCGGCCATGCACATGCCCAAGTTCTTATGCTGAAATATTATCACAGTTTATTGTGCTTTTCATTTTTCTGCATTCAGCTACCCATGCTGGCCATCTAACAGTTGAGTGTGTTCTCAGGTGACGTCACTTGTATCGCTGCTTACAAAGCATTTGTAAATGATCTGACATGCTTTTTGGGTACGAGTTTATTTACCCACAAGGCAGGCACACAACGTTACATAGAGATATGACTATAGTTCTAGGACAGTAAAGCCCGGAATAATCGCAATGCTTGAACTGTTTTCCACGATTTTCTGACACATTGCTGTACTATTGTAACACTTAATATACATTCTATTTAGCTGCTCTCAATTAGTTTACATTCCTGTTTAGTGCATGCTATTATAGTGTGTTATGTTATTCTGCTCATTATTAATGCCAACAGCAATTTTCTGGTACTAATAATAATGATGAAAAAAAAAATCTCCATGAAAAGAGGAAGAAACAGGAAAGTCGAATACTTGCTTGTAGACGTTAACGAATTTCTTCCCCAGGGAGATTGATCCTGAATGCAGGTCGAGAATGGAAGCTCCGCCGTCGGAGCGACTCAGTGCTAATCCCCGCTTAGCCAGGCTGTAACGAGAACAAGATGCAGCACGGCTTGCCACTTGCGCAGAACTCCAAAAGCAGGAGTTGGTGCATGCACAGGACTGTAGTGTAATGTGCAATATAGTTCATAGGTTAGCTTGCCTCACATAGATAGCACTAAATGGCAGATTATTTGCTTGATACTTTTGCCTTAGCTGCGAGCTAAATCATAATTGCATAACTGCACACACGTTAATGCAAATAGTAATTAAATGACTACAAAACAAGGTTTGCTATTCCACTGCGGCCCTAAAGTGTGCTGATAGCATAGTGGGCTAAACAGGAACTAATATAAGAGTTGTGTTATACTTGTGTTATGGCCAGGCCTCTTACTTCTTGTTATCAAGGCAGAGAGTTGAACTAGTACAAAGGGAATCTACAGTTGGAGTGATTTCATAGGTAAATGCATCTCTGCCCCCCCCCCCCACCTCCAATCAATATCAGTGGCATAGCCAGGGATTGGTAAACCAGGCCTATTCTCCCCCCCCCCCCCCCCCCCCCCAAGAAAATTGTGCCTAAGCCCCTAATCCATATACCTTTTCCTGAATTTTGCTCGATGAATCTAAAATCATGTTGCTTCCAGATTTCATTTCAAATGCTGCCTCAAAACCGAATTACAAAAAAAGAAGCACATGGTACTGTAGGGGCTACTGACATGTTGATGCAGTCAGAATATCTTACTACTGCACACGAGCACGAACTGGAAAAATAAGCAAGTGTGCATACCAAAATAACACTTACTGACATTGTGCAAAAGCAGAACATGCGACATGTGTCGATCTTTCAGTCGGAAAATATATATTTAGTAAACGGATGTCTTACCTCAGTAGTGCGTCTACCTCCTCAGTGGTGACCACGCTGTCTGAAACCACCCTTCCACACTTTTGGGGGGCACAATCTGCATGACAGTAGAAATAAAAGTGCTGTCATTGTTGCCCAGTCATCAGCGATTGAAAATGCGACGGTTTAGAGCTAAGTAATGCATGCACTTTCTTTTCTGCAGTCATGAATTCGTGTTGTGTTGGCTTCGATTTCAATGCTCACATCAGAACTGCCATGACCTTTAGCGGCCAGATTTGTAGCCACATGACATGGTTATCCCAAACAATTACATGTACCAGCGGTGATACTAAACTGCATTAAATTTCGTTTCAATTGATAAATCTTGTACATCTATGGTGACAACCACACAGCGCTTTGATAATTCCTGTGTGACTGTGTATAATCAAATCACTGTACATTGTGAATACGATAACTCCACGTGGTGCAATGGCTGAGTTTCGGATAGCATGACTGCTGAAATTAATGTGGACACGGACAAGTCGGGACTAGCACTGTCCTGTCCGTACTCATGTTGCACTGTACTTAACTATGAATTTATATGAACTGGCTTGTATTCAGACTTACATATGAAGAGATAAGAAAAGAAGGAGAAAAAGGCTCTTCCATTCTCCCCCATAACAACGATGCAGACACTCGCCTCCAATAATCTATACCCTCTCTCACAGTTTATTCGGCATCCAGCTGATTATGTCACGCTACTACTGAAGCCAAAGACTTGAACGTGTAGTGAAATTCCGCTCGCCCAACCTACCCTCTAGCTACGGGAGGTAGACGGTTCGAATCATGCCGACGTATACGCATCGGTTGAAAAGGGCTTAAACAGTCGTCTGCGTGCGCTAGCAGCATAGAAACTATGCTGCTGGTTTTTAGGTGCGAGCGTAAAGCCTGCTGCTTTGAAACAGCGCAACCTTTGCATTGCGCTTGCGTCTTCCGCGCTCACGTTGATGCCGAGACGTACGCTAACGCTACGCCAGCAAGCTTTGCGTACGTTTTTTTTTGTTTTTTTTTTAACTAATTTGCAGGCGTCGCCGGCATAGCGGGTGCCATATGTGAAACACAACTACGCTTGTGCGTGAAAGCCGTTCCCTCCGACTTCGCCGACCAGAAATAATCTCGCTAAGGGAGCACACACCCTTGAAGAGGCGACGGTCGCTCACGTAGTCCTTGGAGCACTGCACCGTTTCCGACTTTATCGCCAGGACTTCGTCACGGGAGGCGAACGTCCGGTCAGAATTCCACCGCGACGACACGTAGAGGGCGGCCAGCAAGGCGACCGACACGCCGACGCGAACGACGATTCGCCTGGCCGAAAACACCGGCACCGCCGATGGCACGGCCTCCCCGTGCGTGGAGTCCGGCGAAGCCGCGGCTTCGGACTTCCTAGCATCGCCACGTTTTCTCACCGCCATGACCTCAAACAAACGAGCCGTAGTCACGGCGTGCAAGCCGCCGGCGCTCCTTCCGCTGATGTCACAGGCGGATCATTGCGACGAACGTCAAATCTCGCACAGCTGCGGTGACTTGAATCACGCCGCCCTTGCAAGTCGCATCACAGTCACGTGGAGGAGCGTTTCGAGTTCTTCGAGGTTGGCGATCGTTCTATTCGACGGTCCGGCGGAAACCGGGAAAAGCGAGTTGCGCTATCTCGTCGCAGCGATGACCGAGGAAAACCGGAAAAAATTGTTAAGAACGGCTCGCGGAAAGCTGGCGGTTGTTCCTTGGGCGCGGTTTTTACGTCACAGTGCACTCAAAGCGCACTGCATATTATAGAGTTTCCTATATAGATTAATCTTGGGAAACTTTGCGATGCTTATCATTATGGTGGCTAGAATATCGTACCGGCAGCGGCCATCTTTGAATCTGAACAATGGCCTAGCGTCAGAGTTGTCATAACAACCAACGCTCGTTTTTTTTTTGTTGTATAATAAACCAACTTAAAAAAAAGAACACAGTAACGTAAAAAGCCATTGCTCATATTGTTTTCTTTTTTGTTTTTTATGAAAAGTTTAATAGTTGATGTCCATGTTACTGGATGCGCTGAAGTGACTGAAATTGAAGAGAGCGCGCATTTCGAACAATGGTGATAAGCGTTTTGGATCAGCGGCTTTGAAATATGATGAGTGAGTGATATAAACTTCATTGAGGCCCTGAGAAAAAACTGGTGCCGAAAGCCACGCCAATAAATCCGGCGGCTCCACCCAGGTCGGGGCCGGTAGACAGATCCCTCCGGCGACGGCCCGGACCCTCTGTTTTTTTTTTTTTTTTTGTTTTTTTTTTACTTGGTCAGTGACCACATTTATACATACTCAGAAGTAACAATTACTGGGCTTTACTAGCCAAAAGCCCGACGTGATTGTGAGGTTGGCCGTAGTGTAGGGCTCCGGATAATTTCGAACAAACGTCGGCCATCCTGTCCACCTTTGACTTTTCAACTTTGAAACAGAGCCCCGCCGCGGCTAAGGTACTCGGTTGCTGACACGCAAGTCGCGGGATCGAATCCCGACTGCGCCGGCTGCATTTTCGATGGAGGCGAAAATGGTGTAGGCCCGTGCGCTTTGATTTGGGTGTGTGTTAAAGAACACCAAGTGATCTAAATTTCCGGAGCCCTCCACTACGGCGTCTATCATATAATCATAGGGTGGTTTGGGGACGTTAAACCCCACATATCAATCATCAATCAATCAATGAATCAATCAATCCTTCAACTTTGAAATAGAAGTTGACCTGTACCGGAGTCGCCTAGAACTTCGTGTCAACGGAACGTAAAATAGAAGACAACTTCGCGTAAGCGCCGTAGAGGAAAAACTCAGTCGCAGCGATGCCAACGCAGGCACTGTCAAGAGAAGACATCAGAACACCCTCGTGACACATTTTCTCGTTTGTTCCTTTCTTTATTGTTCACACGTCTCCCTCTCTCTTTAATTTTTTTGTCTCGACGTGTCACACTTTGCGCAAACAAAGTGCTCGTCCCGACATCCCAGGAATGTCGCGGTCGGCACAAAAAACGCGGACGTTTCGTGTCTTCCAACCAACTCCAAAAGAAAAACGCTGCTCTCTTCAGTTCCAAACGTAAGATGGCCAGCCAACCACCCAACCACAGCTTGAAGCGTCTGCGGAAGTGCACTATATGCGGTATCTTTTTCTCAGCATACAGCGATGACAGCTCCGGATGGTTTTGAATCAACTTGACCCCGGACCATTTTGTGTGCAGAAGATACTAGGACCTTGGGCATCTGCCTCAGTTGCGGAGAAAGCGACTAAAGCACTGCTACTTTACCTCAAGTCAACAAACCTGAGCGACCGCCTGTAAACTGTGTGTGCTCCGCCGAGTGTGCTCGTGATTGTGTGTACCTTCTCATCTTTCTGCAACCTCTTTTCTCCCCTTCATCCCTTCCCCAGTGCAGGGTAGCAAACCGGATGTGCGTCTGGTCAACCTCCCTGCCTTTCCTTGCATCTTTATCTCTTTTTCGCTCCGCATAGCCGTACCGTCGGCTGCTCAATTACAAGCGCAGAGATGACGACGTGGAACGAGCGAAGTTTCATTTGTGTTACCCGAATTACGGCGTTCTAGAAACCCGGATGTAACGTGGGCGGCACAGTGCTTTAGTTGGCTTACGAAGGCACCCACTGCAATCGAGGCAGCTATAGGAAGGAAAAGGAGGCGGAAAATAAAAAAAAGAAAAAATACGCGCGATGAGGCGATTAGTAGTGCGTAAAGATTTGAGATAAGGCGTGTCGTCCTGAAAGGCGCCTCTCTTCTCTGACGGAAAGAAATGAACACATGGCATCCAGAGATACAAGGTGGGATGAATATAGAGTTCACGCGGTCACACTCAATCGCTGACTAACTCAGTGGAAAGTCTTGCACTTGTCCGCTAAAAATGAACTTCTTCACACTCACACACACACACACACACACACACACACACACACACACATATATATATATATATATATATATATATATATATATATATATATATATATATATATATATATATATGAGATCTAACGAATGTAAAATAGGAAGAAAGAAAAGTGGATGAAAAAGTAACCAGCCGTGGGCAGGAATCGAACCTACGACCTTCGAATAATGCGTTCGATGCTCTAACCACTGAGCTACCACAGCGGTGTTCCCTCCATCCAGTTTTTGGAGTTTATATGTGAAATTAGAAGTAGGAGTGACAGTCAGTGCCATCTATAAGCCAAACGACGAATGTGAAAACACTCTTAAGCGCATGTTTTGCGTCACGTAGCACGTGAACTTATTATGAGCGGGCAGCTGATTAATTGTCCCTCTTATACAACCTAAACACACCAAGTCTGCCAGTACGAGACCCTCGTTCAATGAAATAAGGGAAAGAAGTGTATACCCCTGTACATAACTTCCCCTGTACATTCCTTGGCATTACTGTCTGTTAGATCTCATTAATATTGTGTTAAAACACGGAAAAACGAGCCCTTAGGTATACACTTCTTTCCCTTATTTCATTGAACGAGGGTCTCGTACTGGCAGACTTGGTGTGTTTAGGTTGTATAAGAGGGACAATTAATCAGCTGCCCGCTCATAATAAGTTCGCGTGCTACGTGACGCCAAACATGCGCATAAGAGTGTTTTCACATTCGTCGTTTGGCTTATAGATGGCACTGACTGTCACTCCTACTTCTAATTTCACATATAAACTCCAAAAACTGGATGGAGGGAACACCGCTGTGGTAGCTCAGTGGTTAGAGCATCGAACGCATTATTCGAAGGTCGTAGGTTCGATTCCTGCCCACAGCTGGTTACTTTTTCATCCACTTTTCTTTCTTCTTATTTTACATTCTATTGGTTTTAATAACTTCCCCTGTACATTCCTTGGCATTACTGTCTGTTAGATCTCATTATTATTGTGTTAAAACACGGAAAAACGAGCCCTTAGGTATACACTTCTTTCCCAAATATATATATATATATATATATATATATATATATATATATATATATATATATATATATATATATATATATATATATTCAAAATACCTTACAGACCCAACAGGGCATTGTGCAAGGCGAGCATAAAAAAATACATACACGAATTCGTACAATTTCCATACAAACAATAACATGAACTAATTGTCAATTATTATAACATAATTATTTTAATAGGAATACAACGGAAATGAACATCAGATGAGTATACGCGTGAGATAATGACGTAGAACAAGTAATATATATATATATATATATATATATATATATATATATATATATATATATATATATATATATATATATATATATATATATATATATATATATATAAAATGCCACGTTCCATTTCCCAAGTTTTTGTTATCGTCCCAAAACACCACACGATTCTCAGCGCAAACCGCGCCTGCAGTTTTCGAGAAGGTTCCGGACTGTAGCAGATCATTTCGATAAGATCACGCCCACTGTGCGAACGGTACAGATTGTTCTGGAACCTACGCCACCACCAGCGATAACGCTAGAACATTCGACGGCAAGAGTATAAATGCCGACGCGCTTCGCCGCTTGCCAGTAGTTGATCGAAGGCCGACGCTCCGTTCGCCGCTATCAGTCTGAGACTGCTATCTGTGCGAGACTGCTGCTGTAATTGGACTTTCCGTTTACCGGGCACAGGTTCGCCCAAATAAACAGTTAAATCCCAACACGAAGTCTCCTGTCTTCGGCCACGTCACGACCTCGTGACATCTGGTGGAGGTGCTGCTTCGTTCATGTACCGGACGCCCCCGTCAAGCCGTGAACCCAGCCCACGTCGCGGAGAAGACACCGACGCCAACCAAGAGCAGCGAACAAGCCACCGACAGCAAGGGCTACCACCGGAGTACGGGCTTCTACAAGACAAGGCGCGGAAGACCAAGGCCATGACCGCGACTGCAGCGACAATGACAACCGCAGCATCCCAGCCCACGATGGTCATGCATCAACCCAGGCAACCACCAATTTTCCATGGGTCATCGTTCGAAGACCCAGAGTCCTGGCTAGAAATATACGACCATGTGGCCGCCCTCAACCACTGGGACCATGAAGAAAAGCTGCGTCGTGTGTTCTTCTATTTGGAAGACACCACAAGGACCTGGCTCGAAAATCGAGAGTCCACGCTCCGAACGTGGGATGTTTTCTGCGGCGCATTCCTGCAAACGTTCGCGAGCGTCGCTCGCAAACAGAGGGCCGCTGCTCTACTAGAGACCCGGGTTCAGCTACCAAATGAGAAGGTTGTAATTTTCACAGAGGAGATGACCCGCCTATTTTGTCACGCTGACCCAGACATGCCTGAGGAGAAGAAAGTTCGTTTCCTCATGCGAGGGGTCAAACAGGAGCTCTTCGCGGGACTAATGAGGAATCCACCGAACATCGTCCAAGAATTTGTATCCGAGGCGACCACCATCGAAAAAACCCTTGACATGCGCACCAGACAGTATAATCGTCGCCTGACTCCAGACTGCGCTGCTGCTCAAACCAGTGACTCCGAAAACCTGCGTGAAACGATCCGAGCGATCGTGCGGGAAGAGCTGCGCAAACTGTTGCCTTCGGCGCACCCTCAAGTGGATTCGATCGCCGACATTGTGCGAGAAGAAGTTCGGCAATCACTTCGAATTCCCCAAACACCGCTGCCCGAGCCAGAAATTATGAGCTACGCCGCTGCAGTGCGCCACAACGCTCCTCCCCGTCCACGCCAAAACGCCGCCCCGTCACACTTCCGTCGCCAAACACCACCGCCGCCACCACCCCCACCGACGACCTACCGTTCACCAGCGGGCCAGCGCAGTGCGCCGAGGAAAACCGACGTTTGGCGCACCTCTGACCACCGCCCACTGTGCTACCACTGCGGCGAGGCCGGG